TTCCGCCGTCACAGTTCATGCCGATCTCACTGTAATAACATCTCACAGCACTGGCATGGCGACCGACTCTTGGCTTCTTCGGCTGTTATCGCCGAAAATAACAGAAAAGGCACATGTCACGAGGATTATTTCAAAATTTTGCTTCTTGCCACCAACCAACAGTCTCCGACCATTATCTTTGGCACTGCTGACCTAATTCAACACTTTTAAGCATCATCCATTGATTCAAAAGCAATCAGATTCGCTCAATCAAGCGTCATATATGAATATATAATACAATATGACTGGAGATTTCTTTTGAGGAACCTTACCATGTTCACCATTTCTCATAAAGTAAATTTTCAAGGTGTGACTCTTGGTGAGAAAGAGAAAAGAAAATGATATGCAAAGTTATTCGATGGTCCGCGTGTGGGTGGAAAGTATTTAAGTATAATTTTATGCTAAATAAACTTCTAAAGCTCATCATCATGCCACTAAGTTGCTAAATGACCGCACACTTATGCGAAAGACACGATATAGATTTACGATATGGGGTGACTTTTTTCTACAGCTATATTACAACACTAAAGAATCCTATGCATGACACACTGAACGGACATGCACAAATGATGTGCAGAAATACACATTATTCGCGTTGTTAAGTGCAGGAGCACAGCTAGAGCCATCGGGAAATTCAGCTGGAGTTGCTTGCAATTGGCGACAGCAAATGACTCACATAGAATTTAGTATTGGAAGTGTGATCGAGTGCCAAGATGAAGATATTGATATGTAATTTTTCGATTATCCTCTCATTCTGCCCATCTTTTATTGGCGGTAATTGAAATTTGTAATTCCTCTTTCTGCTATATTGTTCCACATTGAGATGCTAATCTCGACGCCGTTTAAATTAAATACATTTAATAAATTCTTGTACACATAATATGCAGCATATTGGCTGTGTAGCCACCTCCTTCAGACTACACCGCCGCCAGAGAGTGAGAGAAGAAAATCTTGTGCAATGTCTTTCCTATAATATGCCATTTGATCTTATCTTCTGGGCGACGTGTAAGAGCGGCTAATCCTCGTGAGATCGATCATTGTTGTCTGCCTTAGGAGAGCACCGCGTACATGATATTGTTGAATGTTATTATTTTGTTTGGGATTCAAAGAAATTGAGGTGTCAGTGATGGTGAAGCGAAAAAATATAATTGAAAATACATGTGAAAAGAAGAGAATACCTATAGTAACGCTCAAAATTTTTAGGTGCGACTTTTCTTAAGGTTCGCTAATAAAAATTAATTTCACAACTAGTTCGACATTCTATCTAATATAACGAATATCGCATCACGATTTGCGCTACTCAATGAGATTCGAAATCTCGCAATATACTGTGAGAAATACGTAAGAAATCGTACCTAATGTTGCTGAACAGATGTAATGAACATCTTTTGTGGATGAAAACTGTTTAGATCAATAGTAAAAATATGCAGTACTTGATATTATATTCATGAATTTCAAACAATTAAGCAAATACGCATTATCATAAAATTGCAATTGATTAAAGTGTTAGTAAGTGAAGAGAAATGACATATTTTATACAGTCATACCTACATAACATATAGAAGTAAAGGAGAAGCAAAAATGTGCGTGCAAACATTTTTTCAGCGTGCGGCGGGTTTGTCGCTTTGATATTGATGTCTCTTGCCGCTTTTCTAATCAACTTCTCTCAACTTACTGATTTCGATACTTCAAAAAAGGAAATCAATTACGATTTTATTGTGATGCCGTTTATGTACAAAAAAGACTCAGTGATAGAAGATGAATGACTTCCATTGACGAAGAAAATATTTATAATCACATTAGAGTTTGGTGGTTTTTTCTCTGCCAAAACTTATGGTTTTTGAGTATAATTCATACACATTTCTGGTGCAATTTCTCACAATGTGACTTTACATAACAAAGCTGACCAGTATGAAAAAAAAACCATGCAGTCAGCTTCCTCACATCATGCAATGCTCATGGAGATCTAATAAGTGTCAGAAGATTAAATAAATGGATAGATGGATTGATGATGATGGCATCGTCACTTCACGCAAGCCGACAAATATGTACAATAAATAATCAGAGAAAGAGATAACGATGAAAATGCAAAAGATGTGGTGTGGTAAAGCGTATATGTGCATGCAATATGTACATAGGCAATATTGCGTCTGGCGAAGGAATAAAAGAACGAATCAGAGAGAAAGACTGGAAGAGAAGAAAAAGAAGATTAATAATTGTTTAATATGTAATTTCACACAAATGAATCGTATAATCGAATATTGCCGGAAGGCAAATGTGTGATATGTGTATACAAGTACATAATACGGACAGTGAAGAGTGCTTTTCTCTATATTTTGCTGAAAAATAGTATTTGTGGTTTGCAAGAAAGCACGTGAAACAATTAGGAAATAGCGAAATGACGATATAATGGTGGAATAGAATGGGAGTATATCTGTGGAATGAGGAGAGACACAATGAGAGGAGGAAGAGGGTGCGAGAAGAAGAAAAAGTTGATGAAAGCAGAATTGGAATTTCGAAATATTGACGGTATTTTATTTGAGTTCCTTTGATGTGGTTTCACCGCAAGTGTTTGCTATAATTGAGAACTAATTAATTCCGGTAGTATATGGATGGAACATCTTGTTAAAGCTTTACACAGTGTGCGACACCAAAGAGGAGGCGACACTCAAAACCTTTTCATGTTTCTCACACGAATCAGAATCCGAAAGCTCACACCGCGGTCCTCAATCTATAAACTCTTCTCCGTCGTGCGGCGTGCAATGGTCAGAGAGTCGCAAAGAGAGTCTGATCTGACGAGAAGGAAGCACAGCAGTTGGTATGATAAAACGGGGATAATTTCATGTGGAGGAAAAAGACATATTGAATGAATCTTCCTTGTTTAAAATTCCATCCAAGTGGCGAAATTTCTTGTCTAGCTAATTGGATGTGAGAGTTGTGGGGCTTACAATAGTAATTGCTACATGAGCAGAGTGAGGCGTGTTTAGTGCGGGATGTTAGACACTCTAGCTGTGGTGTAAAGCTATTTTTGTTGGTGTGGTCACAAGAAGAGATTCTTCACGAGGCTTTTTTGTGGAGATTTAAACTCCCATATGTAATGGACTTTCACCTCCCATAAGACTAATGTATTGTGTGCTGCATGGATTTACACCGTGATAAAATTGAGAGACAAGACATATGGGAATATCATCACCGACTCCTTGTACTTTGCTTTATGTTCGCTGAATGCTTATTTTGTTGCCATAAACTGTTTCGGTGTCTGTATTAATTCTTTTCACTGCACAATATGCAATAAGGGTGGTGTAAGCTCCTTAATTCATTTTCACTTAACATATTTTACATATTCACCACTATTTTCTGTGTTCTGTCGTCTCCTCCCTTTGCGCCTCCTCGACATGTTGGCATGCTCGTAAAGAAAAAGTGCAGCCTTATCATGCTTGACAACATTACATGAAATGTACTTGCATTGAAGTGTGACATAAAATTCACAAAAGAGTTGCATTGGTTCATCACAGAGTCAAATTACCAGATATGTGTTTTTCTCTCCTCTCGACTTACTCATTACTTTCCAAAATAATTTATTGCGAATTAATATGTATACGCACGTATACATGCTCACCTAAATTATCATTATATAGTGAAGTGCTCAAAAATTGCTCACCACACCCAGTTTTTATTGACCACATCGTCGCAAACGAATCGGAGGACGACCACTAGTTCCTTTTTGACTTGTTATTTCAAAATTTTTTGTATTTCATTTTATGGCGATGCAATCATTTGCTTTTATATCACCACCGCGCGGAATATGTTCGAGATGAACATGGAAAAAGTATGATCCGACATCATTACCTATGGAAATTTTCCACAAACAACCCCGAGAACACAATAAGCGTAAAGTCATAGATAAGAAGAGATTTTAAAGAAGTGAAGGTAGATCGAGACATATAGATATAAAAGTGCCATAAATGCGAGGCGTGAAATATAAAAGAAGTAGAAACTGTAATTGCCTCATGGTAACAAAATCTGACGACAATTTATTCAGAATTGCTCTGTGGTGGAATTTTCAAGATCATATTTCTGATTATCGTGGACCTGTTTTAAGTACTATTCACTTTGTACAGACAACTTTTTCTGTTTTGTCGCGCTTAATTAATTAATTATGCACTGTCTTTAATTTGGAAATGTAATTAACATGGTATTACCGCGGTGGTACAAAATATTATAAAGACCCAACCAGGAATTTCTGTTTACAAATTGGCGTCAGTCGTGGGACAGGATTGTTTATTATTTTGTATTCCACCCTTTTGCAAAAAAAGAATCGGCAAAGCCTAAAGTAACCGTCAGAAAATGACTGAATGTCTGGATGAAAAAAGTTAAGGATAATCAATAGAAATATTTCATCATCCAATATTAGAACGGAGATTTTATTATGAAGTGCTGTGGGGAAAGCTCAAATTGGTCACGGGCAATAAATTTTAGTACTTGGGAATTGATAATCAGTATAGTGAAACACTCACTCTTGTGTTCTGCGCCTTGTTCCGCGCGTGAATTTGAACAAAATATGTCGGAGTAAAGAGGACAGGCTCAATTGAGGGACACGAGGAAGGGAGAAAAATCATAATCATATTGCAAACTTGCTAAATATCACTGATTTTATGGCTCTGCGGGGAATCCAGAACATCACCACCCCATTTCACTACAATATCATCAACATTCGCCCACCATCCCCTCACATAATTGATTCTGGCGCGCACCTACGGCAGATCGTATATAAAGATTGAGAACCCTGAGCAGGACCTCATTCCTCATCCAGCCTGTGACAAGAGTGCTTTAAATATTTGGTGCCATTGGTGTTGATTGGAATATGTTTACTTGTGGTACTAATATGCTGTGATAAGTTCTGTGCAGGAATGCTGCAGATATACTATAACACTGTGCTTTCTTGTTCGGTGGTTGTTTAGGTGCACCTTCACTGTTGTCGGCGATCGTAGCACAACAGGGCATCGTCAGTCCAGAATCCAGTCAAGGGGACAGCGGCACTGCCACTTCAGTAGCTGCGGCAAGTGCTGGGACGGGAAGCACCGGCGAAGGAATTGCCGCATCAACTATGCTGCTATTGCAATCTCAACAGGTAAAAATCACGACATTTTATTTTATTCCATCTCTAAGACAGCAAATACGATACCTGTACACAAACATCCACGCTTGTGGGGCAATGAAATGGGAAAATGATTTACTGCTAATGGGAAGTGCATCTGTTTCTCTCTTCAGGGGTTCGCAATCTCGCGACAAGATCGATTAAGACCGTGACGAAGTGTTAATTAACGATGAATAAGTGAATTGACTTTAAACTTCTAAAAAGGGTGATTATTATCATCTCGAAATCTCCCCTGATATGATGATGAGTGCACGAAACACTCTCAACAGTGTCATGCTTGTGAATAGTAAAGGGTGGAGATTCGTTGTGACATGTAATAAAAATTATATTCAATGAATGTAAAACTTTTGTCACCAATGAATGTTGTTTTGCTGGTAAAAATGGGTTGGGAAGCGCAAGCGCTTGCCAACCAATTTCTTCTTTCAAACATGGCACTTGCACGTAATCCCGCCCATTTGATTATCTACCATCGGAAAAGTCACTTAAAATAGGGGTGGACTGTATATGGTAGAAAATTAATCTATAAATAATAAAATATTGACTTGCGCTCGTATCACTTTCCTCCATGCCTATTTTCGATATCGCATACATCATTAATGAGTCCCCATATCTATTGGATTTCCTTGCAGAGCACCTTTAGTTCTCTTTCTTCGTTTGATCTTTTGTCATCTAATCAGCAGTACCCATCTCAGCAATATCACCAGCAGATTCAGCCAGAGTCTGTGCATTTCGATATTGGTGCAAGTGATCTCGACCCTCTGTCGGACGTCCTATATCCGTCTACATCTGCATCCTCTTTTGCTGGTCAGATTCTCGCATCGACGTCTCAAGAGCGCGTCAGTGACACTCCCTTTGCTGACCAATTGCAACACTCGAACTCGTCCAGTGACACCCTAGTTGGGCTCAGTAGTCACTCAAGCCACTTCGGAGGCTCTGTGGAGAGCCTTCCAACTACTCTTGTACCTCTCTTCCAAAAGGAGGAGACCAACGTTCTTCTGTCGCCATCTGATCAGGCGCAAGAAGCTCTAGACAGACCTACCGACCTCGGACCACTGACTCTTCGCTCCAGCAGTGATCCCGCCATATCCCTGCACTCACTCCAATCCCGCCAGCCACAAGCCTCACTGTCCACAACTCCCACGGCGCCTGATTCCCCGCTGCCGAGTTTCCAAGAGACCTACTCTATCAAGTACAGTCAGTTGGCTAGCTTTGGGCTCAAGATGGACGAAGACACCTTCAACGTCGCCTCACCTTATCATGCTGGTGTGGTGGCTTATCAGCATGGCCATCAGAATCCTTTTGCCAGTTCCTCCACCACAATCCATCACCAAGGACATTATGATTTCCACGGACAGCACACTGCAGCGGCTGGACAGCAGCATCCTCCGCAGTACATGCCACAGGGTTCTGGAGGATTCTACCAGCAGCAGTCCTTCGAGCAACATCCTATGGTGAGTGCGCATTTTCAATACTTCATTCTTTACTCGACGGCGATAGAGGCCGACGGAAAGTGCGTTGCACGAGAGACATGTTTTTCTATATTAATTTTATAAACTAAAAAAAACGAATATTAATAAGACTTATTATTTGGTCATTTTGTATATTAGGTGTGTCATTAAATTGAAATTTCTTCCGGCAGTTCTGGTTACTGATAACAAAGTATATTGAAACAAATAAATGCTAGTAATTACATAAATTCTAGATGAGTTCAAGAAAATATTGTGTTTTTAAACACTTGTTTTAACTCTTTCACGAATTTTCGCGAAACGGAATATATGTTTGTTATAGAAAATCATCACGCCTACGATCTCGAAAATATCATGTGGCTCATCAAACAATATAAAATTTCATTTCGAATTTGGCTTGTATCTCGAAAAACCTGGAAGACTTGTGTAATTTCATAATTAGTATGTAAACTAGTATGTTAATGGTTTTCATATGAGCGATTAATCAAATTTTCCCTAAATAACGACTCGGCCTTCCGTATACATAATTTATTTATTATGCATATTTAAAACACTTACACGAAAATCCAGTTTCAGTTTAAAAGAATTTGAATATTTACCAACTTGGCATTTAACACTCACAAAATCCATTATCTATCACAAAATTTCGTACAAATGAGAGTTCTTTAACTCATGTAGTGTCGCATTGTAATGATGAGAAAGAAATAGGAATGAGAAAAGAAAGAAAAAGTAAAAAGAAATCTAATGAAAAGAAAAACGAGTGTATCAAAGCTCGGGAGCAATTATCTAAAGGACACCGGGAGAAAATGATTGCTCAGCCGGCAATAATTATCTGTCTGTCTCCACAGCAATACACGCCCAGCACCCAAGAGCGCTACTCGTTGCCACCTTTTCCCACTGTGTCGGAGCTCCATGTGTCCACCACCAGCCAGAGACGTGCCTCTCTGCCCCTACAGCGCTCCGAGTCCACGTCGAGCAGCGAGAGCCCCAAACCTCCGCGCGTGCAGCTGCCCAAAGGCTTCCTGACCAGCGCCTCCAGTTCCGCCTCCAGCTCTCCCGGCTGCATCAACAACAACAACCCAGCGGCGGCTAACAACAACGACCCGGGACTCAGCCGGGGCGTTGTGCAGCCCACGCCGCAGAGTCCTTCTCAATTGTGCGCCGTTTGCGGAGACACGGCAGCGTGCCAGCACTACGGCGTTCGCACCTGTGAGGGCTGCAAGGGCTTCTTCAAGCGCACCGTGCAGAAGGGCTCCAAGTACGTGTGTCTGGCGGACAAGGCGTGCCCGGTGGATAAGCGGCGACGCAATCGCTGCCAGTTCTGCCGCTTCCAGAAGTGTCTGGCCGTGGGCATGGTGAAGGAAGTGGTACGCACAGACAGTCTCAAGGGGCGTCGCGGGCGGCTGCCCTCGAAGCCCAAGTCCCCGCAGGAGTCCCCGCCGAGCCCGCCTGTGTCCATGATCACGGCTATGGTGCGCGCTCACGTGGACACCACGCCGGACCTGGCCAGTCTAGACTATTCGCAATATCGCGAGCCAACACCGACGGAGCCGGTTCTTTCGGAGGCGGACAAAGTACAACAGTTCTACACTCTCCTCACCACATCGGTGGACGTGATCAAGCACTTTGCCGACAAGTTACCTGGATTCAGTGATCTCTGCCCGGAGGACCAGGAGCTCCTCTTTCAGTCCGCATCGCTGGAGCTCTTCGTGCTGAGACTTTCGTACAGGGCTCGCATTGACGACACGAAGATGACCTTCTGCAGTGGTGTGGTGCTCCATAAGATGCAGTGTCAACGTTCCTTTGGTGACTGGCTCAATGCCATCCTCGAGTTCAGCAAGAGTCTTCATGCTCTCGAAATCGACATCTCTGCTTTCGCCTGTCTCTGCGCTCTCACACTCGTTACTGGTAAGTCCACTCTTTCACTTTGTCCATACCAGGAAATTGCCATTGGATTCTTTGGGGTATCTTTCCGCCTCTTGAGCAAGTACAATTCTTAATGATATGATCTCAAGGCTCATGAAAGGAGAATCCATTACTATCAGTTGAAAACTGTTCATGAAAAGCATTCTACGCACATTTGAAAGACAAGCTATCAATTCATAATTGGAAAATAAATATTCCACATTTATGTATTTGAATTCAATGCAAATTCGTGAGAAATTACGTGTCCATTGTATTATTCTTATACCCTTCACGTAATTTGACATTTTTGACAAATAATCACCTTCACCAAAAACTGCCCAAATTGCCTCACTTGTCATCAGATGATTGACTTATTGTGCACTCTATTTTCACCCTCGAAACCACTAGAACGTCATGGATTGAAGGAGCCGAAGAAGGTTGAGCAGTTGCAGATGAAGATCATTTCGAGTTTGCGTGATCATGTGACATACAATGCCGAGGCACAGCGGAAACCGCACTATTTCAGCCGACTCTTGGGCAAATTACCCGAGCTGCGTTCCCTGAGTGTGCAGGGACTCCAGCGAATATTCTACTTGAAGCTGGAGGATTTGGTGCCCGCACCACCACTCATTGAGAACATGTTTGTGGCCACTCTGCCCTTCTAAGATGTACGTAAAATGTGTATACTCTACTTTAAATATAGCTTGCATATGTTATCTTCCCAACATATATGTATTTTATATAAGGGATACTTTATGATATAGTTTTCTTTGTGAACCAGATAAAAGACAAGAGATAAAGACATTTAGAATGTGACATCTTTTATCGTTACCTTAAATAAGATGTGCTTCTTCTGATTACGAAAAAAGACAGAACAGACATTTCTTATAGGTCAAGATTCTTCACTCGGTGAAGTGTGGATTGCTCTTGAGTTTATTTAATTTTTGTAGATTTGTATAGAAACATTTTATACGTGAGATTAAAAAGACCTTTTTTTCAGTAAACTTAAACCTATTGTGATTTTTTTATATACTTATTCGGAATTGTCAATACTCATTGAATGATATTTTGAATTTTTGCGTATACAAATTTCTTAAGGAATAATTGCGAAGATAATTTAGATTAAGTAAATGTTAGTGATTATACTGTGACCGGTACAAAATGTAGATTTACTATTTAAGTTGCAATTTGAGAGAAGAAAAAATATCTGTTTGACTTTCTTTTCATCACATTTTATGGTTTATTATTGTACACTATTATACATACTAAATGAAGATTTAATTACAAGAAAGATAAAATGAAAAAATTGTCATGGAAAAAAAATTCGTCTGCAAGCACACTTACATGTAATGTGTTTTCTTATATAGAAAGGAAAAAATAGAAACATTGCAAAAATAGTTGTCAATTTGTTCACCCTATGAATAAAGTAAAAAGTAAGTGCAAAAGTAATTTAATAAGAGTAGAAGTAGAATATTTAAGGGAACATTTTTATGGTTACCGAGAGTAGACAAAAAAACCCTAGTCCCTAAAAATCATTTTATAATAAATTATTTCTCTTTATAAGTTACCAGTTGCCTGCCATTGATTTAGACACACAATTTTTACTTATATTAGAAAGAGATTATTGTAAATTTTCATGAATATACATAACATATTAGGAAATATTCTTGCCAATAAGGAAAAATATTGCATATTCATACCCGAATAAAACGAAAAAAAATAATATTGCACCTTTTTGGGTAAAGAGATAGAGATTAAATATAGAATGCAGAAGGAAACACAATGAAAGACATGAAGAATTTCAAAAGGAAAAAGTACCTTGACACTTGACAATTTCAATTTGAGAATTAAATATTTTAAAAAACTTACACGATGAAGAAAGAAACAAGAGAGATAAACCTAAAAGTGCCATTTTTAGATCTTTAAAAAGAAGATGATAAAGAACAGAAAATGACGGAAAAATTTACTATACATTATATTTTTTCTAAAATCGCCTTTTTGATAGAATTTTGGAACAATTTATAATTACTTTTTGTTATTGAAATCTCCTTGTAAGATCAAGCATGAGGTTTGTGGAAAAAATATCCCTGCAACACAGTGAAATACTCTTCGAAAAAATAAGTACTGTGATGGAGGAATGATTTTGTGATATGAAAGAGAATTTTTCAGGGGAACAAGAAAAATTGGCTTTCATGATTGCTTTACTATCTATAAATTGATAACATTCGTTTTACTTGACACTCACTTGACCGTCCTGAAGAGATTTATGAACTTTTTAATAGGCATTACCACGTGCACCTTATCAAACAATTTTTCTAGTAAGACATGAGAAAATTTTTGCTTAAATAGAATCCTTAAATAAACGGCATTGAAAGGAAAATGAAACTATTCTTCTAGCATACTCTTCATGATATATACATACCTTATAACACTTATATTCGACTTTATCCGAGATGAACTTTCAAGAATTTTACATATACATATCTAGCGAAAGTAAATTTAATTACTGTATTGCATTAATAATTGTATTGAGATGCATGAATGTTGTCAAAGCACATAATTTAATACAAGATATAATAATTCATTATTATATGAATAAATAAAGTGTATAAAATATGGACTTTGAATTGTTTTCATACCAATGAAATGCGGCGATTGCATTTCTCATCAACAGCAAACACGGGGAAGTCTTAGTCACACGAATATTCTTTATTCATTAGTGTACATACAACCATAAAGCTTGAGTTAGAACCAGTACGTCAGTTGCATGGCTCCATCGTGGGTTTTTTGTGTGTCCATTGTGCTGGACTGACGAACAAGACGCTTCATCGAATTTCTTTGTACGCGACGGCGCTCGAGAGGTGAATTTTCGCTGTACTTCCCTTTCGACACTTTGAGTTCAACACGATCGTTGTGTTTATCCTTCTTGGAGAGATTCTCATAAGAGCCTATTGACGCCACTGCTGGACGGATTGGGATGCAACGGAAGCACTCGTGCCAATTCCAATCTTTGCCGAACTTTTCTCCCTCTTCAATGGTCTGCGGCAGACAATGATGAAGAGTTTCTGGCAAGCGAAGACCCGTAATGCCGCCAACGACTGAGACAGCGCCCATGATAACCAGCGGTAGACGCAGATTGTCCTTGCCCTGTTATTAAACAATTCATTAGAGGAAATCAATTATCTGAATGAGATATTAACTCACAAGGTAATTGATAAATGGTATCCCAATCAGGCCCAAACCACCGATATAGCTGGAAGTGCCGATTCCTACGCCTCGCACTTGGGTTGGATACAATTCTCCAGCGAATGGATAGATGATGAGGAATGACGCTGAGATCATGGATTTGGACAGGAGAAAGAGAACAAGTGTATCCAGCTTCGCTTCCTCAGGCAGCATCACAGTCACAATACAACTTATTCCGCTCAGGATCATGAGCAGACAAAGTGGCCATCGTCGTCCCCATCGATCCATAATCATCCAGCATAGAATATAGCTGGGAATTTCCACGAGAGACGTGAAGAAAAAGCTTAAGTGCGCGTTATCACCCAATTCTGGTCCGTAGTAACTCAATCCCAAGTACACAGTTTCATTGGCGAACCAATTCAAAGTAATGAGGATTGTCTTAAGTCGCATATTCGGCGTTCTGCAAAAATGAATTGTATGTAATATTTATAAGAATTGGAGTCTCAAAAAGCTAAAATTATTTTACCTGCATAAATCCAATGCACCAACTCTTCTGTTTGGCTCTTTAACATTGCCACGGAGTTTCCGACTGGCAACTCTATGCTGTAGTTTGTCTCGAAACCAATGTGGAAATTCTTTTCCATTCACTCTGGCCATCACTTCTAATACCTTGAGTGCCTCTTCGAGTCGATTTTGAGCCAGAAGCCACCTCGGAGATTCTGGCATTACGAATGCGTAAAGAAAATAGAGAAGAAAAGGCACGGATGTGTACAGAGAAAGAGCTCTCCAGTCATCAATTATGGCCGTAATCCCGGCCAGAGTCATCAGACTGAAGGTGTAGAATGTGCACGTCATAACGGTGACGAAGGATCTGTACGCTGGTCCAACAAGCTCAAGAGCCAATATGAATGGAATTTGGTACACGGCAGGAATAGTCAGTCCCACGATGATCCGACTCGCTGCCCATGTCCAGAAGTTGGGACTCACCGCAGTGAGGAAGCTGCCGAGCAGAAGAGTTGCTAAGCAGAAGAAGTAAGATATCCTCCTGCCGACGCGATCATTGAGGAGACCGAAGAGATAGACACCAATTGGACCGCCGATGTTTAAAGCAGACAGTCCGAGAGTTGGGTAAATATCACGATTGCACACCAAACTAAACTGCAAGAGAAGAGAAAATAAGAGCGCCAAAAATGATCAATTTAACACACACTGGGTAAATAATTGGACACAACTCACGTCAATAACGATTGAAGATCGCGCATCGGTTGTATTGAATTCCCATCCATCGTAACACATTTCCACTGGCCATGAATTATTCTGCGACCTCAAGTCCTGTAGATTTCCATCGTGCTTATCCAGCACTTCAGACCAATTCACGGCATAACGCAAGCATTTGCTGTATGATCCGTCCTAGACGAAGAGGGCGGACAGAAATGCCATGAGATTAAGAACTCTGCACAGCCTTTGGATTGCTCATATGGCTTCCCATATATGTGCACGGCGATTACCGATGCCGAGAGTATTGGTCAGTGATCGATTTCCCCCCTCTTGGCCGTCGTCAAAGAGTGTAGAAATGACGCATTTTCATAATTCGCTTGCAAAAAGAGCCCACAACTCTCAAGTGCAATGCGGTTGTAACCCTGAACACTGCTTTTCAGGGTGAAGAATTGCATGTCTGGGCCGTGAAACTCTTTTTGTTTTGATTCATTTGTCAACGAATCACCACAAGGAAATCAAATCTTCCACCACACGATTATTCTGTCGATAGGAAGGCATTATTGGATTTAATTAACTTACTGCATTAGTCGGAATGGTCAAATAACGTCTGTCAACTGCCGAAATATCCGAATTGTTCATGAGTTGAGGCACTGCACACCAGTAATCAGACGGATTGTCCGACATAAAAAGTTGATTGAAGGCACCAAAACCACATGGGACGCACGCTGGGAGACAAATGAGGAACACCAAAAGTTTCTGGTACTTGCCAAACTCCGAAATCGAGGGTAGAAGTTCGTCCAAGTCGAAAGATTCCTACAGGATGTGAAAATTAGTTAAAAAAAAAATCTACCTACCCGAACGGAAGTCTTAAGGCATTCTTGACTAATATGAGGAATATGATATTGTTCAGTCCCGGTATTTCTCACGTTCTAATGCCAAGCTAGTCAATTCACACGTGTCTAATGTTAAAATGTAACTTAAATATTCTTGTGAAATGTTTTACACGCCAAATGAATGCATTTACATAAAAAAAAATCCACTTCTAAACGATATTATAAATTGAATAATATCCATTTCACTCTTCTCTCACGCACTCAAGTTAATCACTTTTGAAGCTTTTAGAGTTGAAACAGCATTTTTCGCAAATTACTCACATTTTCTGCGTTGGCATCGTTTTGTGATTTCACAGAGAAATTATCCGATTTGGCGTTGAGAGGCTCTCCTTCCGGCGCCTCATCCTGACACTCCTCCTCGTCCAGCTCCTCCACACAGAAGGGAATTGGCGATGACACAGTGCCATCGTATGGAAAACCCTCCATATTCCGAAACGCATGCACTTCCACTGCCACTTTAGCCCGACGAGCATTCCATTGATGTGCATTTTTTCAGCATTCCCACCCGCTTGCATCCCACACCCGATGCCACATTTGCATTCGCACACGGTGGGGCAATTAGAGAGCCTCAGAGACTCCGTGTGCTCACTCGGAAGATGGGAAACCATAGAAATTCCAGTCGAAACATCCCACTGACACACTGGAAAGTTTCAACAACTCCGCAAACTTGTATCATTCACGCGCCGCGGGAGTTAAGAACTGCGGATAATAATAAATTCATGGACATTTTATGAATTTCAAATTAACTCAAAGCAATTAATTAGTTTTATTTTCAATCTTACGATTCTGAATAAAACTGCAATGCTTTTTTACAATTCTTTTGCATGTGCAGTCTGTCTCGTTGTTTGGTCGGATGGATAAATAAAAAAAATTGTAATTTTTTAAAGATTTTTTATTGTAATCTGTTGTTCTCATAAGATTGCAGCCAATGTAAGTCATTCATGCAGTATGGAATTTCTTTTATACGTTGCATCAAGAATGGAACACACTGCAGAAAATGAGTTTAAAGAAAATCTTACAAATAACAACTCTTCTTAGCAGCACTGAAAATCCATATTCCAGGCCAATTATGATGACATAAAATTTATTCTCTTCATTGGTGTGTAAATGACTCTAAAATCAATAGTAAACTCTAAATCACTCATTCTCTTCCCTAAATACCTGAGTTATTATGAATAAAAACAACATATTTTTATATAAATGTTATAAAAAATATGTAATCAAATTATCCACAATTTGTACTGGCTTTTATGCATTATTCTTTCCACATTGTCTTACATCTACACTTAATGTAATGTGCATGACAAAATAAAACCATGTATTTTGGCAGTCATAAATTTATTCATTCATAAAAAGTCGCATACAAAACAATTCAGAAATTGAGACATAATTTTCCTTACATTCGCTCAACATCTCACTCCAGTTTTAAGCGCAGGATCAGTCATAAAGTAAATTGGGGATTACAATTCAGCTCACTTTCACTGATACTCCAGTTACCAATTTCCTCCCTTTTTTCCTCCTTTTTCACATGTTTCATCAATTGATCAGGAACAATTGTTGTTCTCTTCATATGCTTTTCTCCCATTTAAACATTATTTCTCACAAACATTTCATGTTTCAACAATTTCCTAGTTATTTTGTAAAGATCACATTTTTCACGCAAACACTATCGCCTCATTCTAAATTTTCTTTTTCACTAAATATTGTCTCGCTCTACGCTAAAGAATCAAAAAATACATTCGTTCCCTGAATCATCATTTACATGTTTCTTTTTTTTCTCCCTCTTACTAGCAATAAATTATAATTGAACATCAATGTTTCTCATTCACAGATTTATTCTTATTATAATCAAAGAACTCTCGTTCATTCAACATATTATCTCTTTTTTCTCATTCATAAGAGAAAATCGCATTCGTTTTTCTTTATTTCATCTTTAGTAACATTCACGTTAGGCAATCAGAAGTCATCAGTGTATAGAAAATATACACATTTACACTATCATCACAATATAATAATGCCGTAGAATTTCTTCTCTTTCTCTCTCTATCTCTTGCATGCACATTTCTTTCAACTCTTTTCCAATACGTTCGAAAATCCTTTGAATCAATACGACGATAAAGTATAAAAAGGAATAGTTCAAAGGCAACAACTCAGACAATATTGTAAAACCATCAAATTATCAGTGGAAGTTACGATTTACATGAAAAGAGGAAAGAAATTGTTTGTATCACATCACACGTTTCATCATCCTGATCTCTAGAATTATATTTTATCACAAAAATTCACCTACTCCTCGCGGTCTTTCTCCCTTCACTATTGTTTTCCCTCATAACAATATAAAATTCATTTTTTTTGTTCATTCCCACTCACTCAGAATGGTATATATGTTTTTCTTTTATCTATTCCTAATATTTATTCTCTCTCTATTATTCATGTTCTCCTATATACTTCATATGAATTCTATCATATATTTTTGAACCTTGGAAAACCTTTATCAGCTTAAAAAGTCTTTGTATCCTCTTAAATTTACATCGTAATTACAATTATGGACGCGAAATATTCAATATAGTGATATTTTGTTTCATTTTTCAATTTCTTTTAATTCACATTTTTCTCATTTTAAGCTGACGAAAAGCTTTTCCAAATCACAGAATTACCCATTTGCTCCTAAATGACTCGTTCTCTCTTTCTCTCTCTCTCTATCTCACTCACTGTCTTCTCTCTCTCTCTCTCTCTCTAGCGAATTCTTTCTCACACCTACTAATCAATTTTACATTTAAGACTTAGACATAAGTAAGAGTTTCAAGGATTTGCTACAATTTTCTTTCTATTACCTTGGAAAAATATCTTTTGAATTTTGCTGGTGAAAAAGAAATAGTTTCCAATAATTTCTGATGATGGATGATAAATTTTTACAGTTTCAAAAATAACACTAAATATCGGATTTGTGCATCGCATTACGAGAAAAAATATCGTTCCCTCAGAAATGTTTCATCTTATTGTGTTGTCTTCACACACTTGACTTGACTATATTATTTGTTGTTTTTCTTTTTTGGAGTTATTGTAATTTTACAGGATCTATCACTTAAATAGAATGTGTCTCATCTTAACATAAGATTCACACTTTCACCGTTTATCTTACAGAGAAATATGTTCATCAATTTATACATTTATATCACTACTTCACCCTTTTATACTCATCTCGAAAAATGGAATGGCATTATCAGTTTCATTTAATCAAGTCGATTAAAAATATTAACTATCTCTCTCTCGCTCTCTCCCACATATTGTATTACAATGATATCTTTTTTTTTTTGAAAATATTTTCTTCTTTCAACCCTAATAAATGATTTGACAGCATATGATGTGATTGAAAATTTTTCATCTCATTTACACACTTCTTAGTTTATTGAGTCATCCAAATCATCATGTAAGCTCAGGAAATTTTCAAATTCACACCCATTTTTTCTCTTCATTCTGCAAGAGCGAAATTCATTATTTTTTGTTAAATTTCTAAACCTGTGGCAAAAATTGAGGAAAGACATTGGAAAAATACCAAAATTTACATAGAAATTCGATATCTTACCTTTCTCAGTTATGGTATTGTCCTTCATATCGAAAATATAGGTTTCAGATGCACATTTCTTTCACACGTCACGCTGTTGCACACCATTCATGTTCCTCTAATTATTCTGGAAACTGCCCAACAACTTATACTAAACTATCACACTGCAACACACTCATTTTCTCTCTTATTACCTATTATTATGTATTGTATTAGAAATTATATGTAGAATTTTAGTTAATGAATTTCCGTGAAATCCATTGGAAGGTAAACTAGCACGAATAAGAGGATCTTCAATTATCCATTCATCCTACTTCGCCGTATGAAATCCAAAAAAAAGAATCATATCAACTGAAAGAAATTCTGGAGAATTAAGCAAAGTAGGATGAAATTGTAAGTTTGATCGCTCTATTTTCGTGTGGAAGATCAGAAACGGTTTAATCAATTTATCCTCAGATTATCATAGATTTTATATGTTATGTACATTGTCTATATGTGATTTGTATTATATTTTCATTTTGATTAATCATGCTGTAATTAATCTTTATTCAAAACGAACGAAACCCTATAAGAAAAATTAATCTATTACATCATTTTTGGTTTTTGTTTCCTCTCGCCACACATAAACAATGCCCACAGCTTTAAATTTCATTTAAGCGTAATAATATACTTTAGTCAATATAATTATATTTTTATAAAGAAAAATTCGATTCAATTTATCTAAGCATTCCTTTTTTTGTGTAAGAATAAGAAGAGTGAAAACAAATAAAAAGGTGTGTAAAATTCAATATTTTGGACCGTTTATGATCTTTTCAATATCAAAAATTTAATATCCTACCCCCAAGAATGATCTACAAACTCTTTTTCGCATCTCATATCAGTCGGACAATCTCATCTTGGCCCTAAATAAAGCAAAAAACCAATAGGGAATGAGATTAGCAATGAAGTTAGAAAAGATATCCACTTTTCATTTTCACCTAGACAATCTCTAAATACCGCATTTCGCCTATGACACATTCATAGGTTCAATTAAGTTCTCACGCAAAATAGAGGCACTCACAAATTGATATTTCATCTTTAACTCCTACGGCTAGGATCTAATAATTACTCTCTCACCGCTTCACGTAATACCTTATATTGCTCAGAATCACGCACTAATCAGACAAGTTCTTTTCTCCGAATCTCACATGGACCCAAGTGTCACTCTTTCTCTCGCTCTCTTCCTTCACTATTACCCAAAGACAAAACCTCTCACCAAATCCCCTTTTGATTTCCTTCTCTCGATGTCTCAACGTTAGCGCACGCCTCTGCATCAGAATCACAACAGTCATTAGTTCTTGGAAGTGGAAGTAGGGGTGAAAATAAAAGAGGAACAATCATCAACAACATAAAGTCAACAAGAAGGCAATCATAAAAGAACCATTCAAAACCATTCACATTTGCTCCTCTGATAATTCTCCTTTAATCAGTAATATCTCTCTTGTATATTTCCGCTTTCCCGTCTCCACTCTCCACACAGTCACTCTCGATCTTCCGTCTCCTTTCGCACGTACTCAACTACTCCTTTTAATTTTATTTGATTTTTCCTTTTCTTCTACTATATTATCTGTATGATTTATCAAAAAAAAAATTTCATTTGCTGATTGGTTCTTCAGATAATTAATATTTTAAATTAAAAATATCTCACAATAAAATCCATAAACAATTTGAAACAGGCAAGAACACTCCGATGAATTATTTTTCTTTTTGGTTTTCCGTGTATTATTTACTTAACGAAAATTGTTGAATGCGTGTATAAAACTTCGACTTCGGCCAATTGCATAAGATAATAATGAAATAAGAAGTGTTTGTTTTGGTGAATCTCGAATATACGAACACTAACTTTGGTGCTCTTGTTCCCATCCAAAAAAGAGAAAAAAAAAGTTCCTACAAAATGTCTCAAGTTTAACACTATTCAAACAGAGCTTAAGATAAATTTATAATCGGAAGAAATTTTAAGGTGATATATATTGGAAATTTTTATGTATGTTTCTCTTCCTGTGATATAGTTTATCGGATAGATGATTGAGATTGTGTTACCTGCACAGGTTGGTAATTGTAGCTTATTTGGGGATTTGGACAAGCATGGTCACTGATGGTTGGATATAATCTGCAGAAGAAGATTGTGCATCAGCAAGCATCAATCAATTGCACACTATTTTGTGTGTGATTCAAACTCACCAACTGTTGACCATCGGTTGCTGCTGCTGCATCGTTCGCAACTTCTTCACCTCCTTCGACGCCCAATTCACCAGAGCCTTCGTTCGCGCCAGGCGGGATTTCTTGCCGTCAGCCAGAAGCTTACTTATCGGCTCATTGTCCACCAGCTGCAGTAGCGGTGGGCCAAAGGCGGTGCACAAGTCCCCAATCAGTCCAGCGCTCACTCCAATATTGTTGTCCGACAAATCTTTATCCTGGGCTATTGTGACAATGAATTTGAGAATGTGGGGCACATGCGGTTGCATCATCTCCACATCCGGCAATGGCTTCTCTCCGGCCCCTTTCAGGCCCTGAATGATGCCCGTGTACGCCTCGAGCACACTTTCACGCAGCTCATTCAGATACTCCACCATGTCCATATCGGTCTTGTCAACCTGCACAACAGAGGCGTGCATCAGCATATTCACCACCAGTTCCAGATATTTCTTGAATTCTGGCCCAATGCTTATCGCGATGTCGCCAAACACAGAGAGTATCTGCGGCTTAACACTCTGATGCAGATTGACATTGCTCAAGTTCTCCAGCAGCAAGGTCATAATTTCGTCACAGTAGGGCAACACCTTCAGCTTGAGACCACGACAGATATCACCGGTGAGTCCGACAGCAGCGCAACACACCTGGTACTCCTGATGATTCTTCAATCCCATGTAAAGGTAGGGCTTGAAGGCATCCATGTATGTGAGAAATTTCTCACCCAACAGATCAACCAGCGTCGACACGGCCATCAGAGCGTCCTCCTGGACATTTCCCACCTTGCCAAAATTCGATGCGAACATGCTCAAGAGGGAATTCATGACAATATCTGAGATTTTTGGTGCATCATCCGGTTCCACTTTGCGAAGCACAGCCTGCAGCGTGGCGCAGAGGAGAGACTGCAAGTCACTCATCTGGTGAGCCTCATTGGGCACAGCAATGTGATTCTCCATTGCCAGAACACGATTCAGCCTCTCGAGAATCACCATTGTTGTCTTTTGCACCACAATGTAGCAATCTGACGGTGAATTCTTGATCATCTCCATCAATGCCTCATACGCTGCCGATCTGAGATTAGCCTGAGCACCGTCGGGACGATCGGTTGTGGCCAGCAGGCACTCAATGATGTACTCAAAGTACTCAGACAGACAGTAGGTCTTCGGTGTGTTTTCATACACAAGTGGAGCGTCGTATGCCGCCTCAGACAGACCAGTGAATGCCCAACACACATTGGCTGCAACGCGAGGCTCCTGCTTCAGACCGCGCAGCAGACTTTCCAGAAGCTTCGACAAATGCGGCGATGAGATCACTGCCTCGGGAATCACTTCGCAGATCCTTCCGAAAGTCCACGCTGCCGTGTCTCGCACTACAACACTGTTGTCGTACATTGACTCAATCAATGTGACCATGGCTTGTTCCACAAGCGGCTTCAGAATGTTGGAATCGATGCCACTGAGGATGGAGCCGAATGCCATAAGAGCGGCATCTCTGTTGCGCCAGTTTTCCCCCTTGATATTCTCCTTGATGAATGGCATCACGTGGGGCACGATATCGTTCTCACAGCACGTTGCCAGCAACATCAGACACACACCGGCTGCCTTTGACGTGTTCCAGTCATCCTCATCGTCGAACTCCTCTTGCTTGGTCAGCTTCTCCATGAGCACGGGTGCCAGGTACTGCAGAGCCCCGCGAGCATAGTGCTTCGAGACACGTTGCGGCGTGTTGCCAGTCTCTTGCGCCTCTTGATTCTCAATGGCCAGATCGATTTCCTCGTCACTGACATTCGACCAGAACTCAATGCCCTGCAGCGCGATTTGGTCGTTGTCCGACTTCATGGCCTCGAGAGTGATCGGGAAGAGCGCCTGCACCATGTATGGCTCCATGTAGTGATAGTAGAGCGACAAGATTTTCACGAGACACTGCAGTGCCGCCACGCAGATCTGCGTGTCCTGACTCTGCGTGGCCTCGCACACCACTTCCATGATGTAGTTGCGCTCTGAGGTCTGATTGAAGTTGGCGCGCGTGAATTCCAGGGAGTTGTACAGGGCATTCGTGGCCGCCAGGCGAACGTGATTGCTCGGTTCGGCCTTGCGCATGCCGTGAATGATGGCCGTGAGGATCTGATTGGACTGCAATTCCAGCACTTCCGCACTGATGTCCTGGCAAATGTACCCAATTGTTTCCAGAGAAGCCTCCTTTATCATCTCTGTGGAATGCTCGCCCACCACATTGTTCACTAGGGTCATGATCAGGTAATCCCACTGGTGCATCGGCAGCTCCGCCATCGCCACATAAGCTACACATTGAGCCGCCGACGATGGCCTGGTGTCTTCTGTTCCAAGCGCCGAGAGAATCTGCAAGAGACAAAGTGTCAGTGTACGTCCTCGGCACACCTTTTCAGCCAACTCACATTCTTCTTCACGTATTCCCGGATGTCTTGGGAAAACTGAAGCCATCGCTGCTGATACTCATCCCTCGTCTTCGTCTCCTTGCTGGTCAGGTGATTCTTGAGCTGCAATCCGGCCGCCATTCGGGCCACAGAACTGTTCTCCGGCCGCACGAGTACATCGGAGAGGGCTTTCAGGAATTCAGGCAGATTCGAGTCGGCTGCTTGCTCGAGAAAATTCTTCGCCACCAGAAGTTCGGTTTTATCTGAAAAAATAACATCAATAAATGGCATTTAGGAGGCAAAGACGAGAGACGAGGAGAACAGCGAAGTTGCTCTGCGCGAGCTCCACTCGCCATCCCAAGGCTACATCTTTTTACATCACACAAATGGCAACTCAGGAACTCATTTGGGGGTTATGTTACTCCGCCATACCAGCGAAAAGCGTAATTTTCCACGCCAGCGACCCACAATTCTGCCCCGTTGTGACTTCATTGCGCCCAGACTTTTTAGTCGCAGAGCAAGGGGTTGCCCAAAGGATCTCCGGCGTGACGCGTCTTTGGCCGCCCGAAGCATTTTGCAAAAAATTCCCGTTCTCTCCCCCATTGAGAATGCTTGTATAAAAAATGACAGCCACCATTTTTCTTACCTGGCGACACAGTTTTCTCGAGAATTTGTATCAATTGCATCATCATTTTGGCGCTCCTGCACTGAATACAATTACGAGATAATGATAACACTGGTTTAAGCAACTTATTTGATATACAAAATAATTCTGGATGAACAATTTCAACTAATTTTCTGGCCGGCTGCGCTTATTCCATGTGAAGTCGTCAATTCTTCGTGAACACTGAATTCCGAATTTCTTATACGAGTTCAAGCGTCATCCAATATGGCGTTCAACATCGAAAATCTCGTTGGAATATTCAAACACCCTCCACTGCAAACGGCCAACACCGGAAAAAATCGCACCATTTCTTATTACTGTTTTGTATCAGAGATATATTTATTTCGCTACATAATTACGAATAATTCTAATACTTTCAAATAAAATTGTATCAATTTTTCATCATCCATATTTCAATATGTGTGTGCGCCGAAAACAGAGCTATTTGCATCATATTCCTTTAAAACACAAATATGATCTCATTATTTGCACATTATTTGTATCAAACACATTTAGTTTGGGAAAGAAGGAAAATAAAATTACTTTACATTAAATTAATCTTAATTATTTGCATTTTTAGTAGTTGGCTCATCGATTCATTTCCTTTTTTTTATACACAAAAAATTTCAATTTTGTGAAAGAGGGAAGGAAAGTGTCCAGAAGGCGACAAAATACGTGAATAAATTTACATAATCACAAACAAATAGTTTTCATCTTTGCAGCAGAAGTTGAAAAAATGTTTAATCCACCTTCACAACACTGTAAATCTTCCTGATGAACCAGAAGCAGGCGAAGAATCCTATTGAGCCGGTGAGGAGGAAAAAGAGGAAAACCATTATGGCCGTGTAGCCAAAGTACAGGAAAGTCGAAGCGGCGTCTTCAATCGAGAGTTTCGTGGCGAAGTAGTGGCAGCAGTAGATAAAGAGATACACTGCCGTGAAGCCAGATGTGAGGAAGGATCTCCACCACCAGTGGTAGTCCTCTGCGCAGAGGTGGAAATAGCAAAGCAGAATCGTCGTCTCCGAGCACGTGATTACGAGGATGATGAAGACGAGAAACAGGAATCCGAACATGTAATACATCTGACTGGACCAGATAGAGTTGAGAATGAAGAAGAGTTGGATGAAGATGCAACCAAAAGGCAGCACACCGCCCATGATGATGCCCGGAATCGGTTGCGTGTAGATGGATTGGTCGGGAATTTGGCGTGGAATCTGATTAGTTCTCACTGGGTGCTCCAGGGATCGCTTGCGGAAGCCAAAGTACGCCCCCACGAAAGTCAATGGCACGGAGACGCCAAACCAAAGCGCTAGCAAAGCAAGCAGCGTGCTAAAGGGCACAGCGCCAGAGCTGCCCTTACCCCACAACACCAGGTTCATGACAAAGAACAGCCCAAAGACCAGGCCAGGGCTCAGCATGGACGTCAAAAGGACATTGCTCTTCCACTTGATTCCGCCAAAGCTCTTGTAGATGCGCGATGACACGTACCCAGCCGGCGTTCCCAGGAGCACGAACAACACCATGGCGCAAGTCATAAGGGCTCCACGATTGGCGGGCGATAGGAATCCAAGGCAGGCAAACGCCAGCGTGACCAGAGTCATAAAGAACACCTGCACTCCAGATCCCAGCAGAACAGACAACAGCATTCCCTTGCGCGGCGGTCGGAATACATCACCGTGCACGAGCTTCCACCCAAACTCCTCCTGAGCATCCTCGCCGCACTCCATTTGATTGTACCGGGCAATGTCCTTGTGGAGCGTGCGCAGCATTATCATTGCCACCATGCCAGAAAGGAAGAGTACAATCACGAGAGAGTTGAGAATGCTGAACCACTGGATGTTCGTGTGTGGCATAGACTCGAGAATGTAATCCCAGCGCGAGGACCACTTGATGGTATTGTTTCTGTGGAAATTCACCGAGTATGTGTACGTGATGTTGATCTTCTGTCCCGAGGCTAGGGAGTTTGCCTCAATCGCCAGTGCTTCTTTGCTGTTGCAGTCCGGCGCATCGGGATTGCGATGGTTGATTGACGAAGGCACAACCTTCACGGAGATAATCCGGCCTCCTTCCAGGCCAGCGTCTGTCTTGAAGCCCACGCCTAACTCTTCCGAAGCGCCGCTGTGGTAAGTTATGGTCAAATCCACGTGGTTGAACGGATAATAGTGGCCGGGTTGGTTGTAGTGCAGATTCATAGGGCATCCCTCATCTCCATCTGGGCGTCGACGCACCAGACAGCCCATAGGGAAGCCAGTGCTGCAGTACTGCCGATCGTCGGAGCCGCTGAGCGGATAGCACCACGTCACAGGCATGTTATCGACAATCCAGTGGTGCTGATAGTTGAGGCTCATTCCCTTTTTCAGTATCATCAATTTTCGATCACTCTCCGGATCGCCGCCCGTGTAGGTTTTAGTGCAAACCTGCAACGCAACCACATAACATCTATTAGCACTCGAAACCATGAAATGTCTCCTTATCAGTATTCCCCATCACTCTTTATCGCTGCTCTACACCGCTCATGTTGTGATTTTTCTTTCTACAGATTATATGCAATGTACTGGCAAAGAATTCATTGCCTGATAAGCAGAATAACTTTGCGTAAATTTTGTGAAATCTTAATTGTATCCTCAACGAAGGAAGTTATGTGTCACTAACTATTGATAACAACATCTAGCGCTACCAACAGTCTCGAAACTGCTTAAACAGCTTGTATAATATGATTTTTTTTCTCTGCGCGAATCGTGCAAACATTTCTTCGAATTGCCAAATCTCAGTGTCCAAAGTGATCATAAGCAAAAAGCAAGGGCATTTTTGGCAAGACATGACATTTCATTTGGAGGTCTTCTCTGGGCTTTTGACCAATTTCCAGGCGTTGTTCAGCAATTACTCACCTTAGCACATTGAACATCCTTCATAAAGTCAATTTTGTACGGACCAGGGCGTATCCTCTCGCCGAAAACCACCTGTCCCAGATTCTCTACCGGCGAATCGCTCTCGTCCACTTGGCAGAAGTCAAAGTGATGGTACTCGTAGGGAATCACAGATTCCTCTGTGTTGAGACGATTCACGAACAGGAGCACCTCCGACTGCAAAGAAAAACGCGATAAGAAAAACCGCAAAAACAATCGCGAAACTTGGATTCATCAATTTTCTATCACGATGACAATTCTAAGTCATTTCTATTATGACACTTTAACCCATTTTCGCCTTCTCTACTTCATCTGCATGATGCTTACGTAGATTTTCTCCATTTTCCCGTGAAAAATGGAGAAATCAAAGGAATCAATGGGCAGACATGAAAATTGCTCGCCGCAGACCTCATCAACCTTGAGAGGTTTCTGCACTCCCGGACTGCGACACGGATTCCCATCTCACCTTGCAGGGCTCTGTGGAGTCTGAGTGCTTGCAGTAATTCACAGGAGCTAATCCGGGCAGGTAGAAGCCATTTATCATGGGCAGAAGAAGCAAAAATGTGGCAAAGAACCGTCGACATTGAGTCATCTTTCCTTCTATTCTCTGCGACTCTTCCTCACGAAACCACTGCTTTTATCACCCACACGATCACTTTTATCACCTTTTCGTCACTTTAATCTGCACTGGTATGCTTACGCTCTGTTTTTAATGGTCTAACTACATTGACACGTTTTTAAATTCCACGTAAAAAGCAAAATTATGTGATAATGCTTGACGGCCGGAAAGAAAATGACAGAGTGGCTCAGATGGCGCTGCTGTGCCTGCAATGTGGTGAAACCTTGCAACTGCCGCAGATTTTTAGACAAGTTCAAATGAATTCTGGGGCCGATAAATATTGGATGGATAATTACTGAAAATAAACTGTAATTGACTCATATTTTCTCAATAAATTAGTGTCATCATCATAGATTTCGTTTGATTTTCCCATTAAATAGAGATTCGCTCCGCTTCCCATGATTCGCAATCGGGAATCTTATACCACTTTAGGCTCTTGCACTCGTCCATTTGCCAGCCCCTTGGCGAAATGTCAAGTCGACGTTTGATTTTTGATGGAGGGCCACAAAATAGTGAAAAGTTCTTGAAAGAAAGATAAGATTGCGGAAAAAGGGTCTTTTTCCTCCCGAAATCACAGTGAAAATACAATTTGTGGTGCTTACAGAGTGTGTTAACGATGCAGTGAGTGGAGAAATGGTGTAAAATGGTGACTTATTGGTGTGTTATTGATTTTTTCGGGGCGTCGCATTGTGTAACTTTGTGAATTCCACTGCAACAGTGTTTGTGCGGAATTTGCAGTGAAAATGGATGCACAGACCCAGTTTCCGGACTTTCTGGGCATTCCGCTGGCCGCCCAGTGGAATTATACCCAGCATGTCACTCTGGAGGACCTCAAAATGGACTCGAACATGGTGAGACTCTGCGAATAGATGCGTCTCCTGACCAGCGACATGGTGACACACTCATGGCTTTACTTTTGCAGGTGTGGCTGCTCTGCTCTCTGCTCTCGTCCATCTCCTGGGTGATCTACATCACGTTCTACAACTCCCGCGTGGTGGGCTACTTCGTCACGAAGATGGGCAACAGGCTGTACATCAAGGACGCCTACTTCCGGATTGGTTCTCTCACGCTCAATCCTCTCGCTGGCAAGATCATGTTCCGCGATCTCGTTTACATCTGCTTCGACTACACAATCCGCATCCAGGATGGCTACTTTATATTTCGGTGGTGGCGAGCTTACGTGCCCAAGGACGTCTCAGAGGATCTCTCGCACTCGGACACGCGCCTCTCTGTCATGCTCAACGGCCTGGAGCTTCACGTGTACAATCGCTGCGACCTCTACTCAAAGCTGGAGAAGACATTCGGCCTCAAACCCACCATCCTTATTCCGGTGAGTTTAAGATTCCTTTCTCCTCGGCTGATTTCTATGCCCTGAGTGACAAGGACACTGGGGTAAATCGACGAAGACTCTTATCAAAACGCTAACACAAATCTTGGATTAATAAGACAATGAATTGTGATAAGAGGCAATTCTAATCGAGAAGGGCTGAAATTTATTCCAAAGCTCTCAATGCTTTGAGTAGATAAAATTCTTCTAGAACGGGAACGTCATCCAATTGTTAACATCTTATCAGCAACTCTATACATCTATATTTTTCTTTCTCTGCAATAATCAATGACTTTCATTTCACGGTAATCAAGAATGTATCGTTATGAGATTATTTTCAATGAGCTTTTTCTTTGTCACATCATGTAATCCAACCATATGTTTATCACATAAGTTTCTCATGGTGATATCACTCTTTCTTTCATGTGATTTCAGACGGAAAATATGTCGAGTGATGAAGCGAGCCGAATCAATGAGCAGGCAATGAATGTACACAAGCTAACGACTGATAGTGGAGACGGAGTCGAGGAGGAGCAGCAAAACAGTGCGAAGGAGAAGCAGAAGAAACCCCGGCCAGAGGCTATGACAGCGACAACTTGGCGAGACTTGATACCTGTGATCAAGATTGATATATGCTCTGGCCGTTTTGTGTTTGGCAATCGCCTCACGCCCACCACGCTTTCTATCTGCGTGGAGGAAGCTCACTGTGTGTACAGCACGAAGCCAGCGGTGTCCAGACTGGATCACTTCATGCACTTTGTCAAGGCGAAAGCGGAGAATGCAAAGGTCTTGCTCGCGCCCAGTCCCAAATACACGGGCCTCGTGGACGAGCCTCCGCGATACATGGGTGAAGGCTTTGTCGTCATGATGTCGAACTTGCTGGAGCTCTACTTCTACATGGATGAGGCGGGAGTGGTGCCTGAGCAGCCGGTGTTACTCACGCTGGCGAATGGGGATGTAGTCGAGGCGGCACCGCCGATGTGGGGCATCGATATAAAGTGTGGCAAAGGGACGGATTTCAGCTATGGTCCCTGGGCTGACCGGCAGAGGGATCACCTGTTCAAGTTCTTCTTCCCGCCAGACTACCAGACAATGGTGGTGACTCAGCCGCCGAAGCCAGGCGATCGACGTCAGTATCAAACGTTTGAGGTCAGCCTGAGCACTCTTGATCGAGCGACCATTGATATCCTCTTCTCGAAAAACAAAGAGACGAACGCTGTACATGTGATAACTGGACCGGGATCATATCTGGAAGTCACTCTGCCGTGGATCAATCTGCAGGATGGCTTCACGACAAAAATCACCGGACAATTGCTGCACGTTGAAGCCACCACGAGTCTTCAGTATCGAAGCTTGGGCGAGTGTGAGACTCTGCAGTTCAATATAAAAGTTCATTATCCGCTGCGATGGAATGACCACCAGGAGTGGATCATCAACTTGACTGGGTCGAAGGCCACAGCCTATGTTGTGTACTCCCACAAGGATTTCTTCCAGGACCTCATTGAGGACTGGACATCGAAGTCACGGCCTGACATTTTATACTTTGTCCCCTACACATGGAAGTTCTGCATTCTTCTGAAGGAGTTTGAGATCATCACGCTCAGCAATGAGTACAACTGGATTGATTGCTCCAGTACTAATCAGGAGAATCATCATCTCGCCTTCTGTGGTGATCTCTTCGACTTGAGCTTCAATTTGCCATTCGATGACTTCCTGCCACAGACAGTTCCTCTCAAGTTCTGGATCCATGGCGAGGGCCTGGACTTGAGCATGTATCTGCCTGAAGTGTCTACGAGTAGACCAATCCTTATTGGGTTGGATGAGAATGCTAGGATTCTCACGCGTGACGGACATGTGAAGAAGCGAGCGGAATTGCTGTCGAAGAAGTGGCGGAGAATTTGCCTGAGAAATACGGGATGGATCGACTGTTGGACGGTACCTATTGTCGCTTTGGCCATTCAGTACATTTACCATCCAATTCCACCGCTTGGCCCAGATCCACAAGCTGATATCACGACTCCTGAAAAGGAGGAGATCCTGTTGAGTCCTATGCGCATACCGAAATTGCGAAAATCTCCTGTGATCACATGGACTCAGAGTGATCAGCGCTTCGATCCAACCACGCTTCCTCCAGACAAAGTGACAGTTGAACTAGAGATTGGTTCGTCAGTGTTGTTTGCCTACGGCGCAGTCCTCAGAAATTTCATCCACTTGAAGGAGAATATTTTTGGAGAGGATCAAGCTTTTACCGACATGGAGACGTCTAACATAAAAGTGTCAAATCCATCTCAAAGTGCAGGTCTGACAAAGGCCACTCTTATTGCCAAGGATGATCAGGCAAAGTCTGTGTCAGAGATGAGCGTGGGAACAGAAGAGAAGCCGAAGAGGTTTGATCCACGACTCTTTCGACCATTTGAGGTCACTGTTACCGTTACAATTCACGATATCCAGGCGCATCTGATCAAAAATTGCACAGAAAATGATCCTCCGTGCCCGATAATTTTGATTGAGAGACTCGGATTTGAAATGACAAAGAATTTCACAGAAACGCAACTTCAAGTGCTCGTCAGTCCATCTTTCCTGATCATTCCCGACAATATGCCGCGCACTGCCAAGGATAAGCACCTAAAGCAAGGCCATCTTTTGCTCTCAGCGGTGCAAGTGCGTGGCCATGCGATGTTCAGCAATGAGGGCAGATCACTGGACGAGGATACGCTGGAATATGGCTGGTTGCTTGAAGTGCAACTGGGTAAATTGTCTGGGAAACTGACACCACAGCAATTGTGTCATCTCGTGACGGGCCTCGAGACATTCCTAATGCTTGTGATGGACTCTGAAAATCAGCTGAGACCATCGAAGAATCTCCGGTATTGTCATCACGGAGTCCCATCGAATCTATGTCCCCACTCTAAGGAAGACACTCGCTATCGCTGTCCATCGTGTGAAGATATCAAGTATAGAATGACGAGAGTGGCGATTGACGCTCTGGATATCTATTTGGTAGAGGGAGGAACAGCTCTCCATACTTGGATATCTCCAGTGAGGATTTCTACGTGTAATCTTCATGGTCAGCAGGTGAAATCTGGCATCACTGGTCTTCTGTCGACTGTTCTTCTGCGACAGTTTGTCTCGACTGGTGGGCATTTCAATCATACCAATGGAAATTCTCACAGCAACACAAACACAACGGGAAGTGGAAGATCAACTAAGCTCCAGACTCACTACCAATTGCATCCTGGCAAGGAGGGAGACAAGAAGGAGGATATAAATGCGCTGTTCAAGCGTGAGGATCACATAAAGGGCAAAAAGGAGGGTGAACATGGAATTCATAGAAAAGAATCCAAGGAAAAGGACGATTCCTACTCCAGCCGAAGACACAGAGAGAGCGAACATCATTACAAGCGTGAGAAGGAAGACGGATTTTCATCCATCTACTCATCCGTGAGGGATAGGAATCGAGAGATCGATCAAGATCCGTGGTTGGAAGTTGGCTGTGTATCACTTGGACCGATCATCATTGAAGCCGCTTCTGCACTTCCTATTCCTGAGCATTGTCTGCATTTGGTGCAGCATAAGTATGGAAAATTCTGTCTTCTATTGGGTGGTCACAGTGATTTATTAACAATGTTCTGTTTCTCTAGCTACTTGAAGGTACACGATGAAAAGACAAAGAGATTGTGGTTCTTGTGGGGCATCAACATGGAGAATGCGAGGTGTGGCTGCGTTGGAGGCTGTGCTTTCTTCGGATCTAATAGAAATGGTGTTAATTTCTTCAAACCAACTGCTCAAGATTTGCACGATAATGTCAATATTGCACGATATCAGTGAGTATTTAGGATAAGGAAGATCTCTTTGTCTCTTGTTTACTACAATTCATGGCATTTTCAGTATTAACTCCAATGCTAAGGAGTATGGATTTGGTCAGAGTTTGCTTCACGAGGGACAATTGGTATTTCAAACGCCGCCGTATAGCCTACAACCGGTTACTCTTCAGGAATGTTACGACTATGTGACCAGAGTGAGTGAGATGATGTGAAAACTTCCATAAAGTCATTTGATTATCGTGTATTTTTATGATTACAGCCCAATCATCGCGGCTCTCGTCATGCAGTGGACACAAAATCCCCCTTGCCGATCTCGAAGCAAGAGAGTATCTACGTAAGCAAGTCAGATACTTCACCCAACAGTACGCTAATCAGGCCAGGTGTGGATTATCATGAGAAAACCTTGCCCAAGATGAAGGAAAAGGGTTCACCATTGTCAGGAGAACGCAAAGGGAGAAGATTTTCGTATACGAACTCACGGTAATTTCTCATAATTTTAATCTCAACAAACCCTGTGGCAATTTATCTTCAATTGTTGACACAAAAAGCAGTGGATTTAGCAAAGAAATTTGCTAAATCTTGCTGCTTTCTGCGTCAATTTATCGAATCAGGAACTTATTATTGATTATAAGTTCTTGGAAACAAACATTTTGCCCATATGAAATGATGATATGATTTTTTCTCAAGAGAAAAAATGTATCGGCATCACCAGGTGAGACTATCTATAAGCCAAGAACGTCTTGTATAATGATGCCTACAGAATTTATTCCTTCCTCATCGAGTTGAACATGAATTTTTACCATTTTCTTATGTTGATTTTCTCTTTTAAGACAAAACATTCACGATGTTCCATACGCTCGTCTGTTGGACACGCCCTCGAAGAGTGGCCGATCTCGGGAGCAGTGCGAGAGTCGCTTGTCGCACACCAGTCCAGTTAGGCAGGACTCTATATCCCGTCTTTCAGCTGTAACACCGAGAGGTCTTCAAATCCCACCACCAAAGACCAGCGCTTCGGATTCGAGGCTCACTGTGGACTACTTTCAACCTGCTGATGAGCTGGATTTGTCAATTGAGATGTCCTCGTCGGCTCCGCCACCTCAGCATCCCCTGCAGTCGGATTCAGAGCAATCTCTGAGTCCACATGTGACTTCCGAGGAGGCCATTAATCGCGAAGTGCAGAGAACTATCTCACTGACATCGGAGAATCCTTCGGAAGCCTTCTTCTCGGCTGATGAGGATATTCACGCGTCGCGCAGTTCGAGCTTGAAGACGACAGATATTGTGATGCCAGTGCCAAAGAAGAGATTTGCCTCCGATCTCAGCATCGGAGGGCAGAATGATCTGGACAATAAGCTATCGACACATCGCAGTGACTATGAGATCAATACGCCTGAGCACAGGAGTTTGCCGAAGAGTTCGCAGAGTACGGCTGAATTTGTAAGTAAAGTGATTGTTGTAGTAATTTGATTGGTTTATCAGGGGATGAAAAGACTATGTAATCAAGTTCACCGCATGTTTACTTCATATCAATATGATCATGAATAACACTCACGCGAAAAAGTGCAAGCATATCCATTAATTTCCTTTTAATGTGTACACTACATAGACCGGGGACGAGAGAAGAATTCACGGTCTTGCAACACCACTTCGAAAATTTAGCAATATTTCACCAAGACCAGAATTTCGTCACTTTAAACCAGTGTATGATGTGAGTAAAGAATCACCGTCCTCTTGCAGGGAAGAACTATGCAAATTTTACAGAGTGAGAGAGTAGTGTCGTTGTTAGAACATAAATTATGTAACATGATAGACAGCTTGGTGTTTTTTTTTGTTGGTATTGTCCTTAATTTACCATCATCAATTGCATTTGTACATAAAATCTACCATTGCTTCATTTTCTTTTCATTATGTTTCTGATTTAATCATGTTATTTTTTCGTGAGATTCATAAATAGCATAAAATGGTTTTCATAGCTGTTGCAAAGGATAGCTCTTATGCGATATTTCTCACATATGACTTATTAATTTCAGCATATGGACTCTCAAGAATCTTCCAGCGATTCACCATCTTTATCTTCAACATCCTTTATCTCAGCTTTGTCGTCACAGGAGGACATAACACTTGTGAATTTGCATATGCAAGTCAATCGTCCGATCGTTGATTCGCCACTGTTGATGGCTAGCTATGTGACTCACTTGGCTCAAGTGAGATGCAACAACTGGTCGCATTGCTCACTGCCGTACGGAGCAGATTCCTTCTCCACGCCGCTGTTCCAGCAAACGGAAGAGGGTGGTTTAGTTTACATTGGCGGAAGAATGGTGCCGCACTTTGACACATGCTCCAATTGGCGAGAAGTGAGAATTCTCACAAGAACCGATCCATCGTCAACTTCGAGTTTACCAACGAGTTCTGGTTTGCCTAAATCTCATCCGTGGGATCCGTCGATAATGATTAAGAATGACGAACAGGAGAAGAACAAAGAAAGTGAGTAGGAATTGTTGGGTCATAAAAAAAACCTTCGATAAATTATTATTTTGTTTCATTGACCAGATGAAGAGAGTGAATTCATCAGTCCAATGGCAGGCGAGACGGCGACACGAAACTCTGTAGTGGTTCGCTTCAAGGGACAAGCAGACGTAATGGTGACTCCTCTTCTGTTGGAAGGACTCCAGAGGTGAATATTCTGAAGCAGTTGCATGTACAAAATAAAATACTACTCTTTATTTGTACTTTTTCAGGATGATTGAGTCTTTGACGCCAACACTTGCCACACTCCACCCGCTGACAATCATCAATTACTTGCATGGCTCGTGCATAAGGAAAGTGGAGGCAGCCAACATACTGAAGCGAGATCAGTCGCTGAGCTATTGGTCTCAAGTGCATTCCAATTCAAAGAGATCCACCGCTGAGAGGAATCTGCAGGGGCCTGGAGGACCAGTTCTCACTGATGTCTATGAAGAGAGTATTTCCACGCAACTGCAAGGATTGATCGTTCTGCCCAAGATCAGTGTGTCCATGATACAGAGCTCGGTGGTTGAAGAAGTGATCTCTTTTGCTGCTCTAGACAATGTGCAAGATTTGAGTTGTGCTTCACTGCTGGTTGTGTGTTTCGACAGTATTTCCACAAGATTTCACTTTGCCAAGGCGACGAAAGCTTCAATGCACACATTTACACAGCCTGCAATGAGATCTGGTGGACTGAAGAAGGGCGGAATTATTCGTGGGACTACCAGAGCTCTTCTAGCACATTTATCGTCGCAATCTCGTCCGGATAACGTTCCTGGAGAGCCTGTGTTGATTGAGACGTCGGAGAAGCAACTGGAGGAACTCGTTGTCACACTAGACATTGGAAAGGCTCATGCTCAGTTGAGACGACTGAAGAATGAGGGCTGCGCTCTACAGGAGGGTCAAACAATTGTCACAGCTATTCCTGCTCATCGCAGTCGAGCCATGTTTGAGTGTACAAAGTATCCAGAAGAGCCCTCTTTGGAGCCATTTGGACTGGGCTTCATAATGTTTGAAGGTGGATTGGAGGGAATAGGAGTGAAAATCGTGAAGAGATCACAATTTGAGAAGTCGGAAAATGCCCAGGATCGACTAAAAGAGCAATCTGCGGAGCCCGAAGTGAATGTTGAGGTTCTCGCGTCGGTGAAAAAGTCAAGTCAGCAAACTCCATCCGCAGCAACTGTTGTGGATTCTGCACCAAATACAGGGAAATTGGGTGAAAACAGAAGTTCAACGGGAAGTCAGATTAAGAAGCCGCTCACTCCTAATGTTAAGCCAAGCACGCCGAAGGAGAAGCTCATGATCGGATTGGATTTCAATAAGGGTCGCGATAAGGAGAGTGTGGGCAAAGATGTGGGGAAGCAACAAGAATCGACAACGACAGTTGAGGAGGAGCCTTCGAAAGAAGCGGGCAGCAGTAAACCTCAACCGGCCCCAGCGCAAGGCAATTTGAATGCGGTGGTGGCGAAGAAGAACGACAATGGGAAGACATCGTCGTGCATAATTGACTTAAAGACGGTGTGGTTCAATTTTGCCGCTCCTCCAAGGGTTCCAATCACACGAAAAATTGACTACACGCGACTTGATTGGAATCTGTTGAGCACAGCTTCGCCGGCAATCACAGCCTGGATGAATCCTAGCAACAGGTTCGCTATCAAAGTCGTATCTATGATGAGAGCAATGCATCAGCGTCGAACAGCAGTGACGGCGAGCTTGATGGCTGATGGTTTGGAGGTGCAGGGAATTCACAGGCCTGTGAAGAGTCGATATTCAAGGAAATTGACTCCACTATCGAAGACTCTGCAGGAGGATCCGAGCTGCCAACTTTGTACGATAATGCAGAAGTACATCCTGCAAGAGTCTCTGGAGAAAGTGGAAGGAAATCTGAAGCAACAAGATTTGCCACAGTTGAATGTCTTGCGACAGGGCGTGATTGTGCTGAGTCGTCAATGGAAGAACACGCTTTACAATCCAATGCTGTTTGAGCATCAGTACAAGAACAAACTGATCCAGCCGATGAATGTGACATTCTCCATGCAGCCACTGGATGAGGTAAGTGTGTAAATACGAATCTGTTGCGTAAAATTCCTTGAAGTTTATCTGTTGAATGAGAAAAGGAATAGTACTCAGCAAAGATTTTCTCGCGGTCATTTGATAAGAAATGTTATCTACAATTTTACAATATGATTTTTCAGACTGAGAGTTTTACTTATGATAGTATGAGTATTGATAGTAGTGATTCAGTTTTTGGTAAGTTGCCATTATAAGTTATGTCACAGTAAGGCAAATATTCCGTTCAATTTGACTGTCATGTCCGAGAAAGTCATGAAGTGGTCCACCTCCACTATGTGCTTCTGCCGCATATAGTCGTTACATTATAATGGTGGTAGGAAAACATATTTTATGTACAGATATATTCTCTATTTCTTCCTTCATGTTCAATGAGGATGTTTTATCTATATACATATATGTCCGTATAATGAAATATTCGAAACATATTTTGGCATTTCATAGAGTTACACACATCAATGTTTGTGCCTCTTCTTGTCTTTGGCAACTAAAACATTCAAAATTAAGAAAGAAAACGTAGAGAAGGAGAGAAATTGTAATGTTGAGATCAATATTGCAGTCTCTTGATGGCCCAATACTAGTGGCTTTCTAGAAAGTATACTCACACTCTTGTCACAAAACTAACAATATCTATATCTGGGGTTGTCTCTCAATGCTTATTTGCCTTTTCGCTGCACATTCTAGGATTGTGATGATGTGGATGATTTGGACACTGAAACGTATACAATGGGTGTTATAAATGACTCGGAAGAAACAGAACGTACAATGCTTCTGGGTCGAGGTGTGGTTCCTCATCGCAATGGTAATGATTCCTAGTCAAATTACATAAATTGCTTCTTCATTTTTGTACATTTCATCCATTGATGTACTTTAACAAAGACAAAAAATATGTGTGGTAAGATTCCAGGGTGCAATCTTTTATACAATCCTTCACTTTGCAGTTATCAAGTTGCCCGATGATATGGCAGCTTCTTCGGTGCACAACTCAAAGTTGTCCGATTCTGTAAATACATCGCCGAGTTTGAAGTCAGGAAAGGGAAACCGGAAGAAGTCTCTGAAGACTCAACAATCCTCCACGAGACATTCCAGCATCCAGATGTTCCCGATTATATCAGGATTCGTGGAGAAGCAGGAGCCTCAGATTGAGTACGGTACCCTGAGGGATGGATCTTTGCCTTCAATTTGCAGTTCTTCGGATTCTTTGGAGAAGGCTTGGAGTCCACCGCCGAATCATAAGGAGGACTTGTACTCCTGGATGGCGAAGCAGCAGCATGAGAGTGAGAAGAATGAGTCAAATGAGAAGGATCAAGATCGACCGTCGACTCCTGTTCGACCAGTCGTGGTTCAATCAAATAACGGTTACGTTCAGGATTCTGTACGTTTACTGGATGCTCATCTGATCTTTGAGCCACTGTTGTCATGCTTGGGTGTGATGCCACAGCAAATGGTGAACAATATTGCCAATCCCGATGTATCATTGGATAGTTTGGGAACAAATCTGTCTCTGGTGGGATCGTTTGACACGCTGCGGATCGACATTGTGGTTTCTGAGGCTGGGGATAAGAAGCCAAAAGCTAAAATTGGCAAGAAATGTAAATATTTCGCATAATTCTCATTGCAACTCTCTAATTGGACATTCTTTTTACAGCTAATGGAAAATTCGTTCTCACGATGCCACCGGAAACACCGGCATTTCTGTGCGAACGCGTTGGAGTTGATATTGAAGTGCGAAAGATGACAGATGGCTTTCCGGATGATGCTAATCCAAACATTCTTTATCTCTCACGAGGCCAATTGAAGAAGCACACGAGTACAGTGATCAATTTCAGCCTCAATGTTCGTTACATTTCACAGCAAGTCAATATGCCGTTGCTTCGGCTGCTGCATCAAATCACCAATATGTACCAGAATGTTAAAGAGGCGCAGAACGAGCTGCGTGAGCAACCAGAAACCGGAAAAAGAAGTGTTCCTATAAAGGATGAATCGAGTTTGGCATCAGAAATCAATGATCCCACACTTTTGGGCTCTATCCATGAACCCATATCGCGATTGGATAGCAGCATGTTGGATGAGCATTATGACAAATTCAACGAATCATATCCAATTGGGCACTCTATAAGCAGGTGAGTCTGGTGTTTTCTATATGAAATATTCTCATTTGCGGTGGTTAATTCGGTTGCTATTTTTCAGAACGAGACTTCCTTCTCTCGGGCCATTGATTCCTCTAACACCGTCTCCAAGTGCTCGCAATCGACCGCAGAGCTTTGCGCAAAAACTGAGATCAACGAGCAAGAGTGTGAAGGGAAAGCTGGGCTACATAAATTTGACTGAGACGGTGTCTACGCCAATTAAGACGAGTCCCACGACATCGACCTTTGAACAATCGTATCCTGTTATTCAGAAGAATCCTGTTGAGTCCAAATACTCTCTTGCGGGAGCGACATCGAGCACTTATGGCGGTGAGTACGATGAGATACACTTGAACTAACAAATTGGTGAGAAAGTGTCAAAATTCACGGTATTTAATATCAATTGCAATATAGGTCCTTTAGTGAATGAAGCTTTTGTAGACTATACAGCTCCGTTTGGACGAGCATCATTTGAGGGAGTGCCTAATGGAGCAAATGGCCACATTATAGTAACGCCAAAGTGCTGGAAGACGATTTATCACCTACTGGATTTGTACGCAACGATGCCAGAAACTAAGACTGTCTGTCATAGGTAAAATGATTATAAGGATAAGTGGATTAAGCGAAATTTATGTCTAAATTGTATTTCAGGGTGTCTGTATCTCCGGATGCGATTGATCACTTAAAGTCAATTCGTCGCAGCAATATTCCAGCAGAGAGGAAGAACAGTCAACGAGGCGAGACGGAGGATGCCGATGGCAGTGGAACTCCCGTTCCTCCAGCCCCTGAAGTGGTGCCTAACGAGAGAACTCGGTTAGTTGTGTTTGGTGTGGCGAAGATTCATCGAACGCGACTGCTCGCCACGCTCAGTGGTCTGAAGTTGGAGGCTGAGATCACAGGACTTCAGAGCAGTGCCACATGGAGGAAGAAATCCCGACCAGCCACTTTGGAGTGTTCTCTAACAGGACACATTGGACGGGCGATGATTGTTCTCCTCGAGGGCGTGGCGCCCAGTCAACAAACCGTCGTAAAAGTGACTGTTGGAAAGAGCCAAACTCTGTACTCGAGTGTCTCCAGAAGGGGAAAGGACAAAAACAGTGGGCTACTGTCTATTGGTCCGGTGAATATTGATATTCCACAGCATCCCGTGGCTTTGCACGGAATGATGACACGAAGCTCGAAGCAATTGTCCTCGACATTGCAAGAATTGAGAGTGACAAGATCGTCAGCGAGACTCTCTCGGCAGAACGATGAGCCCGATTCACCGCTTCATGTGAAGGATGCTAAAGAGAAGCAGGCAAAGAAGCCAATGACGAGCTCCAAAGCTGCAGCTAATGCTCGAAGTGCTCTAATTCAGCCACTTGTAATGCAGTTCAATGTGATCTTGCAGAGTTTGTCTGTGACAGCGGCTCTCTTGCCATCTCTGCAGGCTCAGTACAAAATGGATCATGTCTTGTCGACTGGTGTGACTGGAAGTAAGGCAAAGTTCACGATTGATTTGCCCAGCCATTCGCTCAGTTTTGCCACGAAAATTCACGCCAGTGAAGCAAACTTGCCATCAGAAGCATCCATTGCACTGCCACCTGTTCACGTAAGCGCTGAATATGTTCCGGAGAATGCGCCCCAGGATGTACCAATCGATGGAGTTGTACTGCGACAGGGCGGATATGTTTCAGCATCTGCGGAAATTGGTGTATTTGAGCGATGTTTGACGACGGATCTGCTGAATCATCTTGTTTTCGTCCAGAAAGTGTTCATGAAGGAAGTGAATGAGGTTGTCCAGAAGGTTTACGGTGGCGAGAAGCCAGTTCCTCTATGGCTGGAAGAGAGTGAAGACAATGGATCGTCGCTGAAACGCATCCTTTTCTCTCTCAATATCAAAGTGAAGCAAATTCAATTGACGGCAACAACACCTTGCAACTCGGCTGTACGTTTTGAAACTGGTCAATTGGAGCTACATCTGTCGAACCGCGTGAAAAATCTCGCTGAAGGATCCAGCACGAAGCTTTTTGGCAAGGCTCAGATTGATCTGAATCTGTCCTTGGGTCAGATCATCAAGAATGTGATCTTTGATGAGGCGGAACCAGAATTTCAACAATATGCATTCTTCAATACAACGATTGGATTGAGAAATGCCTTTCAGGATGAAATGCTGAATGATGACAAGGAATTGGTGTTAATTACACTGAAGCGTCCTCTAATCTATATTCAGCCAGTTGCTGTGGACAAGGCGATTCTTGTGTGGCTCAACTACAAGAATGCTTATGAGTATTGGGCGGAGAAGAGAGCTAATCTGAACAAAGAAGTGCTGACAGCCACACAGCAAGTGTTTGAGAAAGTGCCATTCGGGCAATTGAGTCATCATCTAAGCACACCGAACTTATCTACGCTGTTCCTACAGCTCACAGTTGAGGACATGGGCATTTGTCTGCCCTTGAATCCTCTGCCACCGACTAACTGGGGACAGAGATCTATCCAGGACTTTGAGTCCCATGGCGCAGTGGTGATCACACTGGAAAACACCATAATATCAGCCTGCAATTCCGGCTCTCTAGTGTCAAAGGGCCGCTTTGTTGGACTCTGTCTTCGCTTTGCTGATGATTTCGAGACGTCATTGGACGATTGGAAGCCTAATATGAATGATGCCAGTATAATGAACCTCTGTGTCGTGTCTGAGGGCACTTATGAGGTCTGTTCCCGGACAATTGCAGCTAAACAGTACCTTGAGAATGCAAAGTGGATTCTTAATGTAACCTGGCAAATGGAAGGCGTGGATATTCACTTGGACACAAATATTGGGAAGCAACTGTCTGCCTTGGGACACACCTTGACGATGCTCACGGGATTCGAAGAAGACGATCCGATAACTGTTGAGAGTGCTGACAGCGATGAGGGTGATCAGACGGAGGACAAGTTTGAAGAGGATTCGACGAAGATCAAGAGAAGCATAATGGAATCACTGCCAGCATTCGTGTTCGATCCCGCAATTGACACCAAGAAGCGATCAATGATGATGGAGAAGGAGATGAATGAGCAATTCAAGATCATCAGTGACCTTCGCACCCTCGGCGCATCGTATAAGACCATCGCTCACGAGGAGAGACGTCTGCAGGAACTCCAAGCGCTGTGCTACAAGTATTTCAGACGCGATATGATACAGGTAAGCTATTTATTGTGTCAATTTGTAGCGAAACTGTGAGGAGAGACAGTTGGTATATATCGATATTCCTCCTTTACATCAATTTGATCTTTGGGTTCAGACTTAATTTTGGCCAAAGTCTCATGGGAAATTGACATTTTCCCCGATCTTGCATCTGATTCTATGGGTTTATTTTTCACCAATCCAAAGGAATGGGACTTTTGCATTTCATTAAGCGTGTCCTTATCCACTGACAAACGTCCTGCTGAAGTGGTTTTCAAGCCGTCATTCAAATTGGGATCATTAGAAAGCGCTCCAGATTTCAGAAATTCTTCACTTTGTTGTGTGAATGACACACCGTACTCTGTCTCTTTTGTAATATGAGTACTTTGTTTGATATTCTGAATATCTTCTCGCTTGATATTGCTTAATCCATCAGCGGCAGTAATCCAGATAGTATTTCCTTCGATATGAACATGCGAATTCTTCTGTGTAATTTCTCTCTGAATAGCATCTATTTTGTCAATCAATAGCGAAATTTGTTGACTGAAAGTGGCAACATTTTGATCCGATGACATCGCAGATTTTTTCCCTTCTTGAGGTTCTGGAAAATTAAGTAAGAGTTGTATTTTATTGTGTTTATGGAAATATTTTAGAAGCTTACCCGGGAGTTTTGGAGATTTGCTCAAGTAGAGAGCGCATGGAATTGGCTCTGAGTTGAAGTCATTTATATGGAAAGTGTCTGGCTTCAATTGGATGAATGTATCATTCTTAACACACTTTTCTCCATCGAATTTGGCAAACAAAGTGATTTTCGTCTGATTCCAGGCCATTTAAATGCAAAGATGATTGACACTGAAAATCACAATCGAAATTTCAGAATGAAACAATTTCTCTACAATCTCTTACTTCGTTTTCATGTGCAAAATGATGACTTACGCGAGTATTTGATTTTTCTCCCGTAGAAATGGAAACGTCCGTCGATGCGTCGATCAATGCTGAAGGCGGCCAATCGATCGCGGTCCTTTGTCATCCAATCGCCTACGCATGAAGATCTGCTGGAGTGTGGTGAGGCTGGAGCGCTTGAGAAGGTGAGCATACACGAAGCAGATGGCGGAAGTCTTCAGAGTTCTCCACACTCGGGACCGTCGAGAAGTGCTTCGCTGAAGATGCGAATCCCCACGGGACCTCGAGTGACTTTCACAGACACGATGCGTCAGTCATCACTGCCCAGTGCGGATTCTGAGATGGGATTTCACGATGGTGGTGGAATTGAGTGGCCATCGTACGATAGTTCGATGCAAGAAATTCCACACATGCTGGACATCGATGGTGAGCAGGTGGAGCTGAGGAAGAAGAGTCCCAGTCACCCGATAAAGCAGCAAGAGCCAAATGTGGACTTTGAGTTGGATATCAAAGTGTTGGTGAACTCGGGCAAATGTGTATTGTACACAAAGGAGCCGGACGAACGGATGACCAGCACGCTGCTCAGCGGAGCGGCACGGCATCACAAGAGAGAGAGGAGTACTGGAACGGACTGGGGAAGTCCTGTGCCGTCGCGGCGAAACAAGGAGAAGGCGCGATTGCGATACAATGCAAATCACTCTCTTCTCACTGAACTGACTATCTTTCACATTCCGGGGCTCGATGTGAAGCTTCACTATCAATCGAAAACCATTCCGGACGACTCCTCGCCGAGACTGAGTACATCTGAATCTTTCGGCGGAGGTCGCAGGTTGGGCTCCAAGCGAGCATCCTTGTTTGCGTGGATGACGCTGCAGAGCATCCCGGAGGAGACTATCATATCGCCACATATCCTGGAGTTTCTGGAGCAGACTCTTGAGCCAATTCCCAAAGCTTCACTCGCGGCGCCATCGAATCCAGTCAATATTGATCTGCTGCAGGGAAATTATGTGGCTTATGCCTCGTTTCCGGTGGACGTGATTGTGTACTTCCACATGCAGCCATCGACGTTCAGGTTCTCATGTCTGCCTGTGTCCAGAGTTGAGTGTATGCTTCAGCTGCCGAGCCTCGATATTGTGTTCAGTTCCAAGAGGCAGGAGAGTGGGTCTGAGCATGAGACCAAGGCAAGTTCCGGCGGAGGACTCAGTGTCACTGGATGCCTGGCAGACTTCAACGTGTACATCTTCCATCCGTACGGTGGCAAGAAGAGTGGCATCAAAGAGGCTCAATTTTCACCGTTGGCCGACAGTGAGCGCAAAGATTCACTGAGCATCAATGTGGAATTTGTGAAGTTTCACCTCACACGCTCTCGAACGGTGAACTTTGAGTCGCTGAGTATGAAGAAATCCGATCAAAGGGCTATAATAAGATTCTCGACAATTGTGGATATTGGCAGTGCATCTTTTAAGTACGACATGAGGCGTCTCACGGAGATTTTGGCCTTCCCGAAGGCTTGGTATAGGCATAGCATAGTCCGAAGACTATTCCTTGGAGATCTGAGTGTGCAGCAAACGAGCACTGGTGATCTGGACTTCACGCCGTCAGATGAGGGCAAGGGATATACTAAGAGCGTTGGCGGTTCGTCGTCAGAGAGGAGTCCTTTGCTGAAAGAGAAGTTGCGCCTCAATTTCGAGAGTGAAGTGACGAAGACCAAACTGAAAGATATGGACAAATCCTCCAGCTTGGACTCTAATACATCCCCATCGGAACCTAATCAGGTCACCGCCTGGGAGACTCTGGTGCTGTTTGCTGTGAACTTCAAGAAGCTGAACGTGCAGATGAACATGGGAAATGTGATGGGGAATGTTGTGTGGCTGACGAAGGCCTTCAGGAGCGATGGTCGACTGAGCATTGGAAGTACAGGTCATAAGAACATGTACATTGGAATAGGCTTGGGCAGTTCAACGCTGGACGCGAAGGGTGGAATTGTGGGTGGCACAATTGAGTTGAGCAAGATTGATACTAATATGCGTGTGCAAGAGGAGCCAGGATGCCAGCCGCATCACATGATGAGCATCAAACTGTTGGCTCTGGAGCTGAGGCTTGACTACATGGGAACGAGTGTGCTGATGACGCGGATAAGTTCCCTGAATGCAGCTATGAAAGATAAGTGGGAGAACTCTAGGGAGTCTACATCGGATGGCAGCAAGAGACCATCTGTAATACTCATTCATGGTGACTTGAGTTGGGATCAACTGCAGGTGAGTTAAATCTTATTTGGTAAATTCTGTGCATTTGCCTAAAATGTTGCCATTCATGTTTTCAGGTGCTAATATCCAAATCAACGACAGCTGATCTGCTCAAGATGTTCTACAAACTCGAGGAGTTCTTCTCGCAGCAGTTTAAGTCCTCGAAGAGGGTGTTCTCATCGCTGGAGCCAAGATTCTCCGGGACTGGCAAGGGGAGCAGCTTTAAGAGGCTGCAAATGCAGCGGAAGCGCACTATTTCAGTGAGCGATAGTGGAATTGTCACACAGAAGGAATACAGCATTCAGGATGCTCGGCATCATCGGCATTGGCAGAAGCCATTGAAGCAAATCCTGGGCTTCTGCCTGCCTTCATTCGGGGGCGAATCAGCATCGATGACGGGAACAGTTCTTGGTGGAACGATGGAATTGCATGGAAACAACATATCGCTTGCCTGCTTCCATGGCATCAATTTCAAGTCCAAGTCATGGGCATTGTTCAGCTTAAGGGATCCGTCAATCAATTTTGCCACAGAGGCGCAGCAAATAGACAACAGCGAAGATGTGCGCATCAATCAGACGTTGATCTTCAGTTTGGGGATGAATGCCAAAGCTCAGCCGCAAAACCACTCGATGGCCACTGTTTGTCGCATGACGCGGAACATCATTTTCCCGCCGCAGTTCAAGACACTTCATGAGTGGTTCCATTACGCATTTGCCAACAGTGAGATTGATTCTGTGGATCGGTTTCCAGTATTGGAGCGTGAGAAGCCTGAGCCAAATACGAATTCAATTGAGAAGGTGCGTTCGGGAAGTGGTGCAGGAGGATCACAGCCAAAATTGCAGGATCCCAATCACAATCGCGAAGTGATCTTTGCCCTGCCGAGTCTCAGGTTGCAGTTCAACACTGTGCATCATCAGGGCGCGGCCACACCAGAGTTCAGCCACGAGGAGAAGCCAGTGGTGGAGTGCAGTTTTATTACGGAGTTCGAGGATCACATCTTTGTCACTGTCGATGCTGATGCATTTTTCTTCTTGCACGATCTCATTACGTCGTATCTCAAGGAAAAAGAGAAAGTATTGGCGGCAGCAGGCTATACTAGATCAGCTTCGCCAAATATCTCTGCTGCTAATACTGGCTCTTCGGTTCAAACAACGACTTCGGCAGACAATGCAAAACTCCCGGACAAGGAGACTCAAATGCCAAATGGAACAGATGCGGTGTCAGGATCAGCGACTGCCACTCCTCAGTCCTCGACATTGTCTGTGAGTGAGGACAAGACGCTGAAAATGGACAAGATGGATATGGAGGCTTTCCTGAAGGATTGGCGCGAGTTTGTGTGTCGCACGTGGCATCTGGAGCCAACAGTTCGTCTGCTCTCGTGGGCGGGAAAGTCCATTGAGCCCTATGGCATCGACTATATCCTCAACAAGTTGGGCTTCAGTCATGCGCGCACTACAATCCCCAAGTGGTTGCAGCGCGGCTTCATGGATCCTCTGGATAAGCTTCAAGCGCTCTTGATGCTGCAACTTCTTTCCATGGTCAAGGAGAATCGCGTTCAGAATAGCTAAGCCGTGAGTGGGGCATCTCTTTATATTATCTCTCTGACCCAATCATACCAAAGATTTACTCTTCACCGCAGTAGAGTAGGGTGGTAGTCTTTAGAGACTATACATAGGCAAAGTATAGTGATTTTAGTGATGGTACACAATAAAGGGAATATTAAATGAAATAAAACAATAATAACTTATCTTTTCATCCCAATACCAAGGATATTTGATATTTATTTCTTTAAAAAATGGTAATCATCTATCACCCTCTATCACTGTCGTTTTTGATAAAAAATATCACTATTACTCTCTACCCTGTAAATCCCGGAGATTGTCTAAAAGTTATTGCATTTATAAAATGAACCTTTCACCTATTCAAAATTTCCCTACAATTTGCTGTTTCCTGCGTACTCCTTCCAATGAATCACGTCTCTCCACCAATTTGCACGCTCCAATGTGCCTGGAGCTTGCATGAGCGTCGTTTGGAGATTCTTGTAGATCTCCCCATTACTGGCGCCCAGCGGAGAGTTAAGTATAAAATCTGGCGGTGCCAGAGCGTCCACGAGTCCTAGAGCGTCATCCTTTATTATGGGCAGTAGATCGAGAATTCCTCGCTCATATAACTCTCCAGGCAGAGATCCCGAAGCGAATCCCCCCTGATACAGAATGCCCAGGTGTTTCAGGACAATGGAGGTGCCAAAGAGCGAAAGAAGGCGCGTCAAGGCGGCAGATTCGGGTGTTGAGCCCAACTGGAGGATGCGATTGTAGAAGGAATAGAAAACCATTCGTTGGCCATAAACAATCGATAGTGTTGTGGCATTCAAGGACTGGGAATCATTGCGAATCTCGAAAGGAGACTTCTTCTCGCGCTGTAGAGATTCCACGCGTTTTGCTGTCTTCTCCAATTGCCATGCACACAACCAATCCAGGGCTTTCAGCAAATCTACCGGAAGAGAAAAAGAATTAGATAGAGTGCATTGAAGATTATATGTTGTTCAGAGCTTACTTTCTGGTCTGAGAGCTTCCGCTGGAGTCTTCCATGAGAATCTATAGCGGATGATTTTGTCATAGTCTGCGAGAAAGGACGCGGAATCCAGGGGAGAGGCTTGTTTGAACGCTTCCCAGCCTTGTCTTCGGACACTCAAGAGCCAATTGGAGGCTTGCTGAACAAGGACATTGTTTTCACCTTCATACGTGCAATTAGCGTCATTATCTCCGCGCAAATCACCCAAGCGAGCCACTTTGAGATATCCGTGGCCTCCACATGCTTCTCGGCACTCCTGAATAGCGTCTCTGGCCAGCCACGAGCACACAGGCTTCGTTGCTGATGACAAAGCATGGATTTCCATCACTTTGTTCGCCACATCTTCGCCCAGGAAGCCTTTCACCACATTGTCTGCGTGCTGGATGTAGATCCATATGGAGAAGATGCGGATAGCGTAAGCAGTGGCGAGATGAGGGAAGAGCCGGTACTGCTGCGATTGATATTCCAGAACAGAGAGCTCTTCATCGCTGTCATCTGGGCCAAATTGCTTCCGGCTTCCCGAGTATCGAATGGCAATGACAATGGCTTTCAGAATGTAATTGCTGGCCAGTCCACAAATCCCCACTCGGCCTCCTGACAGCGCTCCCAGGGAGGCGCCCATTCGCTTCTTCGAATCCTTGATCTTGGTCACAAACTTTCCATCAGGACTCACGTCACCGGTGCGAGAGAGCAGATAATCCTTGGGAATGCGGTAGCGATGGAACATGACAAAGCCATTATCGATGCCATTGAGTGCCACCTTCTCGCCCAGATCGCCAACAAGGACTCCTGGAAAGGCACGCAGAGTCTTTGTGTCTCTGATGGGGACCAGGAAGGCGTTCAGCCCATGATTCTGTCCGCCAGCGTGCATTTGAGCGTACACAATGGCGTATGTGCAAGTCTTTCCCAGATTTCCTACCCAACACTTGGCGGCCTCGAAGTCTGGCGTGTGCAGAACAAACTCCTGCGTCTCTTCGTCATACCACGCCTCCGTTCTCATGCCTCGTGCGTTCGTGCCGTGCGAGAGCTCAGTGAGGGCGAAAGCGCCAGTGATCTCGCCTCTGTCATTTGCCTCCACGAACTTCTGCAAGCGCTCAGTGCCCAGAGTCCGGATCACGTTGGCGAACATGGTGAAAGCCAGGGTGTATTTGATGTTGAGACTCGGATCGTACATAATGGTCGAAGAGACGAACACGGATGCAAACTCAGGACGCTCCAAGAATTTGTCCATCGTGAAGATTTGCTCGTTGAACAGCACAAACTGCCTCTTGGTCGTAATGTGACGCTGCTCATCCAGAGATGGGGTCTCAACTGGGTGTGCAAACAGAGGATGACCCTCCATGAACTTCCAAATGTCGTACTGAAGCAAAATTTGAAGGTCAGCGAACTTTAACATTTATGTTCATTGCGGGGTTATTAATCAGAAAGTACTCACGCGATATCGCAGGAGTTCCGCATCCTCAAGAATTACTTTCATCTGCTTCCAGTCAAATGTTGCCCCATCTCTGTACTTCGAAAGGGGCCCCTTTGGGAAATCCGGAAAAATGTACTTGTCCTCGAAAATGTCATTATAACTGTTCAAGATAAAGCACACAGTGAGATAAGCCTTATTTCCATTGTAATCTAACTAATTCTCACCTGTTGTTCGACATTTTCGCTGATAGGTGGATTGTTGGGCGATTTCTGCTGGGAAACTTGTGAAAAACTGCAAAAGACGAACGATAAGTGGGGCAAAATCTTAAAATGCTCCTCTGCATGAAGCTGACGAATGGTGGTGAACTTCTAAACTTCTGACACCTCTGAATAGTTTATGCAGAAAAATGAGTCTATCAGTAAAGTTGGTATGGTGATTTGATTAAATTAACTTTGATTTAATGCCACTTATGCCACTTATCAATGAGAATTGGGGAAAAGTAGAAAGCAATAATGACGAATGAACTTTTGCTGAAAAATCACACTCATTCAACAAAGTACTCTTTTCCTTGTAAAAAATTGTGCACATCACTTTAAAGTGCATCAAAAAACATTAGAAGCTACTCACTCACGCTTTGCACTGTAAATCAAGACTAATTGGTGGACTTTATATGCAGTTTTATGCTTTTCTTTACCTACTTCTTACAACACTTTTTTTGACATGAACGGTGTGATTTTACTGAATTACTGGCGCTAGTGCATAATAAGAAGGCAATGTAATCCCGCCAGATATTTAAACCTATAACTGCGATAAATTTGTAACGAACTACTTACCTCAATTATAGATATTATACTAACAAAAAGAAATGGGAGAATTCAAAGTCACGGCTAAAGGGGTATTTAAAGATGCAAATAAAGCCTTGGAGGCCGACAAACAGTCGGTGTAAGTGTATTAATTCCCCTAGTTCGCTTTCTGTGAATCAGAAATGGTTGAATATTCAAGAAGAGAAGGAAATGAAAGAAAACATGCGATTCTCGGCTATTGACATCATTGTGAAGAACGAGGACTGTCCTACACGAGATAACCACTTCATTCGAGCATTCTTATCTCCCAAGAAAGATAATTCAGCGTATTTGAATTACAATTTGTTTTTATTGATCTTGTTGAGTGTGGCTTTAAGATTCTCATAAATTTCCCCGTTGCTCATGCCCAGAGGAGAGTTGATAATGAAGTCTGGCGGAGCGATAGCGTCCACAAGGGATACAGCGTCATCCTTAATCTCTTCCAACAGTCTCAAGTATGCCTCCTCGTACAAGTCGCTCTCTTGTGGGCTGGATAAGAAGCCACCCTGTTGAAAGATTGCGAATTACTCAAGAATATCTTGCCAACAATTAAATGAACACACTTTCTGCAGAATTGATATGTTCTGGAGAATCACGTGACACCCGTAGAGGCTTAGCAGCTTCATGAGTACGGTTCTTTCGGCAAGGACTCCATTTAGATTCAGAATAAATTTGTAGAATGTCTGGAAAATCATTCGCTGTCCGTACGTTATTGCCAGCGGTATGGCATTGAACACCTGAATTTTGTGTCTAATATCAGATATGGAGTTGCTCTGGATCCCCTGCGCCTTCTCAGCTGTCTTCTGCAACAGGAAACAGCAGAGCCAATTGAAGGTTTGCAAGAGATCTGCGAAAGAGGAGAACGGTTACAATAGAGTGTCTTGATAATTCATGGGCATATTTACTTTCAGGCTCAATGACTTCCTCTACTGATCGCCAGTGGAATTTCATTTGGACAGTTGTGGGAAGATCGGCAAAGAAAGAGGCTGATCCGTAGGGTGATTTCGAGCGGAACTCCTCGTGGCCCCTGAAGAGTGTGGCCAAGAGCCAATTGGAAGTTTGCTGGATGACAACATTATTGGCGCCTTCGTAGGTGCAACTAGCGTCATTATCACTCCTCAAATCCCCCAGCTGCGCTACTTTCAAGTACCCATGTCCTCCACACGCTTCCCGGCACTCCTGAATAGCATCTCTGGCCGCCCAGGTGATGATAGCCTTGGCCACACACGACAGCGCGTGCATCTCAATACCCTTACTGAGTCCGACATCGCTTCCGCGCAGAGAGATCTGCTTGATGGCGTAGTTCTCATAGTAAAGCCAATCCACAAACGTGAGAGCGGCGAAGGCAGTGGCCAGATGTGGAAAGAGGCGATGCTGTTGCGTCTGGTACTCAATCACCGGCAGCTCCTCGTCGCTGCCCTCCGGGCCAAATTGGCGCCTCGTGGCTGAGTAGCGAATCCCAATGGTCACAGCTTTCACGAGATTATTGCTCACACCGCAGCAAATCGCCACACGACCCTCAGACAAGATGCCCAGCACGATGCTGAAGCGCTTCTTCGAGTCTTCGACGCGCGTTACAAATTCCCCTGAGGGTGTGACTTCGCCCACGCGCGCCAACATATTTGCTCGAGGGATGCGATAGTGGTGGAACATGACGAAGCCATTATCCAATCCATTGAGGCCAACCTGGCAAAGTAAATAAAGTCAAGCGGATTCAGTAGCGCAAGATCAACTCACTTTTTCACCCAGATCGCCAATCACAACGCCTGGAAAGGGTTCCATTGTTTCCGGATCACGCAGCGGCACAAGGAATCCATTGAGCCCGTGATGCTTCCCATCTGGCGTATACAATTGCGCATAGATGATTCCGTGAGTTCCCGTGTCTGCGAGATTGGCCGCCCAACATTTCGCTGCCTCAAAGTCTGGCGTGTGAATGACGAACTCCTCCGTGTCACGATCGTACGTCGCCATTGTGCGCAGGGCTCTGGTATTTGTTCCATGAGCAATCTCAGTCACCACGAATGTCCCGAAGATCTTTCCCTGCATCGTCTGCTCCACGATGTCCGACAGGGAATCCGTGCCCAGCGAGCGTAGTGTGCCGGAGAAGAGCTCAAGAGAGAGGAGCAGCTTCCCCGGAAAGCAGGCGTCATAACTCACGAGCGCCATAAGGAATGTCTTGGTGATCTGTGGCGAGACGTGGGCATTGGTGTAAATGAGCTGGTAGAACTCCTCGAAGAACTTCTTCTGTCGCTTCTGTGCCAAATCTCTCTGCTGCCGCACAGTAAGTGTGTAGTCAGGACGCGCGAAGAGAGGATCGCGGCTCAGATAATTCCAGACCTTGTACTTGAGACGAAGGACACTCTCTCCATCGAGGAGCAGAGCCATCCTGCGCCAGTCGAATGACGCCTTCGCGCGATATTCAGAGAGCGGCCCGCGCGGAAAGTCCGGCAGAATATCCTCAACGACACTCATAGTTCTTGGCTCACTTCTTGGGTCTCTTGGTCACTGATCGGCACACTCAACTGATACCTTCTGGCGGAGCACCTGGACTTTAATGGCCAAAATGTGGTCACTGGTGTCAATTATACCCTGTCATCGTGATTTAATAAACATTGCAAATTTATACATTTAACAAGTCTACACAATGGATTAACGACTTCTCATTCACGAATAATCTCATCGCATTACTATAAGAACGCCCATCAGCAACAATAAGTGTCTCTCTCGCTGGAAAGAAAGCCTACTTCTTCTTGGCAATCACGTGGAGCCGCTTAATCTGTGATCGAAAGAATTCTTAAGTTACACTGAAATCGAAGGCTTTTGTACTCTCTGTTTGCAGATTAGAAATGATGAATACAACCGAATATTTAGACTAAACTCTACCTCAGTCACCTCAATTGAGAATCACTGCCACATAACTTCCCTATGCTAAATGTTTAGATTTATGTGTGAATTATAATCACAGAGGATGTTCACAAATTGCAAGAATGTCCTTATCGTAAGTACACAGCAGGTTAACTTCATTCTTCAAAGACGCCCTACTCACGCCTCTTCACCAGTGCATCCGTACAGTGATTGATATGCGCGCTTGGCCCGGAAATATTCATCGATGCGACAGCTTGCATAATTCCAGTAGCCAAATTTGATTTCCTGGTACACATTTACAATCGACCAGAGTGACCAGAAAAGGTGTGATGCCATTGTGAAGCAGTCGATTTCCTTCTGTATATCCCGCATTTCCTCCTCACTCGCTTTATACTCGTCATTCTCGAGGAACTTTCGCAGGTACGCGCCAATGAATTGCTCCTGAAATCATTCAAATTAACATTCGTTGTTCAGCAATTTGTTTATGCTTTTATGGGAGGAAAAAGTGACTCACCCTTTGCTCCTGGTTCGGAAATTGGTCAGGCTTGTGAATGAAAAATGGATAATTCTCATTAGATATGTAGTCAAAAGTCCACTCGATGAAGTGATTGGCAAAATCGAAGCCGCGATAGTTGTAAGAGCAGTACTCAAAGTCGATGATCATGAGTTCTGGATCGAATCCATCATTACTGTCGGAGAACAACTGTGAATTGCCACTCAAAACGGAGTCACGCGTATTGTCTAGCTCCTCCATCTCGTTGAGCGATCTCTTCCGCGAAATGCCTAGCACGACATTCCCATTGTCCTCTGCCATGGCATCGTCACTCGTTGACGGCTGAGCTGCTGCTAGGAGAATTGAACCAAAATTCGCATTCAGACCATCATTGCTGATCTGAAGCAAGTCCTTGTCATCGCTGCAATGGTAAGTTCATGGAACAAGAGAGAAGAGAGGGAAAAGATCAAGGCTTATTGAGTAAATGGCAGGTGTTCTAGAGAGAGAAAAAAGTAGATACCACTGCGACATTTTGCTCAATACAACAATTGCAAGGATGTTTTTCTGTACTTGATTGTCGGGATTTTTGTGGTACATAAATTTAGAGCAAATTGTTGATATATTGACGCAAAAATGATTTTCCATCTAAGTTCATTTACTTTTGCAATGCAGAACAGAATGGAATTGGTATAAGCGAAACTGAAAATGGAACATGTGTGAGAAAAACACAATGTAACAGAGACATTTCAATTTTCTTTTTCCCCACATTTTTCTGCCTTCGGCACAAAAGCAATCATCAATTCTCAATTGTTTGCCAGTTTTGGCGTTGATTAAATACACATAATCATTTCTCAAAAATATTCCGCGTATCAAATATACACAAATTCCGGAGAAACTCTAATCTGTGTTTATATATGGCTATATAAACAGGCGCCGAAGGAAAAATATGAGTAAAAAGTATTATATTTGAGGGCAAAGGTTCAGAACACTCACCTAATTCTCTGGTCAACTGAATCGTAGTCTTTGAAGAGAATATTACCCTCTTGTAGATCATTGTGAGAGAACACGACGGGAAATTCACGTGAAGCTCTCACCGTTCGCTTAAACCAGTCCATTTCCTCTCGAAAGTCAATTTGGCGCAATTTCTCCAGCTGCACAGCCTCATCGCTGTTGGTTGGCTGGAATTTCCCGAGAACCGACTCCACGGTTTTCAGCCATCGCTCCATCGTGCTCCACAGCCAGTCCGGCTCCTTCGACACTGGAATGTTCAGGCTGTGAATCTCTGCAGTCTTCTCGGCGATCTTCACCGAAATTCGCGGATTCGACAATTCTGGCGTTCTCAGAGCTCTCGCCTGGAAGAACAACAATTACAGCGTATCAGGAAACTGCATTAGCATTAGTAGCACACTTCACTCATCACTCACTGGAATATACTGCTCAATGCGTCCTCCGGGAAATATACCATGCAACTTCGGACCCAACTTCCTCTCGCTGAGCAAAGCGAAGACAACGGTCTCCGTGAGCATTGTCTCCAGCGCCTGTTCGCCATGTGTGTGACCGTAGATACGCAACAGCACTTCGTGGGGCTCATAAACAGTTCCGCTACGCAAGAAATCATCGCCGCTGCTCTTCCGCGCTCTCTTGGGCACTAAATTGATGGGCTCCGAAGGTATAGAAGTCGTAGATGAGATGGACGATGATCTTGTAGAGTTCCTGCTGCCTTCCGGGAGGCTTACATAGTACAAATAGTTAGAAAGGCCACCACTTATGCGTTTCAACTTGATCTCCTCCGCTGAGACTGTCTTCCAGGCACCAGTTAAGTAATCACGGCAAATCCGAGCTGCCAAATCTCGCATTTCGCTTGCGGATTTAGATATCTGCATTGGGTGAGAAATAGAGAGAAGAGTGTGAGTACCTGCCGCATTATAAATAGCCAATTTATAGGCACTTTCACGATTGTGAAATTCGTCAACAGTAAATAGAAGTTACACCCATAATTCTTAAATAGAAAACCTGCACAATCTGCTTAATCCCTTCACACCGCTTCAATTTCACACTAAAGCTAAATTGTTAACAAATCAGAGTCTGTAAAAAGCACTGTCTTTATTAATATTCCATGTCGTAAGCTTCCGTGACAATCGATCCGTCAATATAATTACTCGTGTTCAAAGGGAAATTTCTGCCCAAGCAGGAAAACTGAAAAGCGCATGTCTTGTCTACAAAATCTGAAACATTCTGGTATTTTCCAGAATAATTTCACTCCCGTGAATTTTCCAATTTGTCCACAAATTTACATTTGAGCTTAAATCCTTTCACTGACACTGAAATCACTTACAAAACTATGAGGCGTTATTGCCCTAATGTTATTCTGTGAATCCATTGCACGGTGTTGTGTCTTCGAGTGCCACCTGATAAATGCTGTAATATATTTAACATTCGCGACACAATTTCGCAAAAAAAAAAAAATCAACTCGCAAAACTAGTCTTTTCCGTCTGTTCACTGCTCAACCAATGCAATAGGAAAGTGACTCACTATTAAAGCTATACAACTATCAAAAAGAGAGGGATAGAAAACCGCAGAATAATCGCAATTATTCTAACACATGTGTAAAACATTTTTTCCAACTTTCGTGACGCAAATTAAGTGTTGATTTGCTATATACTGGATATTTATATGCTTTTTTAAGACTTCCAAGTGGGCAAAACCAAGCGCTGGGAGAACACAATACTAATATTTCCTTCACAAAGCATTCCCAACAGAGAAATTCAAAACAAATAAATCATGACAAATTGTAAAAATTGCGCGCAATCCGATATCTAAACTGATTATAAGGTTCATACACATATCTGTCAATTCTTATCACAACAGCACAAAAAGAACCATGAGGAGAATATTGCCGGATGATTTTATGACGCTCATTTAGCAACAAAGTATGAATTTTATCAATATCTCGCGTCAAGCATGCGACTACCCACTTAATTGCAGACACATTCCTTCAGTTTTTCCACCATATCGGCGACACTGACTTTCTCCACAGAATTCTCCAAAAAGAAAAGCGAACCAGAAGTTTAACAATTAAAATTAAATAGGAAGCAATAATTAAATGTGCATGAAATGGAGTTTCTTATGCTCAATATTGCATTAAGAACGCATAATTTTGTGGAAAATTTTGATAACCTTATCAAAACATTGACATATCTGAAGAACTCTGCTATTAAATTGAATCTATGTGCGCAACAAAGTTTGCTTGAATTTCTCAGAATAGGTTTTGACTCCCCAAAATCACAAGAATTCTTTATCGATAACGTGAGACCGAACAAAAAAAATTATTTCTATTAACAAGACTTTGAACTGAATAAAACATTAATCTTTATGTATTGTAGCTTCTTTGCATTCGGAAAGATTTTGATTCACATCGGAGAAATCAATCATTCATCATCCAATTATTGTTTTGAGGAAATTTCACAAAAATCTTGAAAATTGAATTTTAAACCATAAAATTTCCAATAGTTAGTTAACGAGGCTCTGACCTTTTGAGGTAAAGACTGTGTGTAATTTACTGCGAGTCAAAGAAATGACACAGTTTTATGGCTTTCTCGTATATTTCAGCCTCGATGATAATCTCTAGTGGGCCAAAAAGCGCAAAAATGAAGTCAATTTGGGAGAGAATGTACGAAAACCGGTGACGAAGAGGCGATAAAGAGGCGGAATTGAGGGGCTCGTGAGAGATAACGCACATTTCTCAAAATGTTCTATTTTTGGCTCAATAATTGTGCGTTTCATTATACAGAAACCGTTCGGAAGATGAATTGTGTATGTCTTCATTGTTATGATTTACCTGTCGCGTAGAAAATGACTTAGGTAAACACCTCTCAGAGACCAATGAACGACGCAGTGGAGCCCAAAAGTAGTTCGCAAAGCCAAGAGTCTTTATCACTTTCTCACACATTTCGCGCGACTCAGGCCAGGAAATTTGCCAACTTTCCGCTCACACGCATGACAGTGTGCAAATGAGGGCGAAAACTATTGCAAAAAACAGTGGTTTTACGTACCTTTATCGGTGAAATCATAGTGTAAATAAACAAAAACAATGGCAGATGGTATAAGGAAGAAGTGCAGCAGAAGCACTGCGAAAAGAAACAGATAAATCACAAAAAATGCACTAATTTCAACGTCAAATGACTATCAACGTGGCGCACTTTTCGCAGACACGACTTTTTGCACGCTTTTCACGCGGAAAACTACTGAATTTTTCAGAGAAATGTGCTGCTAAATTCCACCAATGATTCACGCTCGACGCACTCGTGCTAAATGGGGACCCTTTAAACTTCTTCGGTCGCCGTCGGGCCAATCGGTGTGGACGAAGAGTGAATTGTCATGTGCACTCTACGATTGTAGTGCACTCTAACGGACAGTGGACGATACTTAGAGTAAGAGCGCAATATATTTAAGAGGATTTTAAAATGTACGGAAGAATTATCAATAAACTAATTCACGACGTTTGAAGAAACTCATGACATTTTTATGTAATATTCACTTACCAGAAATTCCACATTGGCATTTGAGCTGTTCCAAATAAACAGAAGAAAGCACACCTCTTAAACTAAGAGGTCACTCTAAAAAGTGAAAAAGAATTTTAAATTATTTATAATTTATTATTGTAATGATAATAATATATTTTTACAATAATGTGTTGTTGTTTCTTTATAATCTTCTTCTATCTTCTCCTCATATTCCTTAAGAAATAATTAACAAATATTTCTTGTATCTCTTCGTCGTTCGATATTAGTGTGTTTTTATCTTCCTTTTCACCGCGATCTCTTATCATGTTGTCTGGTTTAGCAAAAAACGGCAGCTCAAGTCAATATCGTCTCCTTTAATCATTCTTCACTTACATTTTCTTCACAATATAATCATCACTGAATCAACATTCCTTCAGCATAGCTCTTCTTGTGTTTCTCACCTCTTTACAGAATTTCAACCTTAGTCTTTATACTGAATATTTTTTCTTCATCTGATAATAAGTATTTAGAGTAAAGTGTATATAATATTTTCGCTCAGTTTGCTCGCTAAATTAATCTTTTGCCGTGTTTTTTTTCTAAATTTTTTTTTTCTGTAGTTATATTCTTTTATCTCCTCACTGCTCTCGAGCGAGAAGTTTTTTTTTCTCTTTAATAACTCTTCTAGCATGAATAATTAATGTTATCAATTTAGGTCAATTTTTGTTGTTATTCAACATCTTCCTTTGCCTGCTTATGTGCTTCTCTATTTCTCTCTATTCCAGGAGGCACGGTTTCAAGAACAAAACTTTTTTTCTCTTTTTGCCGTAAAAATCGAGTGAAGAATAATGCATACACAAATCTCAATTTTTCTGTAATATCTCTTCTTGTTTGTTAAGTAGAATATAAAATGATAATAAAAAAAATAGATCCACATTTCTCTGTTTCAACACAGCATAATTGTTTTATAAGATAACAAAATAAAAAAAAACACATATAAGAAGGTATCACAAAAATTGTAAAATTAAAATTTTGTAATGTCATTACTTCATAATCCGTTGTAATACGATCATTTCATCATATCACAAGTTCGTCAAAAAAATTCCACCAGAAAACAACTCTGAAATCATTTATTGAGTGTATTTAAATCTTTAATTTCAATTCATTAACATATTCTTAATCACTTCTGGCCTCTGAAAATTCGCTTATATTCTTGCTGAATTCAAAACAGAGAAATTTAGGATGACACAGTCTGCATTGTTCTAGATCAGATCCCCATGATTACCTCTTCGAAAGCCTGGTGGTGCTTTAATTTGGAATTTTTCATGATTTCTTGAAATGCCATTTGGCAAATTGGTAAAACAAGTCGCAGATTCGGTCCTGTTCAACCAATTCGAATGAGCAAATCTCACCTAAAAAAATCCAAGAAATAAAATGTAACATAAATTGTGAAAACCTTCAAAAATTGTTAGAAAAAATTACGTTTCCAAAAATGAAAAAAAAATTGATTAATTTTACCAAAACTTTCGATTTCATTGAGGTTCATTTGCTCTCAATACCGTTTGCTTTTGAAATTATACAATTTCATCCAAACTTATTAAAGCAAATGATATTTTCAATCATAAAGTAAATTTACCAAAACCAGAAGTACTTCATGGATTGGAATTACGAGAGAGAAAGATGCTTCTTTTCTCCATTGGAAAGCAGGAAAAAGAATAAACAGACAAAAATTAAAGAAGGAAACTAGCGAAAAAAGAATGAAAGAGAAAAAAGAATAACATTGCAATTTTGCGCACATGATTGCACAGTGTAATGCAATCAAAATGGGAATTTTTAATTTTAATCTATTGCCCCTATTCCATTTTAAAAGGTTCTTTTAATCATATTCTTCCTTTTCTTTCATCTCATATAGTTATTTTAGAAATTTTACTGCTCTTTTTCTTCCGTTTGCCTTTCATCCCATCAGCTTGCTTCTGTGTAAATAATTTCTTCACCTTATTATACCTTTTTTTTATCTTGAAATGGTTTATAGCGAATTTTGTTGTCTTTTTCTCTTCTTTTTATAAGAAAAACTATACAAAGTGACGATTTTTCAGATACTCTAGCATACCTTGAACATGAGCATTTACCTGTGCTGGCGAATTTTGCTGCTGAGGCTGCTGTTGATTCATAATACTTGATTGTAGATTAATGCCATGGTGTGTTAAACCTTAAAGAAGAAATGAAAACAGAGAAATTATCAATCTGAATACTACCAAAATATTTAGAGAGACTTTGTACGCAATTGAAAGCATTGGAAAAAATCATATTTTCGTGATAATTTCATTACCGCATCGAACAAATTAAAAGAGACGCAGAATATACAAAAAAAACATTCCATGCAGATGCCTGATAAAGGCAGCAGATTAATTGAAATTGGAATTGTGCAAAAAAATATTACGTATTACTTCAACAACTCGGAACATTTTCAAGCTGATAAGAATTCTGTATTAAGTAATTGTATCTCCACGTGCGGTAGAAAATAACTTTCTCGAATCTTGAGCAAGCTCAATTATAATGTTGAGTACTCATTTCACGGCTTTTTCCACTCTTCAAATAAACATATTTATCTATCAGGTGTACACAGACTTCTAATATGTATAATCATTTGCAATGCGAATATCAAGAATTACCATCGCAACTGACCTCTTTTACCATTATTTCAGATATCATTGTATTCCGTATGGAAGAAAAACAGCACGTGATAAGCACACGTGCCTTTTTTATGGGACTTTTGGGAAATATCGCATGTGAGTTTTAACTCGAAATTACTACAAAAATTTCATCTCATTCTCCTTATGTTCTTTTCATCACCCAAACACCATTATATTTAGTATTCGATTTCCTTGCGCGCCCACAGATGATAGCTGTTTTTGGCCCAATTGCAATACCTCGACAACATAAATAAAGAGCATCATTCCTCAGTAGTAAGAAGACAAATTCAAAACATTGCGCAATGGCATTCAGTGAAGGAAAACACCATAAAATCTTACAACAGTGCGCACATGCTCACAGCGAGAATAAGTGGAAAATTACGGTTCTCTTGCACTGACTGCAGTGGTATTAGAGAATCACGATAGCCAACCTGGTCCAGTTTGTTGTTGCTGCTGCTGTGACATAAACATGTCCGATGTCTGTGGAGCTTGCGACTGTGGCTGCTGTTGCTGTAACGTGGGACCGGGGAGTAGTGTCGGATACTGTCGGAATGATACAATTGCCGGATCCAGAGAGGTCCAATCTGAAGTCATACTACCATAATCTGTTGACGAAAGAGGATAAAGCTCGTGAGAAATACCGTACAATCTATCAATGCTCCAAAAAACTCACTTGATTTTAGAGTAGAATGACTGTTTTGCTGCTGAGATTGTGAAATGATCTGATCACTTGGCTGAGGACCCTGTAGATAGCCATTCATGTAGCCCCAATTTGTGTCTGGCGGCTGTTGTGTCGAATTTCCCATGTTCATGAATGGCAAAATTTTGCTGCCTGCAAAGGTACAAAGGTGCACAATTAGAAAGAATTTTCACTCAAACATCTCTCAATCAAATAACACAAATTGAACTTGCAATCTAACCTTGTGCTCTTGGAATTCCAAAACCAAACGCATTCATGTGGTTGAAACCAGGTGGTGGCATTCGTGCTCTCTGACAATTCTCTAATAATTTACTATGATTAGTCTGTGGCTTGTTTTGCATCATTTCACATTCCATCAGTTCAGCTAGAGCCTTCTGTGTCTCAATAAATGGATCAAAACCTAATGTCGTGGCCAAAAAGTTATTGCCATTAGTCGCAAAAATATTATCCCACTCCAGAAAAGGACAACAAAACACTCACCCAGATCATCATCTACCACTGCCGGGTTTTGAGAGCCATATTGATTGTGAAGCCTGTTCTGTGGATTACTGTTAAATAGCATGTTGTGAGATTGTTGCTGCTGCTGTGGGTCCATCTTATTGATCCAACTCTGCTTCGACAATTGCGATACAAGGTGTCCGTGTTGCTCCAAAAATTGAGGATTGAGTTTGTTGGTCTCCATCAAATTCGCCATATTCAGCTGATCAACGGACGGCCCATTTGTCGAGTGGCCATTCATCATGAACTGTTGCTGCTACGAAAGGCGCAGAGAGAAAGAGAGAAAGAGAGAGATTTATTGCAAAATATTCACGCTTCCATATCATACCGCGCTTATGACTCACTTGATTTTGTTGATTCTTGTGGAAATCAAAGAACTTTGACATATTTCCTGTATACATGTGATTCATGTTCTCACTTCCACTGTGCAAATTGTTGTGTTGTGTTCGAGACTGTTGATGCTGTTGCTGCAAGAGCTGTCTGTTGATCTCATTTGGACAGTGAAAGTAATCCGCATTTAAGTCCCCTGGAATAAATTGAAAATTTCATTTTACATACATATATTTCTGTCAGTGAAATAACTGATTGCTCTCCAAAAGAATAAAGTGAGAAAAAAAATACAAGAAGTATAGTAAGTCTGTGACTAATGAGTATGCAAGGCTTTCCAATGTCTTTCACCGTTTCATTCGAATAATTGCTGCATAATTACCCCCAGTGTACAATGCAGAAACAATTATCTCACCCTAAATGTGTGAAAAATCTGTCATTACCCAATGTTATGAAAAATGACATGAAAATAGAAACGGGAAATATTGCACAAACCCAGAGAGGGGGAGAACAGAAGTGAAATAGATCAACTATTATTTCATCATGAATGATGGAATAGCGAAAGAATGCTTTCTAAAGATGCAACTCACCGTGCAACCCATTGTACTGTTGATGCTGCTGTCCCATTCGCATGCCATTGACTGTATTGCGTTTCTGCATCTCCTGCATACGAACTAATTCCTGCTGCTCATCACCGTGCTTACCGTTGTTCTTCAACATGACATACTTGAACGCGGCTTCCCAGTCTTCCGATGTGTTCGCCAGGATATTCTCATTCAATCCCTGTGGCGGTTGACCATTGCTCGTACCAGACGTCTGCTCGGTCTGTTGAGCTGCAGGTGCGGCTGCTGTGTTCAGTCCATTCTGCTCGGGATGCTGGCTGGCATTTGTGCTCAGCTGTGTGCCATCCATCTTCATATATGGCTGGAAAGTGTTGGTGGAGAAGAAGCTGTTACTGTCGTCGAACAGTGACAATTTTGTGAACTTTGACGTCGCCTCGCGTATCGGGCCATTGCTGCCGTTCAACTGCTCACTGTGCTGCTGGCTCGTCTTCTCCAGATTTGTCTGGTTCTGCTCCTTCACCTGCTGCTGATTGGCCAACTCAGAGCTGGCCGTTGTGGACGCTGATGAGGCTGAGGACAGCGTCGAAGACACCGATGTCGACAGATTCTGGTGCGAGTGATCAGGATATGAGCTGGCCGGTGAACTCTTGCCACTGCCACTCTCGCTAGATGCACCACTATCACCAGTATTGCTTGTCGATGTTCTGCTGCTGCTTAACGACGGCGTATCACCATTCCGATCATTCTCCACCAACAACGCATCGTGCTCAATATCATCAATCAAATTCACCTCATCGTCGTCCGCACTCAAGTGATTCTGTTTCTCAATTATGTCCTGTTGCTGTTGATGCAGCTGCTTTGCACTGTGCTGCTCCTTTGTGTTGTTGTTCTGGCTATTGCTGTTGTTGTTGTGATGATGTGAATTCGTTTGATTCTTCTGATTTTTGCCCCTCTTCTCAGCTTTCGTCTTTTCATGCTTCCTGCTCTCAATCTTCGTCGAGTGATCCTTGTGATTCGCACCACCCATCTTCCCATTCATTTTCACATCTTTCCCCACCGGCGACTCCGACAGACTCGGCCACGCATCCTTTGTCGGTCCATTCTGTGTGGCAATATTCTTCGCTTCGCTCACCGTCTTTCCTCCATGTCCCGTTGCACTGCCATTCGACGAAGTGTTGGAATTTAAAGCTGCCGTCTGTGCTATCAACTGATCGTGGAGTCTCTTCTCATATTCCTGGTGTTTGCCTTGGTGCATTTCCTCCTTCGTGAAGCTCGCCTCCGTGTCGCCAAGCTCATGCAGATACATGCAGTCTGGCTTCGGACATTGCTGATTCTTCATGAAGTGACTGCAGTACTTTGTCGTCCCTAGACTAGTCTTTATCAGCCGATTATCTATCATGATGCTGTTGACACTCTGTATGGCTCTTAAGGCGTCACTATTGCTCACGTACGTCACATATGCCGAGGCCGAGGGCCCTTGAACGCCAGCATACGTGGTGCTCGGGTTAATAACCACTTTATGTATTTTGCCATACTTCCCAAAATACTCGTGCTTCTTCAGGATCTGCAAGAGAAAGAGAGAGAGAGAGAGAAAAAAAGTGTTATTGCATTGAGAAACTCCATCAACCATTAAATGTAAACGTATTCATACTTCCGCATCTGCAAGTCTAGGTGGGAGTCCAACGACAAACACCAAGTTCTTTTGAACAACACGCACATTCGCCAAATGCTTGCGATTCTCCGTCACTTTTTGCTTTCGTTGCTGCTCCCGTTGTCGTTTCTCAGCCTTCAGAGCAGCAATCTACAAAGACCACAAAATAGTGAAAAAAGAGAATCAAAAATTATACTAATATAAAGTGAAACATTGCATTTGCCATTTCATATACACGTTGTCTCATTCTCTGTGTACTTCAGAGATTTCATTCACTGTATAAAATTGTCCAAACCACAGAAGACACATCTTCAATGCTCACGCTATTGACAAGTTATCTCACAATAGATCATAATTGATTATTTTGCTTGCGCTTAGAATGTCACACCCCGTATTTGCTATTGTACAAGTGAAAGTATTGCACACGTTCCCCGTTGTGGTGAAGAAGTGGCAGAGTACTCAATAAATACCCACACAATTGAAGAAAAAAATTGAATTACTCTTGCTTATCATGGAAAAACACAAACTCTGATTTTTTCCATTCATTTTCCCTCCTCAACACTCTTTCTCCCTCTTTTTGCGTTATTCCAAATTTATCAAACTCTCTAGCCACGATCATCGGAGAAGACGAAAACAACGCAATTTCCACTACATTGTCATCATCATACCTCCAAAAATTGGGGAATTGGAATTAATTAGTCATGATATTTCTGCTCAAAGCTAAACAGTGTGTTTGCCAATGAAAGTCTGCGGTATTCAACGCGCAATAGTTGAGTGAAAATTCCCGTGGTATTTCCACGTTAAATTTACAATTGCTCAAGTATTTAATAATTCTTCACATTTTTTTTTTTCACCAGTGAAGTTGAATACAACTATACATGCTCTTTCCCCAGAGAGAGAAAAAATAGAAAAATTCATTTCATAAAATTTGGTAAATCTAGAAATCTTTCGCAATATGAGTTCACATCGAAATAGCAACTAAGCAGATAATTTGTCAATTTATTGATTAATTATTGTGACAGAGATAGAGAAAATTGCATTACTTTCATCTTCAGTTCATGATAATAAGGTCAAATCTGACCTACAAATTTAGCGCTTGTTTCTTCTTGTCAGCGCATTGAGAAACCGTTTTGTAAGTTGACTGTTTCTTCTTTATCGCTCTTAATAGTCAACAACTACCGTAAGAGATCTTGTATTAAATATTCATGGCCTCTTAGAGAGATAACACTCAAGTTCAACAGTCTTTCTTCTCGTGTGTCCTCGCCATAAAGATTCACGCATCTCTTGATAAAGCATTGTCATATTTAGGGTTCAATGCAAATTGGGATCTAACCGGATTGCAATATGACCACGTTAATTATCTCTGTCAATTGTGGCATAGTTTACTCACTTGCTCCTGCGAAAGTGGAGTGAAATCCGCCGGATTTTCCGAATACGCCTTCCGACACGCTGGGCACAGTTCATTCTCATCCGTCCTGATGCGGTGCCAGCAGAAGCGACAAATCTGATACCCACAGGTGCACGGAAAGAAGTTGAGATCGTCCACCTCCAGCGCCTCCATGCACAGTGGGCATTCGACAACATCATCGCTATTCGTCATCCCGTTCATTGTTTCCTCTCACACCTCACACACAGATTCGCCCTCTTTCCTCTCTTCCTCTGTGGCCACTTCGCTGTTAGTTCAAACGTGCAGAATCACACGTCGAAAGCTCACTTTGTGTGCACTGCAATCGCCGAAAAGTGGGAAGAAGAACGCTCGTCCGCTGAATGTAATTGCACAGATCCACACCACGAATAAATGGTTGGGAATAAAGTTTCCTACGACCTGCCTCGATTCCACGAAAAAGTGTCTCTGAAATGGCAGGAAAAAGCGCTAAATTAGTGGGGATTTTCCGCTAAAACATAGCATCTCATTGGGATTCCGTGCAATTTCCCGGTCAAGGACGCTGCGATAAGAAAAATCAATACTTTTGAAGACCACTCTTGTCAAAGCGCACATCTTCGCATAGTGTCTCAAGATAACCATCTTACAGCATTTGTTCTGCGGTTCACTTTCGGTTTATCTAATACGCAAAGAGCTCTTCATTGATCGAATATGTATCACATTGTAACTAGCACAGCAACTTTTCAACAATGAATGCAGGGCATTGAGAAGGGAGTTTCTGGATGGCAATTAGAGACCATTCCCTGGACTGGGTGCTCGTGTAAAACTTGTCACTTTCGCTTCCTCAGTGTCCATCAGCACCTTATTTGTGCTCTCACGATCGCGATTATGTCAATAAACTGGGAAGTATGCTGCCACTCAAGGTTGAAACTGTTGATCACACGCGTTTATCCATTGGAGGCAAAACACTGCACACTGGGCACCCTTGACGCCCCACGCGAGTGCATCTCGCATCACCTGACGATCTCCGTAGGGCGCCTACCACAGGTGAATTCGCGTCCCGTGTGCGAGACTCATGTGAATGGCAGCGCGGAGAAAGAATAGTGCTTGTTGGGGAATGTTATCAAAAATAGATGAACCTGATTCCCACAGCTTCTCTTTTCCCCCACATACACAAGTGCAGCCCATGAACGCTCTTCTCTGACGCAGTTTATTCGCCGTCGCCCCCGAGTCCGTGCAGGAGTCTTCCGGGACTTCCGACCTCCGCGCGAGGGATTCCCAGCAGGTGGCTGCTGTGCGCCTCGAGCGTGGGAGGATGTTGTGAGCGCAATCGATGATGAATTTCTGTGATTAGAATTGGTGTGTATAGTTGGCTTGATAAAGCCTGCCTTGACGTTGAAATGAGCCACATAGTCCCCCCACACACACTCGCAGCCACTCTTTTCCTCCTATAATTCCATTGCTCTCTGGGCCGAAGCGAGACGGAGCATTGCAGCGGGCGGGCGAGGAAGGGAGAGGCACTGAGTGAAAAGAGACACAAAGAAATCACATACACAGCCTCAGTGGAGCTGGAAATTGGACAAACTCTTTCTCGCCAAGCAATCTCTCGCCTTCCAAGCAATGTCCTGCCAGCCACAGAGAGGCAGGAGCCCACTAACCACCAGGACACATCATCTGACCGCGATGAGGCACCTTGCAGTCAGCTTTTTGGCACTGCAGTCACTTCCGTTTCACCGTTGAATCACTTCCGTGCGCCCTCGCAACGGTCCCACAGTGTCTCCGGACAGCCCCAGAGACCTGCGGAGGCGCCCACGAAGGCACTGGTGAGGCACCAGCCAGTCCGGAAAAGTGGTCCATCGAAAAGAGGTCTCAATCGTTCATCCCTCAAGCACTCCATACGCCCACCCTGCACCAGCACTCCTCACCTCATTCACTTCCTGAACACCCTCACTCCTGTGTGAACCACTGAATTCAGCGAAAATGACGCGCTATTGACGATAAATTGAACAACTTTTTTTCACCTCGGGAGAGCCACTCGAAAATGTCAGTGAAACTTTTCCATCCTCCTGTTTTTACTTACTTTCCCCGCAATTCCAATTCCAATACACAATATTCCGATGATTGTACACAGTGTCTGACCAACGGTGCACCTTTTGCAATCCACAGGGAACTTTTAATAACGCGACCAAGATGAAAAAACTCTGCAAATTTGCTACTGAAAAATTGCAGGCAAAAGCTAAAATGTCGACCGGAAATCACTGGGGTTGCCGCACGCACTAGTGCTGCCACACGCAATCGGGTGAACCGCTGGAATTTGAAAAAGCGAGCAGCGATTCAAGTTTAACTGTCACCAATGTCGGCGAGTGTCGAAACGTGGAAAGATCCGAAAAATCATGGAATTTTCTAGAAGCACTCATAGGAAATGCATAGAATTCACCGCAGAAAGTATATACAAGAAAGTTGTATTTAACAATTCACTAATGAGCTTGACCCAAGATTATTTCAGACCAAATGCAACGCTTTTAAGGATTTTACCTGCACTAAGGTCATTCGAAGGCGCCCTGGAAATTATACCTGTAGCTCTGTGTGTGATTCTAAAAAGTAATTAATGTAAAAATAAATGTGGATTAGGTCATCAGACAATACAGACAATTTGCTTATATCTATTTCTATATTTCTATTTGTTCAGATGAAAAACACACTTTAATTTTGAGCCAACAACCAAACATCAACACCAGAATATTAAGACTTCTCACAAGAATTTTTATTAAATAAAAATTGCACTATTTGTTAAATGTTAACAAGTGATTTCGACAAAAGATGCTTATAATTACGTCAATTTTTTTTTTAAATCTCCAATCGAATGAGAGAGGCATTAGAAACCCATGGCAGTGGGAAAGGTGATAATTTCGACAATTTCAGCTTCTGGCTTCCGCATTCACTAGAATTCCTTCTCGTTCAGTGCTTTCCTTGGTATTTGGCCGCTTTCGATTTCGCTTCAGGGTCGTTCTTGAGGAATTTTGCCAGTCGCGATCCATTGAATGGAGCATCGCTGCCCGGCGGATAGAGTCGCATCTGCAGAAGAGGCGAAAGTGTGCTCAGAATCACTCACTAATTGTGCTGATGAATTCCAAATTTTGTACAAAAATTTGTCAAATTTACAGAGACCAGTCTCTCACACCATTGAATTTTACGTACCATGGAAATTTTGCCGAAGAAATCACTATCGTTCTTTTTTTTCAATAGTCAGTTCTTTGAAAAAATTTTAATTTAGAAAAGATACAGAAAAATAGGTTTTGGTTTTTCCAAAAAAGTGAGATACGATTTTCATGCAGAACAGTAAACAAAAAATTGCTCAGACAGTCTCAAATTGATAGAAAACAGAGACAAATTTTGTAGGAGAAACATAAAGAATGATATTGAGAAACATACATAAAATAAAGTAGAAATAATACAATAAAACAGACGGAGTGAGACAAAAAGTACATAATTTTTGTTTGACTCAACATTGCTGTTTTATTATCAAAAAGTCCATCACCATTTCATAATAAATATACAACTTTCATTATGGCTTAGTTTTGCAATTTATACACAATTCTTCGTACTGAAAAGTATGTGCATTTCACTTCTAAAATGCTGTTTTTCAAATTAATTTTCTACCGTGAAAATTACACATTATCCAAAGATAAATAGAGAAAAGTCTCGGTAATCGTGAGAAAAAGCCTCAGATTATTGTTAGAGTGAGCAAAAGAAAAGCCCAATGGGTTTGTTTTTTAGACATAATGAATAGCATAATTTAAATAACATCTCCCCATGATTAATTCAATTACCATAATGAGAATCTAAGAAGAAATTCTTCCCAATTAATATTCACTTTTCTCGCTCTCCCATTCATCTGCAACTACGAAATTCTACGAATCTTTAGCTTATGCAATCAAGAGATTTCTACGGTGTTAGTGACATGAGAATTGTTACAGAAAAAAGGTCATGTCAGTGGTCTTGTGTGTCAGAGTTGATAGCGAGTAGCCAGATCGCGAAGATCTGTATTATTGTGTGTGTTTTTGCACGTTATGATGATCTGAATTTACATCAACCCGGTCTTTGGCGATTCGTTTCTGGAAATAGATCAAAATGAAACAAGAAACATGCATTTTCAGTGTTTCATTTCAATATTCTTGATTAATTTGCTGATTGTTATGTGTCTTTTTTTCTCTTCTTAATAAATTAATATGATTTCTGAATATTTATAGGTATTATATTGCACATTTTTGTAAACTTTTTCTCCTGAAGCAATGTGATTATGATGCCATATTTACCATGATCCTGTACTTTTCCTTGCACGCATAGTCAGTTTCGTCCATATCCTGAAAAGTGTGTGAGATTATCCATAAGAATATCCATTCGCTGAATGGAGGAAATCACTTAGAATTATAGAAACTTATTGAATCTATAAATATTCTTTTAAATGCCACAAATGACATCAAGGATAAATTTTGCGGGCATTCATAAAAACCCACCATCTAAGCGAATTTTAGCGGCAATACAATCACCCGCGAAATCAAGTGACCTTCATGAAAGTTCAGTCAAGAGTGTAGACATAATTCTCGAAGAATAAATAAAAATTGAGGATCAATTTGCGACCAACTAATTTAGAGAATGTTTTCAGAAAATTTTTCGTATATTATCTTTCTTAAACACTTTCTTAACTGCATCTCACGAATCATAAATCATCAAATTGAATGGAAATCAATCAAACAAACAGTTCATGAACAAATTTATGCGAATTCATTAAAAACTGTTTGCGCATTTATAGCATTGTTACCGAAATTGCTGACTTCTGTTTGGGGATTGAGGTCAAAAGGCGGAGATAAATAGCACAATTTGTCTACAAATACCTACGTAATGTCAATTTCTCAACAATTTACACTTAATTTGTTACCTGGAAGCAGTCTGACTTGTAGTCTGGCGGCAAGGGTCGTCCCTCGTATTCGCACAATTTGTGAATGGGATTGGATTTGACGATCAATTTCTCAAAGGATGGCTTAGTGGTTGGACAGTAGAAGACGTCTGGCGTCATCTTATCGAAGACAATGGACTTCCGCATCATATCCTTCATCTTATACTTTTTCTCACCCAAAACACCACCCACGATTCCCAGGAGCACCACAAGGGCACAAATCGACATTTTCCTCACTTCCATTGCAGCGATCGCTCTAGCTTTCCTCCGAGTTGAGTGAACTGAAAAGTGTTGCAACAAAACCAGACATCATCACATTTTACCAGCTGAGGAAATGTGTAAAAGATATTCATTTCACGTGTCTTTTCTTCTCTGGTGACACTCAATGTGTGAATGAAATGATCGCGTAATTAATGCAAAATCTAGCATTATTTCTTCACTACACACACACTATTAAGAATGTCACTGATGCCAAAAAGGTAAAAAGTAACTGTACTAGTTATGATTTTCTAGTCTCTCTGCCTTTCAGATCACATATCGCGTCTCATGTACTTTGCTTACAGTTTTATGCTGATGGTTTTGCGGTGAACTAATAGCTTTTTTCCAGCGAATTTTAGTGCGAAATGAGCTTTTCAGATTCTTCAGTGTGTGACATCAAGAGTTGCTCCTCCTACGACAATTTACTCAACATGGACTGGATATAAATCACCATTACGGATGATGAAATGCTGAAGAAGAAACTTTCATTTCTTCACGTCTTTTGGTTTACAAAATGGTCTTTTTTGCGCAAAACTCATCACCTCATTTCACTCTTCTTTGACCAGAGAGAGATTTTTATCAAAGAGGAAAACTCTCTGTTGAAAATTTCTCTTTAACAATCACATGAAAACTTGAATAGCACAGAAACTCAATGGGAAAGAACTTAATCCATCGCACAAAGAACCCTTGAAATGTAACACTTGCGAACTTGAGAGACGATGTGATCGGAAAAACAACAGATCATCCATTAAATTGATGGCAAACTCTAAAAATACATACCAAAAGTAAAGTTATGAACTGAAATTTTACACCATTTGCCTGTGAGTGACTAAAATGAAATGATCTCATCAAAAACCACCTTCCAAGCACTACCTGGCCTCAGCCAAACAAGTCTCTTTCACACCTTTTACGATATCCACACAATTCTTTTGTTGCGATCGCATGGTAAAAGAGACGAATCTACTGCTTCAACTCTACCACGATTGCGAGTGATGAAGAAGGTAGGCGAGATATTCCCAACTACACACTCTCATTCGATGCGAATGGCCTTCGGTTCGTCTTATTCACATAAATACACCTTCTCGTCATCGAAACGGCGCTCAAAGAAACAAAATTTGGTGAGAAGATTAGGAAAAGAAATGATTTCCAATACCACTTGTGTTCCTGTTTCATTTATTCTTCCACTTCAATTGAAAATAAGATCAAATAATTAACAAACATATTTTTTTTCATTTTCTTTTCTCTAAACAAGTACAATTGTTTCAAATTTCTCCCAACTTGAGATCATCTTCATGGTTTGAGGCGGTACTTGAGCTTTTGTCTTCTCTTCTCTTCACTTATTCAAAAACTATTGTTGATTGTTGCAAAAAGGGGAAAATTATATGGCACTGTCATCATATAAATTGTCTTTTTGTGTGAAACATATCAAATAAAATCCATTTAAGTCATATCCCTGTGATCTCAAGCCCTTTTTTCACCTAATTCTCCTTCTAAAGCACATTTAATTACAACCAAAAACAGTGCAGTGACATTTTTCAGTTCACTTTTTATTACAAACATGTTGAAAAATTATTACTTCTCATCATTTTCTTGCTTTGTTACACATATTCTACTAAAAAAATACTCATCTGCTTCAATTCATCTAAATAGAAAAATTATTACTTGAACTTGGAATTCCTCTCCTTCAGTATATTAAAGCTTAAATTATTTTAATCGTGTAAAAATGTATTTTCTTTTTGATGAGCTATCTCTCGCATTCTTCATTGCTGGACCCATAAACTCAACAGTAAAGAGAAAACAACTAAATAAAATGCTTGGGAACCACTTTTATCATACTATCACGTAAAAAAAAACATGGTTGGTACGATGAAAAACTTATAAACTTGCACGTGAACTTATGCAAAAAGCTCTAAACTTTTTACATACTCATTGTTGTATTCACACTTTGCATCTTATTTATAACTAAATAAATTCACAATTAAATTAGCAATTTTGGCATTAAAAGAAAAACACAAATTATATCTCAAATCACTCAAATATTAGCAATATAACAAACAATAAAATAAAAATACATTTCAACAAGAATTGGCAGAATAACACAAAATACAGGGTGCGCCTAAAAACCCGTAAAAATGTCTTCCATTTATCGCCATCAGCAGACCTAGAATTAAGGCTAAGATTTCACTGAATCTCATAGTCTAGTCACTTTCAGACTACATACACGAGATTTAGCTTGAGTTTGAGCTCGTTAAATGTTACTTTGGCATGTTTCAAACTGTCATCTTCATAATAAAAGTCACATCTTGCCTTAAGTCATAAGTCGGTCGTGCATTTAATAGTACCGCAGAAAATTTTCATAACGTATATGCTTTATTGGAATGCTTTTAATCTGTAATGTTTGATTGACTATTTAATCTTCAAGTGTTGTGACTAAACAAAAAATGTGTTATCTCAGATACGAGTCACAATCCTTCCCGTAAAAATCTCAACTTTGTTGCGCACCTTGTATTTCATTACAAAAAAAACTGTGAAAAATCATATTTGGTACATAAATTAAAACAAAATTAATGGTACAATTATAATAAACACATCAGGGAAGAAATAAGGAAAAAAAAACAATTGCGGTGCATCACTTAAATGATGGAAAAATGTAAAGATACATAATTATTCTCGAACAGGATACGTTGATTGGTTGTGAATTCAATTACAGTTATGAGTTCGATACGTCATAAGTCGGGAAACCTACAATAATATAGCGAAGAGTCAACATGAAACAATTTGTACCAATGAGTCTGTTGTAAACTTCTATGAATATCTATAATCAATTATAGTCTTCAACGTATGCATTCCTCATTATGTCATGCTTCAAATCAGTTTCACCATTCTCCTCTTTGAAAAAGGAACTGTTAAATTGTTAGTCATGCAGCCACAAAGGCAGGAAAGGGCGGAAAGGGTTTCACTTATCATCTCTTATCTTGCTGAGAGTTGAAGGTGGTTTGAAAAATAAAGTAGGAAAAAAAAGATTGACAACGATTTATGTAAGTCGTAAATTACCATGAAATGCCACAGAAGCTGATATTAGGAAAAGAAGAAAGCAAAATTAAGAGCAATTCAGTCACTTTATATCCATTGCAATGTGGATATTTATATCATTGGCAATAAACATAAGTGAGTATTATATGATTTGTAATGTTACGTTGTACTTGCAAAAAGCAAATCTTATGCGATTCAATTCTTTGGCAAATCTTTATGTTAGTCAGAGTTAATGAATATTGCGCTACTGCACAGGGATTAGACAAAGGCACACACTCACCTCATGTTGTCCTCGACGTAGTTCTCCGGAATCTCAAACATGCTAGCTGGAATATTGTCGCGAAACTCAAATTTCTGGAATGTTATCTTCGCTGTGACCGTCGGCAGGATGGGTATGTCAATCTTCACGGGAAAGCCGCTGGGAAGTTTCAGTGTCACAAACTCACGCAGCTTGGAAAAGTGCTTAAAGGGTGCAATCACTTCCAACACATTGAGAAGCATGTCTACATTTAGTGGAAAGTCCTTACTCTGCAACGAAGAACAAGAAGTGGTATTAAACAAGGATTTCTCGTAGGAATATCACAAACTCACCATTGCTACTGTAGCTCGAAATGTCTTGCTAGATTCCTTATAAACTAAATCCCTGCCTAATTTTGGATGTTCCCCTGGTTCTGCCTTTATATAGTCATCCCACGATACGTTGGCATTTGCCGGCGGAGAAAGGGATGTTCTTCGAAGGATCTACATAAGAAAAAGCACAATATCCACAATCTGAACTGATATTATTATGATTTGATCACTCACCTCCCCATTTTGGTCAACATTCTGTGAGTGTCCTTTGGTAAAAGACTCCATCAGAGCCTTATTCTTCTGCAAATCATCCCTGGAGAGGTGCTCTCTGCGCTTTCTGGACTCCAACACAAGTCCATTGATGCAGTATAAATCGCATTCGTATTGTCCTGCAATTGTCTCCTTGCGATCCTCCCGGAAAATCCATCCAGATTGTGCTCGTGTGAAGTTAATACTCTTCGTTGACATTTGCGCTGCCATTATGTCACTGGACATGAGGATATCCACCTCATCCTCAATCTCAGCCTCGGTTTCCTCATAGCGAACACGCTGGTAGCATTGATACTCATTATCGAGCACAGTCAGTGACTCTTTGGGTGTTTTATCACCACGAAATATAAATGATATGTCTCCACGCTCCCATTTCATCTCCGAGAAGTCCACGAGTGTTGTGTCCAGTCGAATGGAACAGCCCGCCTTATGGATCTTGCAAATATCAGACGGCAGAATCCGCGAGACTAGAGGAACTGTGAAGGAAATATCCATATTTATAATTTTATTCAATTACAAATTCAAAAAGTTAACGCTAAAGATTTTCTGTTATTTCTCTGTTCTGCATTGCAGTTCCAAACAAAGCTATTCAGGTCATTAATTATATTTTAATAATTCTACTGGAAGAGAAAATTAAATTCTAATGACTTCTTTTATAATACATATACATAGTTCTCATGAAGCTGCATAGTTCCATGACCGATTATGAATTACAAGTCAGCCAAAAACTGGGAAAACTTTTCAGGAAGGTGATTAAATTTAACTTTCTCTTGTTATTGGAACTAAAATTACTTATCTTTCAGTTCAATATAATTCACGGTATACTTTATAGTCTTTCGAGCTTCGTAAAGCAGACTGATTTTGTTCAACAAAAGAAACTAACTCTCTAAATTCAGCCCTTCTCTTTGAGTTAGATCATGTTTATCATTAGTCAAGCTTATAAAATAAATACAAATCTGCTGAATTGTTGACTCAACTTATGTAGAGTTTAAGCACGAAAGAATGAAACCATTGATCTCTTATCTTTTATCTGGCACATTCTGCGAAGGCCTTTTTCTACGTTTACTGATTCACATAGAAGACCGTCGATATCGCGCTCGTGGAGATAATTGCGATTTTGACTCATTACCATTCTGGAGAAATGGGTCAACGTGGTTCAAAAATAGTGCCTCGCCGAGTCACTTCCGCGTGAGGCAGCAACAAAGCATAAAAATCGTCTAATAATAGCTCACCCCACGACTGGAAGTCCCACTTGAGCTCCATGTAGAAATCGCCCATCTGCTGGAGTGCCTTCACCAGGTTGGGACGTCGCTGCTCCATCTGGTCGCGTGCCTGCTTCTTCAGCTTCCACAGCAGCAGGTGAACTGGCGGAGGAGAGAGAATATGTGAAGTCATCGTGAGAAAATGAAAGTGTGGCGAATGTTGGTGTTATTTGCTTTACTTGTAGGTCGATCCCCATAAGAGATGGCTTCCGCCAGAGGTGACCAGCCTTGAAGGTTCTTTACTTTCACGGGGGCACCGTGGGCCAGGAGCAGTTGAGTGCATTCTGGGGAATATTGCAGCAATTAGTGGCGTGATAACAATCAATTGGGTGTGCAGACAACCATGAGATTCTCTTTGTGTACTCACCTTTTTTGCCCAACATCACGGACAGGTGGAGAGGTGTATTGCCTGCAAGAGAGCGAAAGTGAGCTCAGAAGATTGCCTTTTCAATTTCATCCGGGACCGTCCGGAAGCGGCCATGAAGACGACACGACGAACGACACTCTGGGAAAGCAGCTGATTCCACAGATACTTACCATGTTTGTCCTTCTGTGTGACATCTTGTGTTCTCAGGAGTTGCGACAGGACCTTAATATCACCAGAAAACACGGCTTCATGCAAAGAAATTGACATATTTGGAAAAAATAACAAATGGCTACTTCCCCAAACTCGACATCTCTCACTACACTGGCGCTGCAGATGGCAAGGAGAAGTTTTTCATCAAACCGACAGCAGCGCCGACGGCATACCGAGGAAAACTTTAAAAGTCCAATGGAGTAACGGATTTGCAGTACAATACAAGAAGTGGGAATCAAACGCTGAAGATTTTTATATCAATGAATATATTTTGAATCGATTCTAGATACATAAAGTTATGTTATTTCACTGTGACAAAATCATATGGATAAAATCTTCCAGAGCTAACATCAAACGAGAACTCAATTTTTTTTACAGGAAATTATGTTGACAATAAATCAAATTTGGGCACACTGAATTCTGGTAAGACCAACAAACCGTCACATCCTTTATGTTTATCAAATAATAACAAAAAAATCACAATATATTAGAACATAATCTAAAAAGAAAATAACATTTTTTTCTCTTTGCATTCGCTTCACAAAACTTCGTCACATTTTAAATTGCATTTTTAAACACAATTTTCCCAATGTTTCGCAGGACATAATATTGGGAAATCAAGATAATCAAATGAATCAAACTTAAAACAACAAGCCTATTCAAATATTATACTTCTTTTCGCTCTGTCACACACCAAGATTTACTTGAAAACCAAAAGAAAAGAATTACTATCTAATTTTTTATTACCATATATTTATTTTTGATGAATTTTTACTTCTTTCTTTCTTAAACACCATTGTATTATTTCTTTTATTTATTATGCATTTAATTTATTCATTCAGCTATGTTTACTCGAGATTAATGTTATGTTACCTTCATTCTAGCATTTCATTTTTTTCTCTTTGTTATTTCACTGATGAAGTACATAAAGGACGAAATAGAAACAGAAACAATTTCGATAAATTATAACCTTACATAAAGTTCATATTTTATTTGAATATGCCTTAGTATAGACTTTAGAGTGTAGATGAGAAACGTATTTTTAAATTTACTATGAGAGTATATAGTATATATTTGATTGAACACTATTTCACTTCTAGAAATTGATTAATTCTGCTTGTTTATCTCACTATTTTTCTTCTTCAAATACAAGGACTAATTTGGCATCTGAAAAGATATCCTGATTTCTCATTATTTTCCTCAAATGAACAAAAGATAAATCAATCATTGCTATAGATAGGGAGATACATAGATTTGGAATAAAAAGTGATTTGTTATGCTGTAAAACTGCAAAGAATTGGTAATACATATTACACAACTTATGATAAACATGGTTATAATATATATCATTTCATTTTACTTGGTTTTTTTTTCTTTATTAATAAATTACTTAATTATTTATGTATATTAGTTGTTTAACCTCTTCAATAAAAAAACACCTCATTTTTTTCAAATTTCTTTGCTATGTTTTTATCTTATATACTTTTACCCATTTAATGTGAAATTGATAGATTTTGGATAACCTGTTAAGTTTGGTCTTCATTTTAGATTTTCATCTTCTCAAATAATGCATGTATGTATATTTCTATTTTAATTTAGTTATTAATATCGCAAGAAGTATAAACGCTATTCAATAACAAATAAAATGAAATGTTCATTCATTTAATCTTTCTATTTTTAAAATTACTATGTATTATGAAAGTATGAGTGGACTGACGTTATTGTTTATTATAGATTTATGTCTTCATCAAGAACAATAATAAGGATTCAATCAATATACACGCTGCCAATTTGAATTCGTGAACAAAAAAACAGTGATCAAAATGAACACGTTTGTATGAAAATATAAAATATTCAATCGGTTCTTCATAATTGATTCCACACTAAAGTCAATAATAAATATTAATGTGTAAAATCGAGATTATACACACACTATTATTATTAATTCTTTACATTTAATTGCCGCACGTTGTTCTTTTCTTCTCCAAACTTTTACAATTATTTCTTTTCTCCTAAAATCCTCATTAATTATATTCCTCCATAAATCCTCCGTGAAGATGATTTATAATGGCATTTTTTGGGTTTCTTTTTTTATATATCGAAAATACGTGAACGAAGAAATCTCCGGTAAAATTGTTGATGGTGGTTTTTCTTCCGAAAAAAGAAAACTTATACCCTTACACTTAATTACATGATGACACATTTACCCTTCTCGGCCCACGGATTATTCTTCTTGTCCGGAGCATGAATGAGTGGATCATTTTTTTCGTTTTCTTCCACATATTCTCTCATCCTGCAAAATAACAGATTAATCATTCATTTAGTATTCACACGCAAAGTCCCTCCTGTTTTGCACTTCACAAATCCACTCAAATTGCCCAAAAATACCACCACAGATTTTCAATTTCATTCCCAATTTCCGCAGAGAAGTTGCTTATGGATTCATCCTTTGGGGTTAATTTGAAAAGCTCTAATTGCCAGGGTCAAAATCTATTTGTCGCTATAAATATTCGATGAGATTGACGAGAAATGTTGAAAAAAAAATCGCTTTGGTTTTACAAGCAGAGCTTTTACCGATAAAGTAGTTATGGCTGAAACTTAAAGCACAACACATTGAGTATTTCACACAGAATTTAATTTGAGGGTGAATATTTTATAAGGGTGGGATTTATCGGCTGTGCGAACACAAGTTTTGCCGTGTTTGCTATACTTTGCACAGGACACATTTTCAAAGTTTGTCTCTGACCAAATTTCCGTTCAGTGAGTCTCTAAAGGATGAGATTTTTCAGTAAAACCTCTTCACTTGACATTGATTTTTCGGACATCGTGAATTTTTCAGTGAATTTCAGAGTCTCTCTGGGGAAGAACAATTATTGGATATACTTCGCACTCTCGTGGAAATTTATCTCATGAGCATGACGCGACAGACACTGAACCCTTGATTTGTGTGCTCTGGCCTCATCACGAAATCATAAATGAGAAATGGAGTCGTGACGACGACTCGATCATTGGATTAGTTTTATAAATGAGGGGTTGATGTGACTGAAAATTGATTGTTCATTATACCTTAAAAGGAGGGTGAAGTGCCTAATTAGATTTTTTCTCCTTTCTATCAAATCTGTCTGTGAGTGTAATGCTCTCGTGCGGCATATTAAATTTACATTGATTAAATGCCAGAGACTGAAAATTTACAACAAACGCCTCAGTGCCATTAAGAATTCATGCTGCTCAAACGTCTGGTCGCAACTTGTGTGTTGAAATTTTAAATAAACTCCCATATCTGTGGTGGAAATTGAGTGTGGTTTTTCGAAAAACGGAGACCGTCACAGAAAATTTATTCCAGTTCTGGGAATTAAAATGATTTCGCATGGAATTTTACAGCGACTTTTAATCACATCCCGCCCATTTCCAGCCTCTGAGTGGATAATTTACTCTATTGCCCAGAAAATGGATACAATTTTGCATATACACACATAGAATAGGCCGTGCTCGGAGTTTATCCTTTAAATTAAATTGGATTTCATCACTCGGAATTCCATTGTTGGATTAAGCTGGGAGAAAAGTGTCAGAAGGAATTGATATAGAACGTGCGTTTTTACCCACATTCTGAATATATTCGAAATAATTAAGTTTTCCAGCAAACATGGTTGTACGCGGCGGATCCCAGGGTTTATGTGGCAATTTATGGCGCATACATGCTGAGGAGGATATTAAATTACAGATCTTGAGGAAATCGTTGAAAATTCTCCTTCACCTTTTTCTCACATCTTTAGCATTTCTTTTCCTATGCTTGGATTTTCAAACGTGAGCAATCTAATTACTACACTACGAGTTTACGGATTTTCCTTCGTCACTTTTATCGATTATTCCGTCAATTATCAGGCTCTTTCTCGCAGCTTTGTGCGCCCGTGGTGAAGGGAATGACTGGAAAATTAAGAGAACATCTCTTGGTTCAAATCTCCTCAAGCATAGAGTCAATATACTCTATTTTTGCGCAATTGGGAGGAACACTCACATTTTGATTCAATTTACATGTACACATCAAGGGAAATCTGTCGCCTAATGAACATCACAATATTGACGAATGAGATGTTCAATACATAAATATCACTTAATGATCCAATATATTGCCACGCGCACATTTTGCTTTCTTTCGAGAAGAAGATACAAAATTTATTGCAAATACTCGTTTCGTCTACAGAGACACTGTGCATGGCTCAAGGAATATGAGTGCGGGATATCAATATTTTTCTGATTTACTGCGTCAGCCTAAAAGCTCAATAGCCATACGGCAGCCGTTGAATATTTTGCACACTGCATGCTTTTATGGGCTAAGACTTTTGATCAATAAATGTAAAAGATTGGCCGCAATGCTTTCAATTTTACATTTCTTACTGATTTTTCTTCATGATTGTAATATACTTTTTCCTCCAAAATCCTTCAAAGACAGAACGAAAATCAAATTTTCTCCATAAAAAAGATATATTCTAAGATGTTCACAATCTTATACATTATCGACATTTTCCACTGTTGGCCTCAAAAATCTCAAATATTCTATGTAAAGACAAACTGTCTTCATGGAAAATAATACGGTATAATTAGTGAGGAGGTGTCACCGCTTTTCATGCCACAGGGGATGACTTTCATTGGAGGGCGGAAATGCACCTTATTATGTATAAGCACAGGAACTTACATGGCATAAAATCATCAAGAAGCGTTTCACCAAACATTTCGCTTAATGGCAATCAATGTCAATTTAGTGATATTTGTATTTGTATCATTTTAGAAAGCGCAATTTGATTGGTAAGCAAATTACTTACTCATTGATTTACAATGAATTTCTTTGCGATTGAGCATTTCATGCAAAGTTAGCATCTTTGCTGCGAAATGATTACTGAAGCAGCGAATCAATTTATTTGGATTTCCTGAAATTGCTTCCGCTCTTTCGACGGCGGAATTGGAAATTTGGCAGAATGATTAGCGCTATGTAGGTGAAGTAAAAAGCAAATATCTGTGGAAATGTGCATGAAGTATATAATCTGGCAGAGAGATAACTAACGGCTGTGGCTTTATCTCTGCGTGATAGTGATTCTGGCTGACTGACACCACACAATGGAGGTCGCTATAGCACTTTCCGATGCACACATTATCATGCAAATAATACCCCAATAATTATATTTTCCTAGGCCAATTATCACACCAGCGTGCGAACTTTACGCGGGCAAATGAAAATCACTTTTATCAATTATTCGTCCCATTGGTCGTAAAAACCGAGCACCAAACCAGCCCGGATCTTATTGAGTGCTTCAGGACGCGAACAAAAAAGGCGAAACGTGCAAATACCATTGCCTGGGGTGTAAGGGAGAAAACTATAGAGACTACAGAATATCGTATCTGACATTTTTCCTCATAAATTCACCTCATACGAGGATTCATTAATGCAAAATGCGAAAACTGAGGGCTCTCACTGCTCACTGACACTCATATTAATCCACTTGGTGGTGTTAAGTGACAAAGGAAAAATTAGGGTGGAGACGTGAAATTCTTTTGCAGGCACAATTTCGGCGAGTTTCCATTTGTGGGTTGGACGCGAATCGCGAGGCGCGCCCTGAAGAGAGCGAACCCATGGAAATTTCATGAAATGGGGCTCTGCAGCTAAATTGTTCACACATTTTCTCAGCTTTTCTGGGCGAAAATTTTCACACAAACTGGGCGACACTTTTCACTGCGGTCTTCCTGGCTTCCACCGCTCACACCCTCGTCAAGAGGGCTACGGGCCGCATTTTCACATCGGATTTTGCACATTTTCACTCCAATTTTCTGTCGCTATGGTGGATTTTCTTGGGCAATTCGATGGCGCTGCGATGTCTGTACTTACGCTGCTATACTTTTTGACAGGGGCCATCGTTCCATTGAAGCTTGATATTTCATATTTTCAATCTGTTTTTTCAATGCTTCTCTGTCCATGGTCGAAAGAACACTGGGATCCATCCTGTAGAATAAATCATAAGAGTGAGAGTTGCCGATTAGACGCATGCGGAAAATTTCTCCCGCACTTTTGCTCAATATCATTCAACAATTGCCAGACGCACTACAAGAATTCTGTTCCCGCGCCCGAATATTCTCAGAAACACAGTGAGATTTTACCTGCTCTTTGGTGCTTTTCCTCAAAATCCAGAAGAAAATGTCTCAGATGGAGAATGAAATCTGGAAAAAGGAGAAAATGCATGAATTTTTGGTTATTTGAGATGAGTTTTGCTCAGTGAAAACACTTTGGGACAGTACATTGTGTGTCTCGATGAGCAACCCTTTCTCCTGAGAAAATGCCGAATGTGGAGAGTGACTCATGCGCGTAGTATCTCGATCAATAATATTTATTGCTTAGGGTAGTGGCCGCTCTCTTTTCACTATCCTCCGCTCTCTCTCGACTCTCTCGCGCGCTCTCTCTCTCCGCCGCTCATGTGCGAAGGGGCAACATGCATTTTCCATCTTTTCCCAATAACCTACACACAATAGCGCTCCGAGGCGCTTCTCAAGCAGAGGCGATAAGGAGGCAGAAGAGTGGAGAGCTTTCAACGAGAGTAACTTGAGTTTATGCTGTAGCGACTAGACATCTCTCTGCACGACCGTTACCCTTCCCGCTCAACCACAAGAGACCCTCCACACGAATCCTTGCCGACACTTCCAACAATGCCATCAACATTTTTATGAAATTCTTCAGAGACATAGCAATCACGAGCTGCCAACATGCTATGAAAATATGCTCTCAATTTCACCCTTTCTCGCCGCGACTTTATTGTGAGTGGCATAGTGAAATTTGCATGGAGTAATTGCACTTCGATTAGATGATATACATAAACGAACTTAACGCATCCTCATGAGATTGCTGTTTTGCAGAGCAGAAGCCATCGCTGAAATGCTTGCTGATACATGCGTTGCGTATGTACATACATCCATTATGTATATACAGAACATATAGCATTTTTACGCAGAGCAATAGAATATTAAACAGAGAAAAGGGGAAAGAAAAGGATATTTCTCTATCTTTATTATGTCAGTGACCCTTGTTTACTTATTCAAAGGAATATTTAGTCATCCTGTATTCAAATTGCTACATGGAATTTAAGGGATTCATTACGTAAATTATTGTATTCGCATTTTAAATCCTGTTCCTACTGTTAATATTAAAGCACTTTTAATGGTCCGATAAATGGGTGACGCGTTGTGAAATTTGTTGATAATCACACGCTTTTGATTTTTCATTAATGCAATTTTCATAAATTACAACACCATACAATATCATTTTCCCAAAGTATTTAATACAATTGCAAGCTTATCTTCCGTCAACGAATGAACAAAAAATCTCTGGAATACTGAGAATTGAGTTAGCGTAATTCAATTTATTTTATCAAGAAACTTCTGAGAATTGTCGCACATTAATGAAGCATTTTTCATTTTTGTTTACAGCGTATGAATGGTACCAAAAATTGACGTGTACGGGTTGTGTGCATGTAGGTCATAGGTTTATCTGTATCGGTGAAATTAGTGAAGCGGAAATTATTTTCCCACGCAAATAATAGAAATGCTTCATGCATGATTATACAATTCGCATTTTCTGTTGAATTGCTTTAAAAATTTAATTCTCTCTCAATTTCATTTTATCTCTTCCAGTCAGTACATTGTAAAAAAAAAAGTGCGACTGCATTTTGCGTCAAATTGTAAACATATGTATGTATGTATGCAATTTCCTAATAAATTTTATTTGAATATTCATACATGTACCTATAGTACATTTTACAGCATTTTAATGATTTATCTCTCTGTTCATGACTAAAACAATGCTCAATAGACTTGTCAGATGTAAAAGTTTCAAAATGAAGTTGGAAAGTGAATTTATGGCTAAAAATCAAATTATTTACAGCATTTCTCCCCGTCTGGAATCAATTTTTAACTGTTCTTTGTGTAAAATATGTAAATAATTTCTTTAAAAAATGTCATACATACTTTTAGAGCGATTTCAAATGGAAATTTTTCGAATAGCCAAGTTTTCAACTTTTCTAATATCTTTTTGATGAAGGTTCCTACGTAACTCTTCCTCAGCCAGATGCCAGTTTAATACAATATGTATGCGACACGAGGGCGGATGTTTTCTAACCACTTTCTTTCTTTCCTTGCTATAAGAATACATGTGATAACTTGTTAAGCCAAAAGTGTCTTTCGAAGAACTCTTCTTTGGCGTAATCCTTTCACACGAAGTACAGAAATAAAACTATCAACACCACAAATGGGCTTAGTAAAATCAATAACCTTAAGGAGGAGTAAAAAATATTGTACATAAGTTAAACTTGAATAAATCCTTTTTTCCCTTGATATTCTAGCAGTGAGGTTGTCAGAAAGTAAACAGGGCAAAATAGAGATAATTTTGAGTTGAATTCTGACTCAAAATCCTTTAAATATACTTACCCTAAATTTGATTGTATTTCAAAATTACATTTCTCACATTTTTGCTCATGAATATTGAATCACATAGCATTGAATGCCATGTAAACGGTACTGAAATATGTACATATGTTTTATATAGTGTAAAATTGACATAATGTCTGATTCGCGAGTCTTTTGTGCGAAAAGCGCTCTCAAAAGTCATCCAAAAGAGCGCTTCAATAAACACCCATTTCGACAGGTGAAGAAGGCGAATGAAAGAGAAGAAATTTAATTTGGCAAGGATGCAAAGAGGAAAATGTAATATCTTGTATCATATGCGGAAAATGTAGTTCTTTGTATGGGTGAATGAATAAATTGGAATCATATTTAAATTTCTCCACCAGCTTCGTGCCACTTTTATTTCCACGACAAAAAGCAATCCCCCTGAACTCACTGCTTAATGTGGAGGTTTCAATACATCTTTCTCTTCATAGTTTTGAAGCCAGAGGAAATAAAATTAAAGTTGATGATATAATATACATACGCATAATATACACATAGGTATGTACGTATGGATGTTTATATTGTGTAATGATGAATGAAGTCGAACAATAAAGTGATATTTTGGGAGGAAAAACAGAATAAAGAGTGGAAAGGGGGTTTGTGAAAAGGAAAATAAGTAAGCTGAAGAAGTAATTAACACGAAAACTAATTCAACCACGATCTATAAGCCATTAATTTCAGGGTGAAACGCACCCCAAACAGAAAGAAACCATGAATTCACCAAGCTATTTACTTCTTTATACAATTTTTACAGTATGCTTTAGGGCCAACATGGAAAATTGATTAATGCCGAAAACATAGCATCCATTGAGATTTCCAATGTACGTGCGAGAAAATTGTTAAATTCATAAAGACCCTCTTATAATGAACGTTTGTAGGCGATCAATCAACACTCGCGTCTCCGGCGAAGTCGAGAATCAACTGAAAGGCACAACTGACTCTTCCCTTAACCTCTTGCTTTTAATGGGATCACTCGTGGTAAAATGGATGAATTAATGATTTCAGTTTGTTTTTCTGTGGTATTTTAGGAAAAGGAGATTTAGATCTTGGGTGTTGGAAAAATCGATACTTTTCAGAGTTTCTCATCACTCAAGGTTTTCCCACTAATCTCTTCAAACCAATAAATTGAAAACAATTCTATGACGTATTTATAGGAACACAGTATTTCGTGATTCGTTTTATATAACCGAGAATAGTTATATTTTATGCATTAAATGGTCAAGTAATCAGAATGGAAAAGAACCAATTATGGGTGGTTCACATAAAAAATATAATTTTTGTTGATTTTCCATTACTCGCCGCTGATTGCACTCCTATTTTGAATTCAATTGAGCACAATTTGTAAAAGTGTGGAAGGTATACAACTTTTCTTGAGTTCTCATATACTGAAATTTGAGTAATCTCATTACAATATTCATGTCTATATGCTTAATATAATCGGAAGGAAAAATGTATACTCAAATTAGAAGAGTCATAACACGCGTTTCATCTTGAAATGTATTCCACTTGGCGATGGCGAAAGACCTCGAGATGAAAACAGGAAAGCATCATCCCTTCGGTCGTTGGCAGACACAGAAGGGATATGACAAACTTTTGATATGGCAATTTGCTTCTCAATGAGCATATGGTGTGCGAAACATTTGCTCCACGCCAAATGTATTATCTCGCATATTGACTCCCGTGTTGGCGCGTATTATCCATCGTATAGTCAATTATTATTCAGTCACACTGCAGAGGAATAATTTGTACACACAAATTTGCAAAATATTGATTTAATTTTAATAATTTATCCACTTTACTCGTGTCGTGACATCCCCAAATTGATCAAAAGTGTCCATTTCTATGCTGCAAATTAAATAAATGTCCATCGGTTGGCCGTGCGCTCTGAATGGGGCTCAAATCTCACTCGAGCTCTGTGTGATTTTCAACGCGAGAACATTATCTCTCATTTAGGGCGAAATCATCGGAAAATACACAATCATTCTCATCTGTTTTTTTTCTGGGGTGGTTTGCTTTGCGCAGAACGCTGGAACATTTGACGTCTTGTGCGTGAATTTTAAATTGGTAGCGCAATACAATAAATGATGATAAGGAGTTTTCAATTTGCCTAATGTAAGACCCTGCATTATTAACTTCTTCACGGCTTTTGGTCTCCTATTGTGTGTGTTTGTACAATAGAGGCCTGAAAATTCAATTGAAGCCACAAATAGATAAGTTATTGGACAAAAAATCAATTTTTCCCCGTGCACACCCTCAATATACTCAACTTGCCGATGAGCCGGAAGTTTCTCCCTTATTTGCCTCAACCTCCCCAAAAAGAGCAGTAAAGTATGACCGGAGCTGAAGCATCGGAGCGCCGTTCAATCCGCAAAAGTGCTCTCTGCACTGCACTAATTGAATTAGACGAGGAGGAAGTTGATGAAACCCTTCAACAATAAAATTTTCTGATTCACACCTGAGTTCGCGAGCGGTGTAATCATATTTGCGAAATTCGTGTCAAAGCTGTATACTTTAATTATGACAAACGAGTAATGGTCTCGCCATCAAACGAGAGTGGCAGTGGGAGAAGAATTATGAAGATGCGGCACTTTAAGTGAGATTTTCTCCACACTTCTATATTTATTCACAGTTCAATCGTGTCAGTCCACGAAGCACTTCTAAACGATGGTGTGTCTGAGAAGCGAAGTTATATGTTTTTCTTCTGGGTTCATCGAAATGAAAATGTTCTCCAGAACGTGCGATTGGCATTTCTCTTCAGACTGCATTTCGATGATTCCACTTTCAAGTGCGCTGGTATCAAAGCAAAACAATAATCTGTTCATTCAAAGCTATTCTACAGAAATCAATTTCAGTTTTCTTCCGCAAGAATCTCTCTGACTGCAAAATAAACACGCTCGTCAACCCATTTTCATCATTTCACTGGCTGGAAACCCAAAAAAGTGTGTGCGTGGAGAATCGTGTGTTTGAGAAGTATAGAAAAAATGCAATATAAGCTAAGGCAAACTTTCATTGTTCAACACACACCTGTTTAATATTCAAATTGCGAAGTGTAGAGCAATTGAATTGCTACCTTGAGTCGATTCCTACGGATGAATGTATTTATACAAAATCTTATCAGGTTTGAAGCGCGGCAGCGAAAACAACACAAAGTCGAGCAACTTATTCGCAGGAAAGCGCTTATTGGGTATTTTGGTAAGTAATTCACAACAATAAGAAACTCAACGACCACTTCTTATCTCCGTGCACGATAAAAATTTCTACATACATTCGAGAGTGCCTCGCTGCTCGCACTGGCGTGTCTCCACTGGGTGATGCTAGACAGAAATCATTTTTGGATGACACACTGGATTAAACGCGAGAGATTATGGCAATTTTTCCGTATTATGTGGCCCAAGTGGCGTCCACCTTTTCTATAAATACGCACACGACAGTCTTGGACTCCTGACTCAACGGACGACTCGGGCTGCGTTTGAAAACCCGTGGAACAGCCAACTGAGCACGCTCGACTGCTGGCACACTACTGTCGTGTGAGGATCCACTGTGGGCTTTCCGTGGCGTTGTACCGGCGCGAATCTCACCACCCACTCCTCCACAATCATCACAACGTATGGCAACAAATATTAGGAGAAGGAATACGAGGGCCAACAAAATCGAAGGGTTTATGTTTTTCTCTGTGTTTTCCACCCACCCCCGCACTATATATTGTGTAAATTTTTTCTCCCCAGCATTGTGTGTCACATATACAGGCATATATTTATTTCCGATAAGAAATTGAGTTGGTTTTTCTTCTTTTCCCTCATTTTTTCCACACACTCGCCTCTCCGCCAACGTCTCCATTCCATTGACTCCACACGCCGCGACCTTACAAGTATTGTAATGATCCCACTCCAGCGCCAAACTACAGCGGACGGTGTTTATATTTTGGCCAAGCACAACACAGGAGTCGTCAGTGGCCGGCGGAACAAAGAGCCGCCGCACTCATTCGCACCGCGTGTTTCAAATGTGTTTCACGTTTTGCGGTCTAGGGGAAAATTTTGAATATAGCCGCAAGATTTATTGGACTACGCAATTTGGAATTTGATTAAGTGTGAGGAAATTGTAAAACCTCAAAATTATAGTTGCGTTAAGGCCTAAAATCAAATCATTATGGTTTATGTCCGGAATAGAGAGAAGCTTTAGTGGGGCTTCTTCAGCTGTCTCTGGTGTATATTCAGTGGCATGGCAGTAAAAAGCTATGTATTTTCCGACTCGGGAAACACACCTACTGAAGTTTTCACTTGCATTGCATTCAACACATTATACACAGAAAACAATTGTGCGGCGAAAAAGAATGATTTGAAAAGATAAAAAATATAATTTACTTGTATCTTTTGCTAATTCATCGTGCTATGTTTTTCATTAAATAGAGGAGTGGGTTTTTTCAAACGAAATCTTTAGATATTATTGCAGTGTCTTAACCGTTTTAACTGACGAATCGGAATTTTGTGAAAGTTTAGCGGGGAAAACCGTTGCCTCTAAAATATCTATTTCTAATCTAGACAGAAGGAGAACAAATTTCTCGCGTTATTCTTTGATATCGGGAAAAAATACAGATGACATAAGAATGAATAAACGACCAATTCATAAGTACATAATTATATTTTATTATACATAACTCTTGCTTAACAAAAATTAATTTTCATAGTTAATGACTCGTAGAGGGTGGACACAAACTCATTTTGTTTTTTGGCACATTTATCTTAAATACACATTAATCGTAAGTGCAATACAATATGTCGTTTCATGAGAAACTGCAGGAGTAGATTTAGTAAAAATATTTTAAACATTCATTGTGATCGTTATGTTTTTCTTATTGCACTATATTTAAAGCATCTTCTGGGTACTTTTGAATGCCTAAATGCTAAACACTAGATGTAAATGTCTAAACACTATTTTTCATATCTCGCTACCAATGTGCATTGATGGCTCTCTGATGAGCTTATGTTACAGATTCCCTTTTCTCTTTTACCATGGCCGCCACATATCGTCACTTCCGTTGGAGCTCCTCGATTCTACATTTTCATTAAGCAGATTCTGATTGTTCTGATTCTGATGATCAAAATGGGGAGACTTCCTCTCGTCCAGTTTGTCGTCATGTTTCTCAGGGATTTTGCACGTTGTAAGGGCGATGGGGATCTTATCCTCGATGTTCTCTGCTTCATCCACTTCCATCTCCCCGTACTCCTTGTCCATAACTGCCTGGAGAGGCTGCAGCGCTGGTGGGGAATCTGTCACCTTCATCGGCGATCGAGTGTCAATGTTTCGACAGTCACCTATTGCGGCCTTCTCCTGAATCTGATGCGCCAGACTCATGGACTTTCTGTAGTGCTCCCAGTAGATGGCTTCTGGAATGTTGGCGGCTTCGGCTGGATTCTGGAAACAAATGTTACGGTTGAGATATTCGAATGTCTTTCACATGAATTTTCCCCAAATTACCATTTGTTGTTGTTTCCGATTCAATTCGATGAGGTTCTCAAAGTCTGTGAGTGCTGCCGGATCCATCATGGCTTGAGAGTTGAGGCCCAGGGCTGCGGCAAGTTGCACGTAATGCGGCGGAAGAAGCAGGACCATTTGGCCATCAGGGAGCCTCATCTGATGATACTGCCCATTGAGTGCTTCAGACTATGCAAGGATTTAAAGTCTTGAGTTTCAAAGTTCATTCATGATTTACAAATGTCTCTCACCTTAACGTAGTCCACATGCCCATCCTTGTCTGCCACTTCTGGTGGCACCAGAGCTGCCTCAGAGGGAAGCCCCAGTGGATTAACTCCATTCCCATTCAACACTGGCATAACGTTGATTGGCGAAGAGGTTCCGTTCGGACCTCCTTTCGGGAATTTCTGACCCTTTATCCCGATCAGCTTTTGGACAGATGTTACAGAGTGCATTTTCCCCGGCGGGAAGTTTGCGTACGCGGAAGTGGTTGCAATTTCATTAGTCTCGATCATGTCTTCAATGTTGTTGAGGACAGAATTGGAGTCTGGCGTCTGACGATTGCCTCTATTGTTGTTCTCATCCTGAATCTTGAGATTAGAAGTCACTGATTATTAAATTTTGTTTAGTCGCACAATTGTGGCTAACTTACATCGCGAGGCGCAACAGCGGCAGCGAAAGGCGGTATTCCCGTGCGATCACCTTCGGGAAGATCATACCGGCTGTTTTTGCTGAAGTCAATGGGATTTGTAGAGTCCTGACTGTTATAATCCATTGTATTGGGATCAGAACTGTGAAAGAGTATTTAAATTAGGATATGGTTCCCAACATCCTCTAATGACTTACTTTTTCTTCAAACTCTCCATGGATCCGAAGTAATTATTGAGTTTAGCATCACTTCCGGGCGTGGGCAGAGGATTTGCTGGAGTAACCGGACAGATTTCCGTGTCAATCTCAGCGATGCACTGATCCAGATGCCGCAGTAATCTCGCTTTGGAGCCTGCGTCTGTGAGGGTGGGAACACTGGGCAGAGGAGGAGGTTCAGGTGTGGCTAGATACCTTGCCACTTCCCTTGCACAATCCGTATATCCTGAGCGATACTTGTCGATGGCTGTAAATTACGACTCCTTAGCATTCTCTAACATGTCTTGTAAAATATTTCTCAATCAGCTTACCTGGATTGTCTAAATTCCTATGTCTCTGGAAGTGCCTGACTGTGAGCTCGAGGATGTCTGCCTTCTCGAGTTTGGTGTGCTTGGGCTGCCCTTCAGAGTTCTTTCCGTTGTTTTTTGTGGACTCAAGTATGAGTGCCTTGAGAATGGCGAGACTTTGATTGATCCTCGCGCGTCGTCGCTTCTCCATCAGTGGTTTGTTTGTGCGCTTCAGAGAATCCGACGAAGGAGATGATCCGATGGCAGCTGGTGAGGAAGCAGCAGTATTCGAGTGCTGTGAACCGCTCTTTGCGTTAGCGTTGAGATCTGCAAGGCGAGGGAGACATGTCAGATACTTTGTCTAGCTTAAGAGTAGCAACACGTGGTTCCGTGTACTCCGCGAGATCCACCCACCACCCACTGAGTCTCAGCTCTCCGCCAAATTAAGCACCCTCCTAACACGCGACTACAGGTTATTTGAATAATTCCCAGCAGCATCTCATTTCCAATTTGTTCACCATAGGAAATGCGAAACTGCGGAGCTCAACGGAAAATTATTCTCCTCACACTTCAACTTTCCGGTCAGGAGAATATATTTGTTTGTCCATTCAGAGCGGAAGAAGTTCTCACAACAATTCTGCTGGCAATTTCCACTCTTGGGAAGTGAAATTACAAATACTTTCTCTCATCTTATCTTTCAGTTGAAAGTTTTTCCTCCTACTTTTTAACACATTGAACAAGTGTAAATTAATATTTCCACACATCAGATTTGATCTAAATTTAGAAATTATGCTATCCTGAAGGATTTTCATTTTCATGGTGAAGCTTTAACCTTGAAAGCCCAGAATAAATGGTCCAATAGCAAAGGCGTCCCCATGGAAATAACAATGGATTTATTGGCGACAAATAGTCAACAATAAATTGCCACAAAATTACCCGTAATCCGTGATTTTCCAGCATCTATGTCGTTTCCCTGGGCGCCGCCCGCCACCCCCTAATCCCCCCATTGGCAACCACCTTCCTTGCGCAAAGCACAAAGAGAATCACAGTGGAAATCAAGGTTAATCTTACTTGAGTCAATTTCTCATATTAATTACCTGATCCTGTTTTACTACTTGTTTTCGTTCCGTAGTCCTTTTCACGTTTGGCTGTCATTTTCTCAGGAGACACACTAAGAACAATTTATTTGCTCAACTGTTCATAATTTTCTTTCACTTTTAACCCACAGTTTTCGCACTCCACACCCACAATTTGCTTAAGGGCAACTTTCACCATAAAACTGATGATTTATCCGAGGGGACTGGAAAACTTTTGCTTGGTTGTCTGTCAGTCAGATGAATTTGGACGCAATACCAAGTGATCTGAAAGAAAATAATGTTTTCAAGATTTTTGATCTTCACACTTCATTCTAATGAAGAATTCAGAAAATACTGAATAATTCCAATGATTGTTTTAAGCTGTGAAATACTGCCCCTAAATGATTCCATCCACGCCCAAGCTCATTAAAAATTAAACGCCATTAAGAATGAACAAGAGTGAGAATTAGTGTGGTAGGTATGAAAAAAGGAGAACTAGCGATCTAATACGGAGAGCGGCCGCAAATCAATCGATTAGAGTCGCTGCTTCGGGGGTGGGATTTCAACCATTGTCACAGTGTGTGGTGCAATTACACATCGACCGGCGTGTCCGCCCAATTAGCCGATTAAATTTCTCATGATTTCATAAAACACTGTAATTCCGAAGCGCCACAGTGAATCACCACCCCGCAATTATCGTCCGCCACTCGCGCGAATGGCTCGCGCCGCGCATTCAGTCCTGGGGATGGGCGTTCGTGTGCAAATGGACAGTCGAAGGGTGGCTGGCGGAGGGAGTGATGAAAAAATCCACCCACCCACGGGCATTTCCCTTCCGTTCGCTCAGTAATGCACGTGGGTGAAAGCGTGGGTGGAAAAGTGGACGGCAGCAGATCGTGTGACACTCTCAAAAAAACAAACGCACACGCGGCAGACGATGAAAATCAACCACAATGGCATTATAAAGCTTCCCAACACTTGTGAGGGGTTTCTTATTTCAGAAAATACTTAAAAAAAATAGTTTTGCAATATTCAAACTTTGGTAGATATCACCTATATTTATCTAAATATTTTTAATTTTGTTTCTGCTAGGATTCATTGAAAAATAAAATTTCTTTAAATTTTAAGATACGACATTTTATGACAAATATTCCGGAATATCTCTAGAATTTGGCAGAATTAATTAAAAATTAAAAAAAGCAGATGGAGCAAACTCAATCGAATTTTCTACTCTCGTCTTAATTTTCTATTCGCTGCCTGCTAATATTGCACTTGGAAACCCCTTGGTGGAAGCGGCGCACATTTGAGAAGCGCTGGGCTCGAGTTCCACTCATGCCTGCCACTTTCCCACCCTCTTCGCGCCCGCTCTTCCGACGCCCCAACCCACAAATTCAATCGCTGGTGGTGTCGTCGCTCCGCTGAGCGACACACATTATATTTTATAGTTGGTGCAAGTGGTTGGGCGCTCGAGGGCTGGCGTGGTGACGAGTAGCGAACTGGTGTGTGGCGTTTTTTGCGCTGGGCTGCAAACCCACTGGGTTGGGCGGAAGTACGCCCATGGGGTTCGCTGGCGGTCGGGATTATTCCGGTGATGAGCGTGTGCGCTGGAGAGCTCTCGCCCTCGTGCGTGTGTGAGTGCTCTGATAAATGGGGCTATTACTCTGCGGCGCGCGAGGGAGGGAAATTTGCGGCGACGGATGTGAGCCGCCCAAGTGTGATTTTCCGGCGGTGGAACGGGGCTGAATGCCAAAGTGCTCGGAGGTGTTCAACTCTGTCGGCACACGACGGGGTGATTTTCTCATGACGTGGAAACAAGGTGTATCAACCACGATGGATTGCGAGGCAACTTATTCGGGAAATTTTGCAGAAAATTGATGAGTGATTCCGTGAAGGGATTCCTTGGTGAGGAAAAGCACCTGAGACGCCTTTTCTGCTTCTCAGAAATTTTGTGCACATGCCGAATGAATAAGGGAAATTCGTATCGACAAAAAGGCGTTTCGTATTACAGATTTCGACTAAAGAAAATACAATCTTTAAAGTTAATCTTTGGTTGCCTTAAAACATTCAATGAATGAGTATCACCGACAGAAAACACAATTTCTAGTTTAGTTTTAACAAAAATTCAACGAATTCTGTTCAACTCTAAAATAAACTTTGTGCAAAACTTCTTACAAAATTTTCGTATTTCATCCTTAGCGAAAATCTACAATTATGTGCTTTTTATTAATCACGAGTCTTTAACTGAGCTTTGTGTGGAAAAATTCAAATATTTCAAGAATATTTTTAAATTCACATTTCAGTTTTTTTTCCTCACTTTCAAACCATCTTTCGCCGAAACTTTTCCCTTCCATGCGAGGAATTTATTCTTTCTCTCTTTTGTCAGTGACTCGACGTTCCCTCGAGGCGTTCTTGGGAATTGTGCTCGTTGGAATAGTGTGCTCGATTCACCCTCGAAGCGCAGTGTGAATAAGTCACCCCCGAAGACGAGGAATTATGATAAGGCACATCGGTGGAATCGCGCCGCGTGAAGTGGTAAAAAGGTGGACCGGCGAAATGAGGCGAGGTGAGATGGTGTCATGATTAGGGCGACTAATTGATACGAAGGGTGAACTTTCGCCGCTCGCCTCACCACGACCCCGGAGGCTCTGAATATTTCATGGCACAGCAAAATCCACAAGAACACCAACACACTCGAGAGAAAATTGTTTTAATTAACACGGCGTATCGGAACAAAACTTCATGAATTAATAAAGTAAAATTCCTCTAGGTCTGTTTTCTACTTTTTCACTCCCCGTGGTAACATTTTTTCTTCGTCCACCTTTTTCCTCCTGCAGAGGAGCGAAAGTGTGATTCCTCAGTGAAATTTTTCCTTTCCCCTTCGCAGTGATTAATGGCTTTTTTTCTTCACCCGCGTCAAACATCGAATCTCGAATTAATTCGAATTAAGATCTCGCCCCTTAAACTCATTCCACACCACGCGTAATGCTCCCTTTCGCAAGAACACTTGATAATCCTCACCGCAATTCCAAGTTGACGCAAGGAGAAAAAATCCACGAGGGGCTGATATCTCGAGGGTGCCCAAAGAATCTTCTTATGTTGTCAGTCTAATTCACAGGAACAGCACAATGCCGAATTGTTAAATCACTTTTGCCACCAACCAAAACGAGGACTTTCAGTAAACGCTCGAAGACACAAACTCGCAAGGGTCAGAGAAACACGTCCGCTCAGCTCAGCGTCGCTAGACCGACTGATTTAGAGAGAAGCTCTTGGCTGATCAAATGGAACTGGCGAATGTTGCACACAAAATGAGAGAGCTGAGAGTTAATACGGATCTGCACAGCACACGTTTCGGCGCGCCATGAAATATAGCGTTTGCCACACGACATCGAGCGACGACGGGCTGTGGGTGGTATGAAGATTCAATAGCACTTATCAGGAGCGTCACCGTATTGTGTGCTGCCGTTGTTGGCACCGCCGATGAGGTTGAGTCTCCGAGCACGACGACGATGGAAAGGTTGAGGACGTCGGCGCTGTGGTGGGAATGGCTTTCGCCCAGGAGGTTTGTTATTAGGCAAACACCAGAACACTTTCTACATATTATCTCATCCATTTTACTCGTACCTCTTATTGCTTTTAATTTATTTAAACGTTAATTGAAAATTGTCAATTTTCTAATTGGTTTCACTGTATTGCTCTATCAATTATCAAATTGTTTCTTATATTTTATCACGTTGTAGTTGCCTTTCCGTATATATATATATATATATATATATATAATGTATTTTATGGATATTACTTATAAATAACTATATGTTGCTAATTTTCGAATTAAAACGCAATTAAGACCTGGATCCAAATTATCTGATCGGAAAAGTTACGGCTCAAGCTGAAGTCTTATTCTTACACTATTATAATGACAACGACTGTGTTTCACTATAAAGCAATCAGATAATAGATATTTTCTTTCTCGTAAGGACTAAAGCAGATACTCTAAACGCGTTCCATTTATATATGTAAAATTTTTCACATTAGGGACAAACCCTCAGCCACGGAATGACGTGCCCCTGCTTCCACCCTCGAGAGCATCGAGTTGCTCGTCTCAGCAGCGTGTTGGCGCGCCGCTGGCGGGTGTGAGGCACCCGTGTGTCATTGACGTGGCACTCCGGGTGGAGTGGCGTCCTGTGGGTGGCGTTCGCCTGCTCGAAACCGAGCAGTCGACTGTGTGCCTTGTTTTTGACGACGCTGCCATGTCACTTTCCGACGGATCATTTGCCCGACGAGGGTGGCGTGGATGGCCGGAAGTTTCCGGTGAGTCGAGGGTGTGCTCCCCATTGTCTCTGCGCCCCGTCAAACGCTCCCATCCACCCACCCATTCACGCCCTACTTTGACTTCTTTTCTCAACCACAAAGAGAGTGTGGGCGAGAAAGAGAGGAGCGTGAAAAAAGTTCGGCCCGGGAAAGAGCGCACAATACTTCCATGACGACTTCCGCACGCCATCATCCATCGAAGCTCGCTGCTTTTTGCCCTGAACCAAATGAAAGCAATTAATATGTTAATTAACGCTCTATGATAATCAACCCCCTTCCAATTTTTTTTTGCCACTTACCACAAATTTGCAGAAATATTTGCAAAATTGAGCATTGCAAATTCAATCGATGCTCTCTACCAGTTCCAATTTGCACTGAATTTATGGCATTCGCGTGGAGAAAGAATTTTAAAACTACATGTATAATATAGAAATTCAGTGACAAATAGGATGTATTTTTAAATGTGAATATTTTCGAGTGCTTGCGCACTTTTTCGTTTCGGAATGTTTTACATTTGCCGTGATCATTTTGAAAAAGGAGAACAGATGAAGAACGTAATTGGATTGGGGATAAATCAGATCTCTAATTCGACGCAATACATGCAAAATAAATACTTTTATTCTAGTTTAGTTTGATTTTTTCAACAGGCCGTACAAAGTTTTTTTGTTCAACAGATATAGAACCAAAACGCCAACCGAAAATGGTGAAAAGTCATTCCCCAAGGTTTTAGGGATATACCCTTAGGCCCAATCTCAGTCTCTAAAAGGAATTATCATGCGAAGCGAAAAGATGCTTAGGATGGATTTAGTTTTGCTCGTGCCCTTGCCTTAAAACCGCCCGAAAAATTCACCCTCGGTCGTCGAAGTTGTCTGGAGGCGTCTCGAGGACGGAATTTCAATAGACTTTATTCCCTCCCCAATTTTTCTTTCTCCTCTCAAAATTCCACGCTTTTTTCACCACCTCCCAACCCCACGTGGGTTCGGGTGCGCGCTGTGGAGCCACAGCCAAACTGGCAGGGAAACAGATATGGAATTTTTCACATTGTGCGCTCGCAAGAGGCTCCCGAAATAAACAGGGGGTGAAGGCGTGTAATTATGGCCAGTGTACATCTCCCTGAATCTTATGCAAGTTTGATCAGCAGATTTGCTCGACATGACTCCGAGATTTGCAGAGTTAGACTTTCGTAATTCGATGGGTGGTGCGCCTGTTCACCCCTTGGATGGAAACATCAGGAGTAAGTGCGTGCAATTTGTTGTTTGTGCCAAAAAGTGGGTGGCTGGGCGGCCAAGCGCGCGTGAAAGTGGCGTGCCAGACCACACGGCATGCTGGGGCGGCAGAGAATGGCATGGTTTGGGGCGCACGAGTTTGTATGGGCTGCCCCGGCGGGATTCAAAATGTGTATTCACCCGGCTCAACCCTGGGGAGGGCGTGCAAATGTGCCCTGCCGTAACCACGGACAGACGAATATTTATTTCAGGGGGATTACGAGGCAATCGAGCAATGTGTGCAGTGCAAAGGAATGCAGCTAACAAGCTTTGATGTACAACCGTCCACAATAATGTTTCTGTGAGGTGATAGAAAGATAAAGCATAGTGGTTGGAGAGTAATAACCAAAAACAATTAAAGGTGAGGTTGAACTTATCTTGATCTGCTCAGTAAATCTGATAAATTTTGCAAATTGAAGTTCACTTGTAGCAAATCCTAAGCTCATTCTATTCCTGTTGCTGTGTGTCACGACCAAAAACAACCCTCGACTTTGTGTAAACGTAACGATTCGCGGAAATCAGTTTAATAATGCAAATAGGCGTTGTCATCCTCATGCTCATCGTCAAAAGCACAGGATCATTTGACGCTTTCGTTTGATGTGGACAAAATGACAGAATTGATGATGAATTGTCAAATTCATTATTATGCCTTGGCTGCAAAGGGAGAGTCACAACAAAGGGTTGGCTGGATTCGATACACAAATTTGCTCATGACGCCAAGAGGCGTTTCATTGGGAACGAGACTGATTCCACATGGGGAGCATTTAATTATCGAAATCGATTAGCAAGATTATCACAAGATCTGTCCCCACACAGCTACATTTCAATAACCATTCAGATTAAACACTCGAGTGTTCTCAAGCGCACAGGCGTAGCTACAATTTCAAAGATAGGTACAAGGCTGGAAAAATTCGTCTAGGATGCTAGAATGCTTCAGGATCTGGGACTTGGTTAGCATCAGTTAGCACATGAATTTGTAGTAAGATGTATCAGTAATTCTCAATTGAAGGAGAAGATTTATTTTGAGGAAATCCACAATTTCTTGTTTTCAGATGCGTCGCTTCTTTTTCAAAAATTTTCATCTATCGCACATCTGCCCTAGGTTACACACACTGGTGGATGATGTGGGTGAAAGTTAGCAACAGAGACGTTTTATTGTCAGAGAAAGCTCTCAACTTTCATCTACATTCCCTGACGTCGCCCTCCTGAGGCTGAGATATGCCATGCTCAAAGATATATCGCGCACAACCCGTTTTCAGGATTGAGGGATCAAATTCTGATGCAATTTCCAGAATTTTTCCATCTATACCTTCAACATAATCCTCCTGCACGATCTCATCTTGTAGATTCGGGCGAATTTTGAAAATTTTAGAGAGAAAATTTTCACGTGCAATTTTTCAAGAATCATGCGGAACCTAGCTCTGAGCATGTGGAGTTACAGAGTGTTTTTTGTTGTCACTTTATTTTTTGTTTGTGCTGCTGTGCGCTGTTTTCGTGTTTGCCACGGCACAAGGGGGTGGATGTCGAGTTAGTAAAGTTTCTCATAGTCACAAGTGATGCCTCGGAGGTTTTTTCTTTACAGCTCAACAGTCCCACCCCTTTTCGCTGACTGTTTTGCTGACTTTTCCCACCCACCAGTGCTCGATATCGCCGCCACTTCACCCACCCAAAAACTCCACGCGGTGCCATTTCTAGGTGACAGTTGGTCTCTTCTATTTTTCTCTGGCAGTTGGAAATTCTTTTGTCTCGTTGGAAATTTGTAGAATTGCAAAAACCTCTCGATGGTCATCAATTTGCAGAGTTTAGTTGAAAAAGAGGTGACAAAAAATTCACAGGTGAAGTGCATTAAACAATCCTTCATACACACATAAGTAATGGATTATCGAATTCTAATGAAGTACTTTTTATCACTTTCATGGCTTAAAGTCAGGATATTTGGAATTCAAACTATTTACCCTGTAAATCAGTTTATCAATCGAACAGATAGCGGCAAAATTATTTATATCCGGTGATAGATATAAATTATGTAATGTTCATCATGTGAGATCATAAATTTCCGACCACTCAACCATAAAAAAAAGCAACTGCGGTGATTTTTTAATCATCAACATGGGCCAGAAAAAAAACCAGCCTAGCACCCTCGCACGAGTGGATAGAGCTATTATGATTTAATGAGTTGCTGCACATTTTTCGATTTATCAGTATGAAACCGCCAACAATTAAATTCTATTTTATTCCGCATTATGTCGCGTCGTGGGCGGGTGCATTGTGCTTTTTTGCGATAACAATTGATCTCGGGGGTGGCTTAATTGGTGCATTGCTGGTGTGCCTTTAAGTGCACAATCTGCGCCCAAGTGTGCGCTTTTCCATGTGTGCGCGGTAAATTTTATTGGACTTTCGTGATACTGTGCAATTATTCAGATATTCTCTGCTCGTGTTCCAATCAAAATTGCCCCTTATTCTCATCGGCCTTTCCTGCACTTTTGGGTGGCGAGCAGAAAGGTTGGGGACAGCGGGTAAACATGAGATAAAATTCACTTAAGTGCAGAACTATAAAGTTTATTGCAACCACACGTGAATTTTCTAATATTTCCTGAATAAAATATAATGTGACTGCGAAATTTCTGCAGAAGCAATTTAAGGTCTACAACTATTTTCTACCTCTTTAAGTGCCAAACATTGATAAAAGTTTGA